AAATTGAATTGAATTTTTCAACTCAAATCCACCTATTAACAAAACTTCATCTCCAACCACCCCCAAATATGGAGTTTGGTGGGTAAAATGTGCTCCAATCCACTTCATATTTAGGGGTGTCACTACCGTGCAACACCAGTGGCAATATCATTTTTAATAGCGTGTTCTTTTGGAAAAATAAATAAATAAATAAATTATATATTAATTATTTTATTTATTTTTTAAAAGATAATATTAATTGTAAATATTGGTTTAAAATAATACTCACTCCGTCGCGGTCAAGATGACCCTTTTGTTAGGGACACAATATTTTAAGTAGTGTAAATTAGTAAGTTATTAATAATAAGTTGTAATATTATTTTTTATATAAATAGCGTTGTTGGTATTTTAAATATTTTTAGCATTGCATCTCAATAAAATATATATAATATGAATATCATTTTGTGGACAATAAAATTATTTATTTATTTATAATTAACTTAAAATTAATTTTATAAAAAATAACGAATATAAAATATAGATTAAATATTTGTTTATTAAGGAGATGGATAGAAAAATACAAAGATTTTGAGTAAGTTTAAGATGTTGCAAATTTAATGAAATTTATATTTGTTTAAATATGTTTAAATATATTTTTTAAAAATAGAAAGATGTCACCTTTTATGGAAGAACAAAAAAAAATTAAAAAATATCATTTATTACGGGACGGAAATAGAATATTTGAGGAATCCTTGTTTAAGTAAAAAAAAGAACTGTAAATTAAAGTAAAAATAATAATATAATAACTGTATTTTGAAAGTTAAAATTGTATAAATATTGTTTATGGATGGAATATAGTGGTCCTACCCGAATTACCGCCCCTATTTATTTATTTATTTTAAAATCATAATTAATTTTAAATTAGATTAAGGGTGCGTTTGTTTGAGAAATTTTCTCAAATTTTACTATTCATCCAAATTTTCCCTCTTAAAAAAACATCAAATCAAACATCTATTTTTTATTTTTTATATTATACTAAAAATCAATTTTACATTCACAACATTACATCAACACCTATTTATATCACATTATACAACTATTCGAATTCAAATATTTTACTATTTAAATTCCAACTCAAAATCCAAACCCCCAAACAAACACACCCTAAGGAGGCTATGTTACTACTCCCTCCGCCTCACATATCATATCCACGTTGCCGTTTCTATCCGTCCCACGTACCATGTCACTTTCCTTTTTTAAAAATGATTACACACTTTAATCTTATTTTAAACTTTTTAATTTTATTTTTTTAAAAATTTTAATTAAACTAATTAGTTATCTTAATCTTAATTTATAATTATTTATATTATCGAATAATTATTTTTATTAATATATTTTTAATTATCTACTAATTACACTCCTCTTAAAATACCGTGGAACGGAGGAAATAAAATTTAAGCCTGTAAGGATATCATCAATTGGAAAATATTTTAGAAAGTCAACAAATTTTAATGCGTGCATTTATTCCATATTAAATTGTATAAAATAAATTAATTTGACTCTATTTTTATTCTTTTTTAAAAAATATATATATATTCGTACAATAATATTCTTTTTTTTCACTTGGCTGTAAATTTTTTATGTTTTTTATAGATCAATAAATAGGGACTATTCACAGCAGAAGTAGGGTGAGCAACTGCTCAACACTCCTAATTAACAGAGGGTCTATATTTTAAATATTATCTATTATTATTATTATTATTATTATTATTATTATTATTATTATAAATTTTAAAATTAAATTTTAACTTTTAATTTATATTTTTTTCTTCTTTGTAATTATCTTATTTAATTTTAAAATTAAATTTTAATTTCTAATTATTTATATATATATTTTTGTTTCTTTCTAATTGTCTATACTTCTTTACCTTATATTCTATCGCATTGCCCCCGGCAATTTGATCAAACTTGCCTCATATTGCCCCCGGCAATTTGATCAAACTTGCCTCATATTTTCTCTTATATCGTTCACCCTGCTTCGGTCCTTCTTACTCTTCGAACTTTCAAACAGATTGTCTTTCATCTTCTTTTCTCAAATTGACATTGTTCAAACGGTGACGTTCAACCTCTTGTCCAATCAACGCCAATTAGTAATATTATTAAAAAAATAAATTTTAATCATGTATGTAGGACTTATAATTTATTTTCGCTCCGGGCCTAAAAAAAGTCTGAGACGGCCCTATCAATAAATAATAATATTTTATTGATTAGTAGAAGTGTATAAGAAATTTTTATATTACATTTGACTTTATGTATAAAGTAATTGTATATGTAATGGTATATTTGTAATTTAAGTAAAAATAAAAGATATTGTTGTATTAATGTATAATTATTTTTTTATGAAAATAGAAAATAAATACTTTTTAGTGGGACAAATAAAAAAAAAATACTTGAAATTGGGACAAAAAAATATACTCCTTCCGTCCACTTACAATGTTTACATTTACTTTTAGCGCGATGTTTAAAAAATAATAGTATTTTAATTATAGTGAGTAGTTAAAAGTAGTGTAATGACATTTTTGTCCCTTTTTTTTGTGTAAAAGTAATGATGTGATGTAAAGTAAGAGTACTTGTGGAAAAAAGTAGGGTATTTAATGAAATGTTAACTTTGTAACCATACGTTTCAAAATAGAAATATGTAAACATTGTAAGTGGACGGATAAAGTATTAAACAATATGGAATAAGTTTGGTTGATAGTAGGATTTATGTTTGTAACTTGTAATTTTTTATATGATTTGATTAATATTATAAATAATACTTCATCTGTTACGGTTAAATTGTCTCGATAAGATATTGAGTTTTAGATATTATGTAATTAATATGTAATTAAAAAATATATTAGTAAAAATAATTATGATTTAATTAAAATAATTATAGATTAAGGGTGTATTTGGCAATTAGCTGATATTTGTTAGTTGTTAGCTGAATCAATTAGCTGGTTTGACCGGCTAATTCAATTAGTTGTTTGTATTCAAATGTTTGGTAAAATAACTGCTTGATATTAGTTGGTTATACGTAAAATGACAATTAAGAACATTTCTATTTTATTTTTTCTAAACATATTCAATTGTGTTCTTTTGAGTTTAAAATGTTTGAAAAATTTTCTCATTAGTTATTGAAAATTGTAAAAGTATTATAAAATAATATTTATTTTTATTATAGTTAGAATTAAAAAATAATATATTTTTATTGAAAAATATAAATAATTTTTTCTATCAAAAAGATATAAAATATAAAATAATAAATTATTTATTATGTTAATTATCAATTACTTCATTATATTTATAATTTTCAAAAAATTTAATTTATTTAATTTATTTTTAGTATAAAATTTATATAATGTAATTTTAATATAAAAATAAATTAATAATATCTATATTTTCTATTTTGTGTTAATTTTAATAAATTTCTATATTTTACAATTAAAATAATTTTTATATAAAAATTAATTATTTTAAATTTATAAAAATAAAACTATAATATAATAAAATATTCTAATATAATTAATAAATAAACAAAATATATTTATTTGTGTAAAATGCATAATAAATGGGCATATTATGAATAAAAAAAATTTAAACTGAAAAAGTTAGAAAATCAACAGTTTAATTCAAAATATTCATTTTGTTCTTTCAATACAAATTTCAATTGCGATTCCCCAAAATAATAATAAAAAATACAAAATATTTTATACAAAAGTCAAAATGTCAAAAAAAACTTCAAATACCTGTTATGAAAAGTCAAAAAAATTATTAAAAAAAATGTAAAAATCAAATATTCGATCTAAAATAATATATTTTATATTTTTAACACAATTTCTCATACTATACCACAAAGAATATTTCATTTAAAAATGACGAGTAAACATAGGCATTATAACCTAAAAAACAACTAAAGCGAAAAGTACAAAGTGAATATGTCCAATATATTTATATAATTAAGATAAATTAAAAAATTTATAATTAATATATTTATTTATTAAAAATAATTTAATCGCAAAAAGCAGAAAAGAAGAAGAAGAATTAGCGGGTATTAAGTTTGGCAGGGGGTTTACCCCATGTGTACTTTCGGGTAACGGCTGCGGATTTTTATACTATAAAAAAAACAAATTGTTTTTAATAAATATTACTCCCAAATTATTATGTCGTTTTTTTATTAGTAAAATTGTCTATAACTTTCTTATGGTTTCGAAACTCGGCGTAATTTTTTTTCACTTTAAAAATTGTATGACGATTCCCTACATTTTTTTTTTGAAAACTCAACGTAAATCCTTACTTTATTTTAAAAACTGCATGACGTCTTTTTATACTTTAAAAAATATTGCATTAAACCCTCGTCATGTAAAAAATATAGATAAAAAATTATCTTCTAATCACTAAGAGGAAATTTCATGATGGTGGAGTTTTATGCAATATTTTTAAAATATGAGCAGACACTGTACAATTTTGAAAGTATAAAAATAATTTATGTTGAATTTTTTAATCGCAGAGTAGTTTAAAACAGTTTTATCTTTTTTATTTGTTAAATTTATACATAATTTATCATAATAAATAATTTTATCTATTTATAATTTTTTTATAGGTTAACTATTTGTTATTATTATTATTTTTTAATTACCCTAGTATTTTTTTCATAATAAACTCATTTTATTTTGTATCTAACTTATTTTTTTATATTAAAATACAACTATTTTATTTTATTTTTTTTGTCTTGTACTTAGCAATATGACATAAAAAGAAAGCCCGACGAAAGGAGTATTCTCCATTGAAATAATTGGATTTTGGGACCAAATGGTCAATTGACTTCAAGTGGCCAATTTGTAAATACAACAAATTAGAAAGATTAAAATTAGAAATATAAAAAATATAGGGATGAAAGGGTCAATAAATAAATAAAAAGCGCAATGGAGATCACGTGACCACCGACCAGCTTCTCCGCGTCTATAAAAAACACCCTTCTACCCTAATTTCCCAATTCACAATTGAAAAATTCCTTTTCTGCAAAATTGATAGATCTCAGAAGAAATCTCACCTGCGAAAATGGCGTCCGGCGTTCTAATTTTCCGTCCGGCGGTCGTGCGAGCAGGAGTCAGCGCCGCGGATGACCGGAAATCGGATCGGACGAGGAGGAATTCGTCTTCGAAGTGGTGGTCGCCTATCTTCGGATTCTCCTCCGATCCGGACTATCTGAACGACGGCGAGAAGAAGAGCGGCGGCGCCGCCGCAGCGGACGGCGACATGAGGCCGGAGAGGAGTCGGTTCGCGCCGGCGGCGTTCACGGAGGAGAAGGCGAGGCAGCTCCGGCGGATGAGCCGCGATACGTCGTCGTTTCACGAGCCTATGTATCATTCGGCGATTGCATCGCGGCTTGCGTCGGACTTCTCAGATCGGACGGCTGAGGTTTAGCGTGAGGAGTGGTGGTGACGTGGCAGGCATCGGGGACGTCAGGGATAAGATTGTAATTTAGGTGTTTATATATATGGGGTGTAAATAATTGTGATTTTTAAGTTAGGGTATTGATGAAATGTATATTTATTTGAGTGGGATAATAATTGTGATGGAATTAATTGAAAAGTGAAAAATATTTTTTTTATATATATATAATACTTCATTCGTCCCAATAGAATAGTCTTGTTTAATATTTTTATTCGTCCCAAAATAATAGTCTTATTTTTATAAATAATTATATTACTATAAAATTATTTTTATTTTTTATTATTATTACACAATTGCTAATACTTTTTACCACTGTCAATATAATTTGAATATTCTTTAAATTTTGTGTCAAATATAATCCATATTAGTCTGGAAGGGGGAGTAATACATTTGATTTTATTATATCATTAAAATAAAAATAAAAAAATATATATTTCTCTTTTCAATCATATTATTTAATTTTTAAATTATTTCATTTTTTCTCTTCAATCATATTATGTAATCTTTAAATTATCTCAAATTATTTTACTTAATATTACCTACCTAAATTTTGTTTTCGGTATTTTATCTATTTATAATTTTTTACTCCTGATTTAGTAATTAATAACTAGTTTATTATTAATTTTAATAATTTATTTCATTATTTTAAATTAATTATTCATAAATTTTTTTATAATATTTCACTTCATGGTTTATCTATTTTATTTTTTAATTAAAATATTATTATTATTTAATTTTGTGTCTAAATAATGTAAGAGTATGTTTGTTTGGGGGATTGGATTTTAAATATACTATTCATCCATTTTTTTTTCCAAAAATATCAAATCAAACACTTATTTTTTATTTTTTATATTATACTAAAAATCAACTTGACATTCAAAACATCAAACCAATACCTATTTATATCCATCATACAACTATTCAAATTCAAAATTTTTACTATTCAAATCCCAATTCAAAATTCAAAACCCCAAACAAACAAGATAACCCGAACTAAAGAAATGTCATCTAATATAAGTGATAATATGTATTTTATTTATTTTTTAAAAAATATTTGTTTATTTTTAGTACGCGTTGATAATTAAAATATATTTTAAAATTGACTTTTTAAAGTGTAATTACGAAATTACCCTTGCTAGAGGGGGAATATTCTGATGCCAAGTTGCCAAAAAGGAACCTTCGTCACTTGTTGGAATATGCTTTTTATTATTATTATTATTACTATTATTATTATTATTATTATTATTCTTTTCATCCCACATATCATATTCATATTGCTGTTTCTGTTCGTTTCATATACTATGTCATTTTTTTTAAAAAAAAATAATAATAATTATACATTTTAATCTCATTTTAAATTTTTTAATTTTAATTAAACTAATTAGTTATCTTAATCTTAATTTATAATTATTTATATTATAGGATAATTATTTTTACTAATACATTATTAATTATCTATTAATTACACTCCTCTTAAAATATCGTGTTTACAGTATAGCAGACACGGTATGTGGAACGAAGAAAGTATTTTATAGCCTGGAATTTATAGTCGGCAGCTTTAAATAAATTTTTCAGAACTTAATAGTTATTTATTATTATTATTATTAAATATATAAATTTAAGAAAATTATAATTAATAAATAATTAAAAATATATTAATAAATATAATTATTTTATAATATAAATAATTATAAATTAAAATTAAAATAATTAATATATCTAAATAACTAATTCATGCATTATTTATGTGCATACAAAAAATAATTGATAACTATTTATTTATTTATTTTTCTTAATAGAAATTTTCTTATAACCAAATAAAACAATCTATTTTCATTATCTACTTAATTCATTTTATTTGTAATTCTATTTTCTACAACTATTTATGCAATTTTATTTCATGTACCAATGCCCCCTAAGTTGAAATTATTATTTTGATACTCTCTATTATCCATTTTTTTTTTTATTGTCATTTAAATTTAAATGTATTCATTTTTTTTTTAATAAAAAAATATTCCCTCCGTCCCAATACAATAGTTCTATTTACCATTATTTTTCGTCTCAAAACAATAGTCTCATTTTCATAAATAACCATATTACTATAAAATTACCATTAATTTTTCATTATTATTACACAATTGACACTACTTTTTACACTAATATACTCACAAAGACAAAAAAGTCTTTTATCCATATTTTTCATCCACTACCAATATAATATCAATATTCTTTAAATCACGTGTCAAACACGACCCAGACTATAGTTTTGGGACGGAGGGAGTACTATTTTTTGAGTTTTTCTTTTTTTTTTTTACTCTAAAAAGGAAATTTTTTTATTTTTATCTAATTTTTTAAAACTTGTCTGATCAAATAAATTCACAATTGGACGACGGATGAAATATAAAAAGTTAATTACATTATCTAAAAATTAAGAAATATCTTAAATAATTATAAAATGCTTATTTGGTCCACTTCAAAAGTATTTATTAAATTTTTTTTTTGATAAAATTTGATAAATGTTGTATTTTAAGTATAATTAGTGTTACTTTTGTATGTAAAATGCTCTTTTACTCTTAATATATAAACTAATACAATGATATTAATATAAATAAGCAAATTTAAATTTAAGAGTATAATGTGTAGTGGGTTTTTTCAATGGTTGAAATAAAAATAAAATTTTGATATTTAAATAAGTAAAAATAATAAAACAGGAATTTAAAAATAAATAAATAAATCATTTAAATTATAGTGTCAATATTTAAAATGTGGAAAAAAAATTAAAAATAATAATTGCTTAAATACAGACAAAAGACAGTGAATTATATTATTAATAATATATATTATATTATATTCAACGGTTTCGAAACAAATTGGCAACGAAATAAATTTGTTAGCACGTGCCAAATTCAGAGTATATTCTTGTTTTTATATTTATTTTGATTTTTATTTTAAAATAATTTAAATATAAATATTTTGTAAAAAAATTAATATATTCATTTTCTTTTATATAAAATTGTTTGTAATAAAAAAATTATTTATTTGTCTCACCTCAATATATTATTTTATTAATTTTGTATATTTTATTTAAAAGTATCATTCTTTTATTACAATAAAAATAACAAATATATAAATACTAAAATATTCTTTATTTTTTTTTGTATTTATAAGGATAAAAATATTAAAATCTACTTACATTTCTATTAATCAATAAAATAAAAAATAACATTGGGATGAAAAAAATAATAGAAAATATAATATTTTATACTCCCTCCGTCACACATATTATGTCCATGTTGCCGTTTCTGTCCGTCCCACATATCATGTCATTTTCCCTTTTTTGGAAAATAATTACATATTTTAATCTCATTTTAAACTTTTTAATTTTTTTTTTAAAATTTTAATTAAACTAATTAGTTATCTTAATCTTAATTTATAATTATTTATATTATCGGATAATTATTTCCACTAATACATTCTTAATTATCTACTAATTACACCCCTCCTAAAATACCGTATCTATAATGTAGCAGACACGGTAGCAGAGACGGTACGTGGAATGAAGATAGTATTATAATGTTAATTATTTTTGTAAAATGATAAAATATATTATATTATATATATTGAAAATTACGTCGAAAAGAACAAACCTTATATTTTGATTTTTTTTGGATAAGATATAATATTTTTAATATAAACATATTAAAAAATAAAAGTGGACATACTATTGAAAAAAAAAAAAAAAAAAGTGGACTAGGTATTTTTCAACTTGTATAGGATTTGTTTGTTTGTGACCAATGCCTGCTGCTATTTTTTATGGGATAATTTTTTTCATTTTTTTTTAGCTATATATAAGGAGGTCTTTTACAATTCCTTTTTTTTTTAATTTTATTTTATATTTTTTAAATATGCAATTGCACAATTATTTATAAGAATATTCAATTTATATATAATATCAAATTTAACAATTAATTATTTTTTTTTAAAGAAGAAATAAAGAAAAAAGAAAGAAAAAAAAAAGCATATATATATTATAAACATATATTTTATTCTTTTATTATTATTATTTTAATTTCAATTTTGAAGATTTAAGTATAGTGTCCTATTTCAATTCCACTTTTGGTTCCCAAAGTTTTTTTTTGAGTAAATTACTACTCCCTCCGTCTACAAATTAATGTCCTATTTATTCTTTTGGACGTCCAACAATTATTGTCCTATTTCTTTTTCTAAACACAAATTTTACATTTTTATCCTTCATTCATTTATTACTTTTCATATCTACCATACAATTAAAGACAAATTTGTCAATTCATGACAAAAAGACAATTAACTAAAAAACCGAACAAATATACTTTAGGACAATAGAAATTGGACGGAGGGAGTATTATTTTATTTTATTTTTTACTCTCGCAATTAATGTTTGTATTGAAGTAGTAATTTAACTAGATTTTTTTACAAATTTAGTTCTTCGGCGCCGAAGATGCTTGTGTGGTACGCCAAATGACACTTGGAATAATAATTTGTTGCGAAATTTATTTTTCTAGTTTTGTAATTATTATTTTTATCATTTATTTTTCTAGTTCCACAATTGGTTTTCTTGGCATCGAAAATGCCCACGCGGCACCCAACCAAGACTTTTTATTTTTATTTTTAATAATGTGAGAATTCGCAGATTTTTAAAAACATTTACAATGACTTTTGCCTCAATTAGTGACTTTCCATCAATTAAGGTAAATTAGTATTTTATAGACGTGTAATGTAATAAAGTAGTGTAATATTTATTTTATCATTGGTATTAAAAGTAAAAATAATGTGAAAAAGTAAAGAGTAAGAATATTTTGATATTTTTAGTTGTAATAGTTACTTTTATTTTTTTTAAAAAAAAATAATAAGTTTTATCTTTTGACAAATAAAATAACAAAATAAAAAAAAGTTTATTATTTGATGAATGGAGTATAAAATATCACAAATATCTATTTGATTTGATTTTTCTTAGGAAAAAATTTGGGGCAGTTTCTTTAGCAAAGTTTCCTCAAATTTTACTATTTTGATTCTATATTTTTCGAAAAAAAAATATATATTTTTTCTACTCACAAAATATCTCATAAAACATTATTCTCCTACCAAATTCAATCAAGTCAATTTTTTTCCAATCTCATAAAAAAAAAACACACCCTTGGTGAATAGTTGAAATTCTAGATGTTTCCCAAAACATTGTTTATGAGATTTTCCCAAAAATTCATTATTCCTAAAAACTTTTTTCTCAAATAACATCACATCAAATATTTATTTTTTATATTATACTAAAAAATAATTTTATATTAAACATACCATATTAACACATATTTAAATCACATCGTACAACTATTCCAATTCATAACTTTATTCAAATCTCAACTCAGAATCCAAACACTCAGACCCTAAATTGCATTTGGAGGAATTTTCAGTGTTTTTTAGCATTTCAAATAAAAATAAACGTTATTCATCAGCACAATTTTCAATAAATATATAATATTCTCTTCGTCCCATTGAAAGGTTACTATTTTTCATTTCCGTTCGTCTCAAAACAAGGTTACAATTTCCTAATTTAGTAATTGTACTACCTACTTAACATAATAAATACACTTCAAACTTACACTATATTACACAAATATCATTACTTTTATATTACACAATACAAATAGGGATATTTTCGTCATTTTCACTACAATCCATTATAATACTAATATTCAAAAATCTACTTGCAAAAAGCAAATGTCACCCTTGTTCCGGGACAGAGGAAGTATTTTTTTTTACAAAATATTATTTAAATAAAATTTCAAATAAACACTCTTATTTCAAAATTTCAATCAGAACCAAACAAACATAAAATTAGAAAATAAGGAATTTTGAGACCTCTTTAAATTAGTTTTTACTCTATTTCTTTTGTTCTGTTTTTATTTATCATTTATTAAAAAGTAGTTTTATATTTAAAATATTAAATTAAATATATATTATTTTATTTTATTATTATATAAAGTTAAATATATTTAAATATTATATCAATATTTATTTATTTTACATCAAATAATTATAAAATTATAGGCCTAATTATATTATACATGGATGACAATAATATGTAATGACATACTCCTTCCGTTCTACTTAATTTGTCGATATTTCTATTTTTGTCTGTCGCATGTGATTTGTTCTTTTATTTATTTGAAAATATAATTATACCATCAATTCATATTTTAAAATTAATAATTAATAATTTTTTATTTTAATTAAACTATTTATTCATATTAATCTATAATTATTTTTATTAATACACTTCTTAATTACTTCTTAATTATACAATATCTCAAATTTCATGCATAAGCTAAATATAACAATTACAAATTATTATTTTTACTAATCAATCCATATATCTTTAACAAAGATGTACTATTCCCTCCGTTCCAATATAATAGTCTTTTTTACCATTTTTGTCCGTCTCAAAACAATAGTATTGTTTTCATAAATAATCATATCACGATAAAACTACCCATATTTTTTTTATTGCACAATTGTCACTTCTTTTTACACTAATACACTTACAAGACAAAAAAGTCTTTTATCTATATTTTTTACCGACTACCAATATAATATCAATATTCCTTAAATATCGTGGACAACACAATAAGACTATATTTTTGGGACGGACGGAGTAATAGAAAGATAGATAAAAAAAAATTTTGCTCTTAAAACTATTTACTTTTTATAGTATTTTTCTTTTTGGGATGACTAGGAAACCCGCAGCCACTATCTGAAAGTGCGCACTGAGTAAACTCTCTGCCGAACCTAATACCCTGCAAATCAGGTTCGACAGAAAAGTCACACTAGGCGAACATCCATAACCTCACGGTCACAAGTCCAATCCCTGCATTACCGGACCATCCCTTACTTTTTTTATAATATTTTTCCTTTTAATATTATGTAAAATATAAAACTATTTTTATTAAATAATAAGTATACTTACTAAAAAGAGATATTGAGAGTTGACATGTTAAAATAATAAAATGAATACATTCATAGTTATAGAAAAAAGTATTATAGATTATATATAAAAAAAAATATTTGAAAAATAAATTATCTTCAATAATATTAGGATTTGTTCTAATAATTTTAAATATATACAATAAACAATATATATAAATATTAATTTTATAAATTAAAAAAACTTAATTATTACTCCACAAAATTAATTCATTTTTCTAATTTTTCTACAAAATTAATCTTTTTCTTATTTAATATTTTTTCCATCGACCAATTTTATATAGTTCATCAACACTTCTTTAGTGAAATAATTTCTAATTTTATAGGTAGACGGAGGAACTAATAATAAACGAACAAACTATAAATTAAATTAAATTAAAATATTAATTAAATCTAATTATTTTAATCAAATAAATAAATAAATAAATAAATAATCCAAAAGCACTTTTTCAACAATTATAATAAAAAAAACAAGAAATCAGATTAAATTCCCAATTCGTTCCGCACCCAGAAATTTCTTCCTCGTCGTTTCCTCGCTCCAAAATCCGTCGGTCGCTTCTTCAAATTGAAAATTTTTTCTCACGCTCGTCGTCGTTGCTTGCGGAATTCAGGTAATACTCCAATCTCTAATAATTTTATGTATTGTGTTTGTTTGGAGTAGTTCCAATTGATTGATGGGTGGGTGCCTTTGGAATGAAACTTTTTTCATTTCGATTTTTTCATTGTTTCCGATTTTGATGTATTCAGTTGTGATTTCAACTTATTCAGTTCTGATTTACTCGGGCAGGTATTGAAATAGGGTTTCTTCCGGGTCTATTTTCTTGTACAGTATTTCTTTTTTTCTTTTGATTTTTTTCGGATTTTTTTGGGGCTATTTTGTTTATAGGATTGGAATTGGAAAGCAGTTAGGACAAGATGAACTTTCTTGTGACTCTATGCACCTCGAATTTGGATTTTTTTATTGTGATTGGAATGAGTGAAAAGCAATCGGGACAATATGAACTTTGTTAGAATTTAATCGTAACTTTGCGCACACACTCCTTACCTTGTGTGGATCATGTCTATGTAACTGCAATTTTTTTAATTACGAGTGTAATGGAGAATAAAATTTTCAACAGAGTTTTTCCCCTGTAAAAGACACCTCTCTGGTAAAGGATTCTTCCCCTCTTCTGTGGTTTTTCTGCAACTCGGGCCTTCTCCTTCCATGAAGGCTAGATTGAAGCTTGCCGGAGTATGATGGTGAATCGGAGCTGTACGGATGGCAATCTCTTTTCCCCGTTGAAATTGAGAGGATCTTGCGCTATTAATTCTTTAATCCTTGCTTGTGAATGGAGTCGGCCAAGTATTCGGGTGTGAAGGTGACGCGTGCAGGACAGGAGAAGAACAGCGTGCAGGTTGTAGAATGGGAGGATTATGAACAGGAGCTCGCACGCTTGTGCAGCTTGACAACTGCTCTTGAGGAAGCCAACAAGAAGAAATCGGTCCTTAAAGAGAAGCTCGAGCCCTTGATTGAAGTAAGAAGTTTATATCATACATATATATATATATATCTATACACACACATATATAAGACTTGGAGGGTTTTAAGACTTTATATGTGAGGGGTTTGCATTTTTTTTTTCTGTTCATATAGTAATTGATTTGCATTAGTGTGATTCAATCCCTTGTGTTGAGCTTAACTGCATAATCTACATTTCGAAGAGAATGATATTCTGTTTGAAGTTGAAATGATATGGAATGCATTTTTAATGGGCTTTGAAAGTCAATAAAATTGCTATTTGATGTGCAAAATTATTTTAAAGAGATTATGATGTGCACAAAATTGAACTTGGTTATAGTTGGAAGTTGCCCCAATTCTAATGTCGGTTTGTAGTGAATATACAAGCAATTAAGTACGATTTTTAAAGAAGTAGTTCCCTTGATGATTAATAAATCATATAACAATGCTATGGTGGTTATGTGAGGTGTTATGTTCAATTTTCATCTTCTTTAATAGATGATGTGATGCCCTTACAGAAAGATGCTGAATCGTTGAGTCGGTCAAATGAGCTTGATATAATGCTGGAAAAATTGGAATCTCGTAAGTTGGTGATGGGAAAAATGTCAATGCATTCCAAGGTTGTGCAGGAGAAAGTAAGAAAGCAGGAAGAACAACTTGGTACAGAAATTAGGTCTTTATTGGTTGCAGGAAGTTCTCTTTCTGAGGCCAACAAGCGTTTGCAGGTATACATTAGCTACTATTTGTTTTTGAGGTGTCTAATAAAATACCCGGTTTGTAATTTTGTGACTGTTAAGGTGCTACGTCACACTTCTCAGCTGGTCTATTTTGCTTTATCCATGTATCTTTCTTCTTTTTACATTAGTCCATTTGCATCAAACCTATTTTTTCCCCCAAAACCTAAAAACTATTGTCAACAAATCATATAAGAGAAGCTGCTTGCCATCACATGCGGATGAAATGTGGGAAACAATCACTAGTGTTACAATTTAGAAGAGGTTTGTTGGCTGTTTAACTCCAGGATTTTATTTATTTATATTACTTCTATATAGTTTCTCAACTCTTAGGTTTTGTATTGGTTCCATTTTTACATACTCTCTTGGTGCTTTTAGTTTATTGATTTAATCTGGTGTGATTACTAGTATTAGTTAATGTTGATGACAAAGATAAATGTTGTTAGCATATGGAGATCATAGTTAAGTTTAGGTGCTGTTAAAGCCATGGTGCACTGAGTTCAATATTTTCCCTCATTACCAATATTCAACTTGAAATGTAGTGTTCGAGAGTTAAATCAGCATGCAATGATTTATGGATGTCGTGCATATTTTAAAGTTACTTATTTGGTTTTTAAAACTGTATTATAGTTTTGTTGCCACTTTATATTTATAGTTACAATTTTATTCGCTCTCTATATTTTAGCATTGGAGTAGCAATTTATTAAGTGTTCTATTTTTTTATTGGGTATATAAAATTAAACCCCTTTTCCTAAAATTATTGTATCATTCATAATCAATCTTTGGATTACTATATTCTGGAGTAACGTTTTAGTGAATTTCTTTACTATAGATTAACAGATCAACATCTCAATATCTATGGATAGTTGGATCAAGGTAGTTTTGGTTTCAATTCTCTTATTCTTTCCCGGGTAAATATGCAATTGGAGTATTCCGCAAGACAACTCAAAACCTGTCGTCCTGTCCTTATAATTCAGGCCATATGGCTTTGGAATCCATTTACAGCTGATTCTAGTCTTGAAGATTCACAAGTATTTGACATGCGTGTGGAGTCTAAAGTTACAAGAAAGGAGTATACGTTTGGGTAACAACAGCGACTTGAGGTCTCTTAGATTATAAGGTTAAAAGAAAATTATAAATAAATAAAAGAAAAAAAATAAAAAAAAAATCAAGCCCATGTTTGAATGTAAGTGCAATTGAGAAAAGTCAGTTGATTGAGCGTCAGACTGTTCGTATTAACGTAGACAATGAATGGAAAGTAGACTCAGTAGATTCCCACATTGGCATTTTAGGAAAAACAGCGGATGTTAGATGTTCAAGAAAAATGCCCATATTTTCTTTAAAAATATTGGATTCAAGCCTCACAGTTGTAGAAAAGCCACTTAGGGTGAATTTGTTTGGGGGATTGGATTTTGATTTGAGATTTGAATTGTAAAAGTTTTGAATTTTTTGTGATATAAATAAGTATATATGATGTTTTAAATATAAAATTGATTTGGAGTATGATATAAAAAGTGAAAAACAGGTGGGTGTTTGTTTTGATGTTTTTTGGAGGAAATTTTTTTATGAATAGTTGATATTTGATAACATTTTATAAACGAACACACCCTTAGAGAAGCCCATGTTTCAAATGTTCACGTTTTTCCTACAAACATATTTGGCTCAAACACACATTCATATAAGATGCTGATCGTTTAGTATATTTCCTCTTTCTTTGCTTTGCTTCTAGTGAATGGTTATGCAATATAATTTTCAGCTTCCACATTTTTTAGATCACATTTATCCATTGCAGGATTCAAGTAGGTCAATTTCTGGAGAACAAGGATATGGTCGTCTTAAAAGATTGCAGAAAATATTGAGAAAGAGGCAGCAGTTAATGGTTTCACAGGTTTCCATGTTGTACCCAGTGAAGATTGTGATCAGAAAGGCTCCTGTGCAAGAGCTTGAATCATTCAGTAGCAATATTAAGTCAGGTAATTCTAACTGCTTAGTTGAGATACTGTTTAGTGATATTTCTCTAGTACTTTGATACTTAATGTAAACTTGAATATTTCATGTCTCCCATAGATTTTATATCTTGTATCTTCTTTACAATTGGAATAGCATGGCCATTATATGTATTGTACTTCCTTTGATTTTGATAATGTTATTCTATCTTCAAATGAAAAAATTACAGTATTTCCAAGTTTTTTTTGGGCCTTGTTTTGGAGAGTAAATTAATTTTATTGATAAGGAAATAAGCTTTAGCTACAATACAAAAGAATCAGAAGATAGACAAGTTTTGTTGCCGTACATGCTTGTTTGTGCTTGCACATGTGATATTCTACCATTGGCTTTCCTTATCTTTACAATTTTCTCAAACCAGCTTTTCAGAAATATATTAAGCCTAAAAAACTTAATAATCAGTGTTGATGTTGTTGAGTTTTGGTCCCAGTGGCAATCCAAGTGGCGCGCTTGCCCAAATTCCAAGGGATTTCCCAATGTCTATGGCATTGACTATGTTGAATCATTTTCTTCAGTTGGGATACGTGTATGACGTTCCACCATAATGGCTGCTTGCTTAAAAAATTTCTCAGATAAATTAGAACTGTTTCTATACTGCAACTTGATTCTTTCAAGAAATTGTCTTCAAGACTAAATGGTATTCGTGCTTCATGACTTAGTTGACACAGCGAACATTATTTCAAGTTGCATATTAATCTGATGTCTCTGGGGAATGCTATTTACAGTTCTAAAATATTATGCCTCTTGCTGCTAATTTTCAGGTGTTCCTGATGGATCAAAAATGCACGACCAAGGTATATTGACAATCTCAGGTCTGCATCTTACAGTGGTCCCTTTTACAAAGATGAGTTTTTTCGCTGACAAGAAGGAGGTCCAACGAACTTCAACTGCGCTGGGATATGTAGCCCATGTGTGTTCCTCTTTTGTTTTAATATCTAAAAATTGGATTGGAATTTACTCATACATTTTACCAAGTATCTGTGGTTAGTGTGAAATTGGCGAGCTTGTATTTACAACATCGTCTCATGCATATATCTTTTTGATTATGCAATCTGTCAGTGTTCTATTACTAAACTAATATTTCTTAATCACGACAGTGGGTCTGCTTTGCAGGCCGTTTCACTTATCGGGTCGTATCTGCTAGTTCCTTTGCGTTATCCAATACGCTTAGGAGGGTCTCATTCATATATACGTGACTATTCCCCATCCATTGAGTCTTCTGCATCTTCCAGCACCGATTCAACAACTTCAACAAGTATCAAGCTTGTGGAATTTCCACTCTTTATTGAAAGACAAGACTCAACGAGGGCAGCTTATGCTGTATTCTTGCTAAACAAGGTGCGTGCCATTGACAATTTTTGTATTTTTTCAGTAGTCTCACAAGTATTTGAAGATCTTATTAACATTATCTTTTTCATTTAGTACATGCGTCTGATTCTGCTTGTTTGCGTTGTCAGGCATTTTTGTTGATTTGAGTTACTTTAGGAATAGTAGAATGTATACTAAAAAATAGGTTGTGGATGTGATGTTTTTTAGTGGAAAATCTGTGTTGGGAGTGATGTTTTTGAATTGGAAAGTAGGTTTTGAACTTTTGATGTCATATTTTAATTGAAAAATAGATATGAATGTGATGTTTTCAATAGAGAATATATAGTTGCTATTGTTTTCATAGCATGTATAATTGGTTTCCATAACACAAGAAAACTGATTTTGTGGTTCTTAATTTAGTTGTGATGCTTTAGTCTGCTCCCTGACCTGATATTATATACTAACAGTAATTTATTGATTTGGAAACTGTTTTCCGAGTGAAATTATATGAAAATTATTGTTGACTATATGAGTAGGGATTAATGTAGACAGAATAATTAGAATAAGATCAGGGTAAGACTTTTTAGGGATTTTTTGTTTGTATCCTACTATAGTTAGGCCTATAATCGTATGAAGATAGGCATATTATTCCTAATTAATAGATTGTAAATTAGCATTATAATTACACAAACATTTTTTCATGCATTGAAAGTAGTACTATAACATATAATTCTTGTCCTTCTTAGGAATCACGTCACTGCAATTCTGACTTTTTCTATGTTGTTTGCATTACTAGGCGTATAGGCATAATTTAGTATTAAGGTTAGTTACACTTGCTAGAATCTGCAGGGTGTTTTCTCATTAAAATAAAGAACACAATAAGATATAGAGTGAGAACACAACAATCAATAATGAAACAACCTCAAATCCCTGATACATCTTGACGAAAATTATTATATATTCAACTATCAATTATTTAGTTATTTACTCACTCAAGAAAAACTGTAGCAGGAAGTAATATCTTATTAAAGGGATGTAAATGAATATGGGTAGGGTTTGACTAGTTGTGTTTTGGGGTGCTTTTTTTTTTTTTTTTTTTTTTGAAATAGTAAAATTTTTGTATTGTAATAATTGTTTATATGATATAAATAGGTATTTGATGTAATGTTTTAAATAAAAAAATACTTTTGTATGTAATTTAAAGAATTAATGCATGATAGTGATATTTTAGGAGGGAAATAGAATAGATATTAAAAATGGAAAAATGAAAACACAACTAAACAAACCATAATATCCTATAATGCCCCAACTTTAAATTAGTTTCGAACCTCTTTTATATAACCCCAACGGGTCCATGATTAATTTTCTCATTTGCTTGATGCTAATTTTGTCCTCTTGAGTGATTTTTGTTAGCTCTCATTGAGCTGTTTAAGTTCACATATTTCCAATCTCTGGTTATTTTAAAATAGGATGGATCCTTTCACATACTTGTCTCTGTATTCTTGATTTATTATAATATACTGCTGCCTAATTTGAATAGCTCTTACGATGTATTGATGAAATGTTAATGCAGGATTTGGAGCAGCTCTTAAATTTCATCGGTGCCAAGAGCTTAGGACCACGGCATGTATTAGCAAATTTAAAGGAGCTATATAGGACAATTCTTTCACCGGATTATGTAGATATGTGATCTCGACAACACAGTGAAATTCCGGTAAGTTTCTGTAAATGGAATCTTTGTATTCTTAAAGGGGGGTGCCTATTTTTTTTGCTTGCACCTATGAATATGATGTTGTCCATTTTCCTGGATAATGTTAGATCATAGTTGATATAGACTACCTTTCTGGTTTTTGCAAATTTTTGCCTTAGAAAAAAAAAAAAAGAAAAGAAGCTATGATGGGAGTAGTTTGGTTGTGTTTGATATGATATATATATATATATATATATTGATGTGATATTTTTTTTTGTTGGTTTTTTATTTTTTATTTTTTATGTTGAAAATAGAAAATTTTGAATTATAAATTAGTGTGATGTTATCTAAATTGATATATGAGTTAAGAGCATGGATCAACTGTATGATCAATTCTACAACATGATGTTGATTTGATCGGATCAGCTGTATGGACGCTGATTTGATAGGTCATCAACATATAATTATGTATATTTCAATATACCCCATCCATCCTAATACAAATAGTCTTGTTTACCATTTTTGTCCGTCCCAAAACAATAGTCTTATTTTCATAAATAATCATATCACCGTAAAACTATCCCTATTTTTTTCATTTTTATTAGACAATTGTCACTATTTTTTACACTAATACATTCACAAGGTCTTTTATCTATATTTTTTACCTACTGTCAATATAATATCAATATTTTTTAAATCTCGTATTCAACCTAATTAAGACTATATTTATGGAACGGAGGGAGTATTTATTATAGTATATTGTAACTCATGTTTTATATATATATATATACAACATATGTTGATATATATATAAATATATACTGGTCACCCATATAATATATATGCTAACCGATCAAATCAGTATATTTAGCCGGATTAGCACAAAATCTAATTTTGTAATATAATATAATCTCTGCCTCGTATCAAGTGTTTATTTACTTTTTGCACTTAAATTTTGGAATATTAATGTTTTATATCTATGGGATACAATAGACAGATAAATGAACCATTTTATCACAATGGATGTTTTGTAATATAGTGCTGTAATAATAGGTAAGATGTAAATGTTATTTTTAATATTCATGAGGATAACACTTACTAAAAATAGATAGACTATAATAGAGGAATATATTGAATAAAATATGTGTTTTTGGAAAGAAAAATAAATTATAGTAGGATATATATTGGGGGGTTTGTTCACTTATTTTTGGGTTTTACTATACTTTTATAAATATTATTTTTTTCTATATCCACATTACTTTAGATATAAATTTTTTTGTCCACGTAGATACTGAAATTTAAAAGGATATAATCAGTAAATTAAAATTAAGATAATCAATCAATTCAATTAAAATTAAAGAAATTATAAATTATAAAATTTAACATGAAATTAAAATGTATATTTTTTTGGAAAGTGACATGAATGTGATGTGGGACAATATAAAATTAAAGAAATTATAAATTAAAAAATTTAAAATTAGATTAAAGTGTATTTTTTCCGGAAAGTAACATGAATGTGATAGTGGGACAATATGGACATGATAACTTGGATGGAGAGAGTACTAAAAAGATACAATATTCACATATTAATACAATATCTATAATATTAATTTATTCACTTAAAAAATAATAATAATAATTTGACGTAAAGTATTTGCATTTTTTATAATATTAATATAATTTTTGATACATAATATAAAAATTATTTTTATAGTATTAACATAATTTTGTATACATTAAAAAATATATTTCCAAACACACATAAAACAATTCCCGTAAAAATAAGTTTTAAGATTGAATTGGTTTGGTTGTGTTTTTGTGTGTATTTTGATAATAATAATACAAATTTAAATTGAAATGATTATTTAATATTATATAAATAAATCTTTAATTTGACATTTTCAAAATCAAAATAATTTATGATATAATATAAATAATAAAAGATATATATTGGTGTGTTTGTTTGAGGGATTTGTTTGGATTTTTACTATTCATCCAATTTTTTCCCCCCAAAAACATCGAATCAAACATCTATTTTCCATTTTTTATATTATAGTAAAAATCAATTTTACATTCAAAACATCACATCAACACCTATTTATATCATCATACAACTATTCAAATTCAAAATTTTTACTATTCAAATCCCAACTCAAAATCCAAACCCTCAAACAAACACACCCTAATGTGTTGTTTTCTGAAAAGTGAAGAAAAAAAGATAAATTATTAGGATGCATGCCTATATTAACTTCAATTTTTGTTTGTTATCTTCACATATAACCCTTAATTCTATCATATAATTTAAATTGTTTACTATTAAAAAATAAACAAATAAGTAGATACATAAAAATATGAAAAATAAATAATTTAAAAAATATATATATTTGCAACCATTAAATAATAATACAAAATATTTATAGAAAATATTAATGTATGTAATACTCAATTTTACAAATACTGTTAAACAATAAATAGAATATTAAAATATTTAAATGTCCACAACTATTAAATTTTAATACAAAATATTTATAAAGAATATCAATTTTTGATTGAATAAAGTATTAATAAGTTAATGAACATGTACTTCGAACATTCTGTATCGTTCCTCATCATTTTGTGAAAATAATAATAATAATAATATTAATAATAATAATAATAATAATAATAATAATAATAAAATTGATAATTGTGTGCATAAATCAAGGGTTCTAGGTTAGATTAGGTATATAGAATTATAAATGAAATATTATTTTGAGGGCAAAATTGGAAGTTTATAGGTGAAAATTTGTAACATATTAATGGGGAGTTGTGAAGAATAAATAAGGAGTTACAAAGAACAAATATATGAATATGAACTGACCAGGAAAATAATTTGCAAAATAGGGATTTTAGGAGAATTAACCGATTATTTTATTACAATTTAAAAATTTATTTTTAAATAAAATAAATAAAAATCATAAAAAATACTTTAAATAAAACAAACAAGTACTAAATATTGTAGTGATCAAAATGTGAGTAATAAAATTCATAAGAATTAAAAACCATCACTTGAATGTCATCCAAAAACAACCTTATGGATGAATTGTGCCATCACAATCCACTTCACAAACCATTAGAAACAAAATAAAAAATGACAACCAAAAATCAAATTCCTTAAATTTTTTTCAGGGCGATTTTGAATTTTCGTTTACAATATATTGAAATTTACTGGAATACACATCATTTTGTTTCATATCGTTCCAAACTCCTATTCCGCCCGTATGTATTTTTTCTTTGATCGATGTCGGCAAAGAAAGATAGAACTTTCTACTTTTTTTTAATGTAAAAATAATTTAATTTAGAATAAGAATACACTACATAAATTCTATATTTATACTTGCAATCCCTTAAATTATGCACAATTGAATTATAACTTTAATTATTATATAAAGCAAAAATTACATATGGGCAGTCATACATGCAAGCATGTGAGGTTCTAACAAAGATAATTTGGTTCTATACACTTATATTTTTAAAATTTTTAACATTATTTATTAATATTATTTTTTTAAAATAATTATATTAAATATATATAATTTTTTTTATTTATTTTTCACATATTCTGTGATATTTTTATTTTGATTTATCTTACATATCACAATATTTTCAAGATAATAGTAAATAATTAACTACTCTTTATTTTATTACATCACTTAAATAAATAAATATTTTTCTCATAAGTCACCACATTTTTAATTTATTATATTTAATTTACCCAAAATCTTTTAATTTTATTATTTAAATTATGCATTTTTTTAAAAAAAAAATTCTCACAAAATATGACATCACATGTTATTTTAATATTAAAATTAAATTAAATATTTCCAAATTTTTACAAAAGAAACACACATTTCACCACCATATCTGTGGGAGTAAGGGAACATTATTTGAATTTTTAAAAAATTCTAAGGCTTCTACCGTAATTTGTCTCTGGCGTGTTTATTTGTGGGATTTTGGTTTTGTGTTTGGTTTTAAATAGTAAAAATTTGATATGAAATAGTTGTTTGATGTAATATAAATATGTATTGATGTAATATTTTGAATATAAATTAAATTTTAGTGTAATATAATAAATGAAAAAATAAGTGTCTAATTTAATATTTTGAAGAGGAATTTGGAATAGTAACATCAAAACTACAAAACTAAAATCTCACAAGTAAATACACTTGCCTATTTTTGGATGAATATATATTTTTTATGTTAATTATAGAGAAGTAAGTTCGTAATATAGAAAACAATATCTTATATTAAATTAATAACTTTTTTTATGAATAGATAAAATATATTATACTATATATTATATTTTTAAAACAATTTTTTGAAAAGCAAAAATATAAATGAACTTTCGATAAAGAGAAAAAATAATGTGATTGACAATCCCGCATTTTTTTTTTTTTTTCAGGAATGAAATAAGATAATGCAATTTTGGCGTTGGGAAACAACCTGTATGTTTGATCTTTTACTATATATTATATATATAATATACAAAATAAAATAAAATAAAAATAGTTACAATGAATTTTGTTGTTATCTAATGCAACAATTTTTAAATTTTTAACTTTATTTTTTGTTAATTTTTTTGTTCGTATTAATAGAGAAGCTCAACAAAAGAAATATAATTGTCCCGTAAAAGATAGTATGAGGTGGATTAATAACCGTGATTTAAAATTTAAATTTAATTTTTTGTTATGCATTTGTGTGTTCTTGCTAACTTTCACTTAATTAGAGTTTGATTACCCTTTTTGGCCTTTTTTTGTAATTAAAATTTTAATTCTTGAAAAATTATGTACTAAGAAAAAAAAAAGGTACAATAGCAATTTAGTTATACATAAAAATACTATTAATTATTATTTAAATATTATATTTTAAATCTCTCTATAATATATAGTTGTATACAAAGAAAATATATAGATATAAGAAAAGAAAATATAGAAAAATGTGACATAGATATTTAAGTTAAATAATTTAAAATGGAAGATGGAACCAAAAAGATAAACCAACTCCCCCAACATCACAACATTCCCCTCCATCTATATTATCGGTATTAGTGTTTGATTATTTTTATTATAATACGATAAAGATACTTTTAAACGGAACACATAAAAATAATAATAAAAAAGTACTCTCTTCGTCCCATTTTTAGGTGGGTAATATTAAGTAGGATAATTCAGAAATTATGTGATGTGATGGAGAAAGAAATATATATTTTATTTTTTTTATTTGGATGATGCGAGGCGATAAAGTGTGGGGACAGAGATTAAGTATAATTAATTATTTTCTATTTTTGGTGGAAATATTGCAGAGTGTTTGAAACATACCAAAAATGAAATGTTGTAAGGTGTTTGGGACGGAGGGAGTACTTTACAGGAACAGGCCGAATATAGACTATTATACTGATCAAAATGTGAGTAATAAACTTCATAAGAATTAAAAACAATCACTTAAATGTCATCCAAAACAACCTTATGGCTGAATTGTGTATATCACAATCCAGTTCACAAAACATTAGAAACAAACTAAAATAACAAAAAATCGAATACTTTAAATTTCCAAGGCGAGGCGATCCAGACAGCCCGCGTCGCCTAAGAACTACACCTCAAAGGCGCACGATAGAACTTTATAAAGCAGAAAAAAAAAAAAAAAAGAAAAGAAAAGAAAAACACTCGAGCGAGCAATTGTTGGTTGCGTGGGGAATTAAAGAAGAGCTTAAGAAGCACAATGTAGATGTCGCCTACATACCCTGGTCGATGAGATAATCAGCCAACCGTTCGACAACAATGTTGCATTGTCCCGGGGTTACGGGCTCCTCGTATACCCCAAAAATCAGAGATTGTCCTGTCTTCTTTATGGTTATGCCTCCAGAACCCTGAGATATTGTTATTACTCAAAGTGTCTGAATTCTATAAAATGCTTTTTTAGGAATGCGATAATAAAAGCGTGGGAACTTGAAGAAATTCGACAATTCGACAATTTGGCGCTGTAAAAGGAATGGGATAACAGCATAGGGTAGGTAACATATATTTGTGTTTTTATTTACTATGTGAAAATTTTCTGTTCATAATCTTTAACAAAATAAATTTGACATTTAAAGCCACATTTCACAAGAATTCGAAATATGGAAAGTAGCAAAGACATAATCCTAGAGAAGTCAGATCATTTTCTGTAATACTTTGGATTTAATCATGTCTGAAAATTTTCAGGATCGACACTTTGATGGATTATTTCAAACAAAACAGAGGAATAAGAAATGTAAAATTACCCACATCGATCAACAGGTTAATTTTTTTTTTTTTTTTTTTCCGAAAAATTGAATTTATTCTATTTATGTACCTTTTTCCCACGGATGACGACACCTGGCTCTCCTTGGATCACCATGAACTTGTCTCCTCCGAGGAACAGGCCAGTCGGGGCGAGATGCCCTGGCTCTTCGAAATCAGTCAGTATAGCATTGATCTCTTCTGGCTTGAACTGAAAACACCAAAAATGTCCAAGGATGAAGATAGAATTATAGAAAAATGAATTCGGTAGAATAGAAAATGAGAATTGATTATTTGTCGTATGGAATAACAAAGATTTGGATGAATTTGATTTACCTAATTCAAACAAATCAGATAAATGAAGATATTTCAATTTCTAGCAAAAACACACGTTTACAACACTGTTTGTCGTATGATCGATCACCACCAAGAGGTATACTATGGTGTGATGTGCAGATCGATATAGATATTGTGCAATGAATCAACACAATTAGTCTCAATCCAATTCGGAAATTAGCAAATCAACGTAACCTAAGATTTCACAGACGATTACGATGCAATACAGCAGGAAAATGCACCAAACGGATGAATCAATACGTCGAACACTGACTACGCGTTTGGAACGAACGCTCAGATCTCCAGCTACGATCGACGACGATGTTCGATGTTCTCATATTAATTTTTACAGAGAAAATCACAAAATGCAAACACGGATTGGATCGCACTATCAATCAATCGATCGATCGCAGCAGCATCCGAATTCAGCAAACGAAATGAGGTAAAAAATTACCTTGGGGAAGGTGGCGCTCTGAGCCCAAACAACGCCGTCGTGACCGAGGATAGCGGCGGCGGAGAGATGATGGCCGGTGCCATCGATGTCGCACATCAAATGATCGTCGACGTAAGTTTGCCACGACATTGCAGCTACAAATGGAAATGGAAATCAGAGGAAATTGAATTGATTAGAGATGGATGATTGTAATGGGGATGGGGATGGAGGAATGGGAATTATTTGAATGGAAGTTTGTTGGGGGACGAGGAAGAAGGAGTGGATGCGAATGGGGAAGGACGAAGCCCTCGGATCGGAAGCCATGAATACTGTCCATTAACCTCTTCTTCACGGGCCGGGCGGGCCATATATATTTCTTTCTTTCTTCAAATTTATTTATTTATTTTTGCATAATTTGTCGTTAATTTCTATTTTCGTCGGTCCGATGTAATTTGTCCATAATTTTTATTTTTGTGAATCTCACATAAATTATTATTATTTTTTTAAAATATAATTATACATTTAATCACATTTTAAATTTTAAACTATTTAATTTTCTATCTTAATTTACAATTATTTTTTAATTACTTATTTAGTAATTATAATTTATTTAAATTTTTGTATCTACTGTAACATACCCAAATTACAGGGACTGATGGAATAATATTTAATTATATATATAAAATCATTTTTAGAGGTAAATATTAATCATTAATGTAAATTTTGTTAAAATGAAAAATATTCTATCAATATAATGTATATAGATAGAACCAAATGAAAAATCCAATGGAAAATGAAACAAAAAACGGACGAATAAAATATATTATAAAATTTTATTGTGGCCAACCAAAATGTCCCATGGACTCATTTGAATATAAAATCGAGATCGTCCATTCTCTATAAATAGAAAATTATAATCCAATCATTTAATGTACCGAAGTTCGAAGTTCATTTGAAAATTCAAACAAAGGATAAATATCTTTAAATATATACTCCTTCTGTCTAGATACCATGTCCACATTGTCGTTTCTGTCCGTCCCATATACTATATTATTTTCTTTTTCTTTTTTTAAAAATGATTACACACTTTAATCTCATTTTAAATTTTTTAATTTATTTTTTTTTAAAAATTTTAATTAAACTAATTAGTTATCTTAATCTTAATTATTTATAGTATAGAATAATTATTTTCACTAATATATTCTTAATTATCTACTAATTACGGTGTAGCAGACACGGTATCTGGGACGGAGAGAATAATAAATTGTCTACTATTCTATGTAAGTTTAGGTGGTCATATCCTAAAATATTCTATAGATTAAATATAAAATTATTTTAATATTAATTTTAATTAATTGACAAAATAATAAGAGTGCCACATATGAAATTAAAAATATATTTATCCCTTTTACATCTTGTAAATATTTACTATGATGTATTGTGTATTGTATATTTTTATTACATAACTAATTGAATCAAATTAGGCTTTACGTAAAAGTTTTTTTGGCCTATCAGACCGGCCTGTTTATATATTTGTATAGTATATTTTTTTTTTATCTTATATATATAAATTTTATGTTTTTAATTGTTTATATTTTATAAAAAATTATATTTGATGACAATAAAAATTAAAAGATTAACTTATTTTAACTGATTTATTATATATAATAAATAATTGTATATATTTTTCTACAAATATTAAGTTTGAAAAATAAAAAATAAAAAAATATTATATAGACTTTTAAATAAGTCGTAGGCCATACCAAACTTTAAATAGGCCAGGCCTAGCCTTAGATATATATTTTAATAGACCAGACTCAGGCTCTAGTTTTATAAAATAGACCTGACCTATTTAGCCAAAGTCTGGTCTGGTCTGGCTTATTTCCACCCGTAACGATGAGATTCTAGCTTACTATATATATATATATATCTATACAATATCACATTCATAACTAAGGGCATCTCCAATCCAGCGTCATTAATGGCGCTAGGTTGGATGATTTGACGTCGGTTGTCCAGCTCCATTTTTTGGCGTTGCTTTTTTTTTTTTTTTAAAAAAAAAAAAATTTAAAATTTTTTGAAATTTTAATTTAAAATTTTAAATTTATTTTTATTTTTCTAAATTTTTTTAAAAAATTATTTCAAATTATAAAAATAAAAAGTTGGTTAAAATAATATGAAAAATTGAATATTTGAAGAATTATAGTGAAAAATATTGGAGTAAAATTACTGTAGCCAGAGTTAAAACTGCATAAATGGAGTTGATGGATTGGAGATGGCCTAATTGAATCAAATTAGCACCATCAGATCGGTAGTTTAATATATATACAATATCACATTCAATGCATATTCTCATTCATTCATTATTATTATTATTATAAATTCATGACGTGCACTAAAAAAATACCGAAAATACCCCGAACCACATACAAACTCATATATAGTCTCCCTTTGAGACCTGGAAACTCATAGAAAAGAGTCGTCAACCAATGGGCTTTATATCGCAAAGCTTATGAAGATCGAAAGGAGGATCAAAGTAAGATCCGCCAAGAATGGCTTTTGTCACAATTTTGTTAGCGGCTTCGGTCGCGTGAATCCCATCCCAACTCACATAGTTATACGGATCATCACATGCAATCGCCGTCACATTTATCCCATCAATAATCTTCGTATTCCCACAATAAACTCTCGGGTCGAAATTGTAAGCGCCACCTCCATGTCCACAACACGCCGTGGTTCCGTATTTCAACCCTATCCAATAATTTAGAATCACTTCTATTATTTTACTACGTACAAAACCTTATTTGTATAAAAATTTTTTTTACGTCTAATCATTTAGTACTGAAATATTGTCACATGTATTCATACTACACTTCCAAAGCTAACATGAACTAGTTATATAACAATTTTAACGCCATTTTTTCTGTGAATTTAATTTTTAAAGAAATATATAAATTGTAGTATGTTTTTTATAAAATTAATTTTAATGTTAAAAATTGCTACGTGACTAGTCCATATCAACTTTAGAGGTGTCATATCAACACATGCACGTGGTAATATTATAGTATTAAAGGACTTTTTTTTTATCAATTTAGATATATAATTATTTTTATATAAAATTTAATTCAAGGACCAAAATAATACTCTCTTCATCCCACGTTGGATGTCTGGGTAACTGTAGACACGAGAATTTAGGATAAGTATAATTAGTAGATAATTAAGAATGTATTAGTAAAAGTAATTATCTTATAATATAAATAATTATAAATTAAGATTAAGATAACTAATTACTTTAATTAAAATTAAAAAAAATAAATTAAAAAGTTTAAAATAAAATTAAAGTGTGTAATTATTTTTCAAAAAAGGAAAGTGACATGGGATGTGGGACGGACAGAAACGGCATTGTGGACATGATATGTGGAACGGAGGGAGTAATGAATACGGAACTAAAATATGCTTATTTTTATTTTTATGTATTTTTTTTTCAGGTAATTGAAAAATCGTTTAAGAAGAATACCATAAGATGTTGGGTGCCGGAAGAGCTCGAGCATGATGGAATGTATATCGACATATATAACATGCGCGCCGTGTAGATCTTTTCTCGTGTTCTTCATTTCTTCCTTAAGCATATTGTTGTAGTTGATAACTTCATTGTTGTAAGAGATCAGACATCCGAACAAGTCAATGTCCGAGCTGTTTTGATGGAGCGCCATCAAGAGCGATGGATAGCAACCCACCGGTGCTAGATTGAAAACAAAAAATGTACGCCCCCCTAACGCATAAATTTCCTAGAAAAAAACCGGGTTACAAAAAGACCGAATTTTCAACTAGGAAAGATGATCGTTTAGTAAGTTGAATTAACTATACATATATCTAATGGTGTTTTATCGATTTTTTGCTTACCTATTCACTTTACAAGAAGATATATATATATATTCATAAAAATATTATTTATAGGAAATACTAGTGTTTTTATTTAAGCACGTTGTATTTAAGCATATTGTTCATTAAAAATATCATATTTATATCTATTTTAAAAAAATAAACAAACAAAAACAAGTTATTTCTAAAATCGATCTTTGATCTAAAAATTACAAATTTAAAATATTCAAAACACAAAAACGCCTTAAATTTTTTGTGAGATGTGTTTGGATGTAAGTCTTTATCCAAACTTCGCTATATATAACTTTTTTCTTATAGAAAACAAAAAAAATCATATAGTTATTTTTTAATTAAAATATTACATACAAATACTAGTAATTTTTTTTTATTTAAAATATTATACTACATTCGTCCCATAAAAAGGGTAACGTTTGTTTTTTGCGTCATTGTACTTAACGTTGAAAATATCATTATATTTATATAATCTATTCCACAAATGTCATTATATTTGTATTATAAGAGACTAATAGAGGTATTATTGCTATTTTCTTTTGATTTGGACTACGTTATAATAATTAATATTCAAATATCCAAAACGTCTATGTACTCTTCTTATGGGACTTAGGTAGTATCAAATTCTTGTCTAAAAATATTTCTTTTAATTTCAAACTAAATTTACAAAAATACTCTAAATTACCTTTTTTTTACTTTTATTATTTTTTAATAAAATATTTATTTTTTAATCCCGTGTCGGATCCAAATGTTCTAAATTTACCGGACAGATTGAGCCTTTACCTTTACAGCACTCCCAATTTGAGAAACTACTTCAGGCAAAATTTTCTTGACACTTTCAAAAGATGCTAAGTTCCCAGTGAAGTCATTTTGCCCTATGTAAAATGTGTAGAGGGATTTTTTGAACACGCCGCGTCGAGGAAGTTTGTCGACACCTGCCCGGCAGACAAGAAAATAAAAACCCTTTAATAGTCGTCGTGGATTCAATATAACTATGTAAAAACTTGCAAGAATGCCGAAAATGGCACCTAAAGAGCGATTTTTTAGATCCACTTCAGCTACGAATTGCTTCATTTGTTTGAGCTGAATTGCGAGAGAAAACGGGCTTATTCCCGTGACGAACATTGAAGTCTTTGGCAAGAGCACGGTCGATGCCAATGTCGCAAAGTTGGATCCGTGCCGGTAATTTGACCCGATAGACTGCAAATATGGGCTTAGAAATGGTAGCCCCATTGCTTGTGCTGTAAGAATCCGTCATTCTAAGTAAGTCGCTATATACTTTTAGGTCAAAGTCGAGCATACATTCAAAAATTTTGAATAACTTTTTTATTTGGGAGCATCTCTTGTATAAACTATTAGCAATTTCATCCGTTGGTAAGTTTTTCATAAAAAAAAAAAAAAAAAAAAAAAAAAAAAAAAAAAAAAATTACTGTTAATAGATAATAAAAAAATTTAGAAAATAATATATATGTGTGTAAGACATCCTAAATATATCCTATACAAAGAATCATTGCATTACTACAAAGACAAAGACTAGGGACCATAGATGGGGTAGTATGTCCATTCTTGCCAGCTATGGCATTCTTGTCTTTTTAACCCTAATTATAGAAAGAAAGAAAAAACCAATCAAGTTACACACATACTATGATATATATAAAAATACACTATGTATAGTTATATATACATATATGTGAAAGATGGGATGGCGCCGCCGCCGGTGGTTGCCGCGATAAACTTGAAGAGACTTAAAGGCGACGGCGATCATACTTAAGAGTGTCTAATGATATGATTTAAGTCTGAGAGAAAAATACGAAAGCTTAACATTACCCAAAAAGTCGATGATCAATCTGCCATCAGTTGCACGCCCAACCGGCCTTTTAAAGTAAGTCATCCCAAAAGGCGGGTTTTGCGATGGGAATGCTGCCCAAAATCCTCCTGTATCGGAGTTGGAGTCGCCGAAGTTGAAAATGGCCTCGAAATCGCAATTTCCATAACTTTTTGTAGCTAAGAGAATCATAAATAGAAGTGAAGAAGATGAAATTAGAATGAATGAACTATTAAAATTTCTTGTTCTATGAGTAGTCATTCTTGACTGTCTTTGTTTCTTTTCTTTTTTGAAGAGTATGTGTGTATTTTATAGGGGAGGAAAGTGATTTTGGATACGGCTTGATACCCTTTTGGTTTAAATATAGATAATAATATACTTCCACATTCCTAATACAATAGTTTTGTTTATCATTTTTGTCTGTCCTAAAATAATAATCTTATTTTCATAACTAATCGTATCATCATAAAACTACCAATACTTTTTAATTTTTATTACACAATTGTCACTACTTTTTACACTAATACACTCACAAGGGCAAAAAAGTCTTTTATCCATACTTTTTACCCACTATCAATATAAATCAATATTCTTTAAATCCCGTATCCAACCCATTTAAGACTACATTTATTGGGTGGGGGGAGTATATGATATCATTTTGATTTAGTCAGAGGCGCGGAAATATAGAAAATACTATTTCCGTTGGGCTCTAAAAGTTTCACTTACTTTTTTTGTGCGTTGATCTTTGAATATTAATTAGTATATCAAAATGTAGTACAAATTAAAAAAAAAAAATTGCAAAAATACTTTCATTAGTGTCTTATAATACTAATAGAAATACATCTATACAAAAAAGTTATACAAATATAAGAATATTTTTAATGTTAAGTATAATGACAGTAAATGTGACCTTAGAAGGTGAGGGAGTAACATATATGAACATATATGAATATGTTATATTTTTGGGATGAAATATTAATTGCTTTAAATTAATACGTTGATCAAATTAGTAACTTGACTCAAGTCAACACCCTATCTGCCATCAAAAATATTTGTAATGCAATTTCAATATATGTAATAAGAAAAAAATATATACAACAAATCATATCACACTATTATTTTACTTAAAAAAAGAGTAAAATGCAAAATAAAAACCTACAAATTTAAAATAACTAAATAAATAAATAACAAAACTTGTAGCCTGTATACATGTAATTTCTTCTGATTTACATTTCCCCCCAAACGATTTGTAGATTTGATCATCATATTATATAACAGATGCAACTTTACTACTTGAACCAAAAACTGCAAAACTAATTTAGCAATAAATTAAAAAAAAAAAAAAGAAAAACCTAAATTTCTCACCAATCTATCTATCTTCTACCTTAATTTGCATAAAATTTCATATCATATGTATGTTGTTAGTTAGATCTCATATCATCAAAACAAATACCATATGCACACAATAAACGTATGTTATTCTTATATGGTACCTTACTTCCAGACCTTTACGGCGCCGTCTCGACTGCTCGATACGAGCAGTCTCTGGTTCAGTTTTACCGAAGCCAACGAGAGCACCGTATCGCAATGGCACCCCCCAGCAGCAGCAGCAGTAAGAATCTCCTTTCGGGTCAGCCGAGGCGACAGTCTTTTACATTCCTGCTCGCAAATGAAGAAATCAATCGAAACCATAATATGATTTTTGGTAGACTTTAAAGCATAGCATGAGATCGAAGAGTTCGATGAACTACTTACTACCTGGACAACTTGTACTCCAGAGCTAGATTTTGTCTCGTAGAAATCATCTCCTTTCACAGACGGTCCACAAACGCAATAGCTCCGCTCAGGGCTGCCGGGAAGCAGTCAGAATTTCAGTAGCAAAACTAAGGGTTTTGATTGTTTTTCATTTAAAACATATCGATATTATTCAGCCCGTACGATTCTCGATAAAATTTTAAAAAAAAACATTATTTTTTCTCATAAAACATAGTGTCTATTTAAATAAAAAATTAAGTAAATCAAAACCTGCAGTGATCCCATCGACGTATTTTCAAGTCGGTTCCACCAGTCAATAGATCACCGCCGGGTAGCGGAAGTAATGCGCGGATTCCAGGGATACGAGAGGAAGGTTCGTTCAGCTCATCGATTCTGTACATGGAATTTAAAATACTTCGCTTCGTGTCTGACTTAGCGTTGCCCTTACCAGACGATCTGGCTAAGGCCCAAGGTGACGACGAGTTACCATTTTCAGAATCAGACTCGTTGTTTGTTGCTCTCAATACCTGCAAAAGAGAATGCGAAATAGCATTTCATATCAGACCTTAAAATATGACACTGCCATGGAACTAGAGTGGTTACACGAATCAAGCCGATGAATTGAGCTGAATAATAAATAGACTCATTTTGTTGATGAATGAGCCCGAACCTTATTCGCGAACTTTCGTTTTAAATGATATATTTGTAATATATATATGAAATTATGAATTAAAAATAAAATAAAATATCATATTAAGACAAACAAGCTCGAACGAGCTCAAACAATGAAATCACTTAACGAACTAAGTTCAAACAAACAAACGAGCTCGAATACTTAACGAACAAATACGAGTCTTTGTTCGTTAATAACGAACAAAGACTAACAACTAAACTTACATTTGATTCAGCTTCGTTAACAGCTCTAAATTCAATGACGAACTTTATCAAAGGAGGGGACGAACAAAAGAACCATGCATACCTGGTGACAGCACCCATTTTCAGCATCCCAGAGAGAAACTTCATTAAATCCCGCTGCTACGTAGACGAGGGGCCTTGAGGTAGTCGATAAGGGAGTACCGGGAGGAGGGACAAAAAGACACATCTTTTTGACGGGGCATGCGAGAGAATACTTCCACGAATTAACCGGGATGCAGAATCTGAGATCCCACAAGGTAAGCACACCTCTAGAGGATCCCGACACAAACCAGTTGCCGCACGGATCAGCCACCAGACTAGATATATAACCCTCTCCGGGAGAAACTTTTGAGTTCCAACCGTTGGAACTTGTTCTCGTATCCCAGAGGTGAATCCCACAATTCTGGGTACTAAAAAGAATAATCTTGCTAGTGTTACCTTCGGAAAAATAGTTTAAAAGGCTTAGAATCGCACCTTCCCCAAAGCTGTTCTTCTTCACGTCAGCAATGCCGGAGTAATTTTCAACGACATTGCCGAGTCCTCTCGAGATGTGATCTACGGAGAAAGTGTGCATGGTCCCATCACTTCCCCCGACAACAACTTGGGAAGAACCTTGAAGCACTGCAACACACATTGCTTGATTTCCATTTAATGAATACGTTAGCCTAGATCGAAACGAAATGTCCTTCTCCAGCCTCTTGCAATCCCATATCTTCACTGTCGAGTCCTCAGAAGCACTGACAAAGAACTGCTGGTCCATTGAAATGGAGATATCACGGACAGCGGCTTTGTGCTCGTGGAGATTTGCAACAAGTACCCCATGAGGCCTCCACCCTGAATCGGGAATGGTTGACCTTGCCAGCGATGACAACTCCGCTGACTCGGATGATGAGCAGTTATCATCCATTGTGAGAGAATTCCCTTTCAATCTGTCAGGTTCATCTTCAGTTCCTCGGTCTTCTACTTGGTGTATAACTCTTCTCAATAGTGCAGGGGTGTTGCCGGCATAAACTGACCCCGGCACGAGCCTTGGAGATGGTATGGAACTCGCCAAACTAAATGACTTATTTGCAGGATCCATCAAAGACAAGGAGGATGTGCTGAAACCTAAGGAATTATACGGAACTGAAGAATCGGAAGCAGCTGGAACGGAGCCAGAAGTACGCTTATTTTCAACCTTGAAGTAGTACAAAGGTATGCTTTCTGATGACTTATCGACAAAGCCGTTCATGAAACTCATTTGTGGGGACATAAATCCAGATAGTTGAGACTTTTCCGAGGCAATATGATCACGAATGTCCGGTTGACCTATTGCACTTTTTGACAAGTTTCCTATAGTTTTGAGCCTTCGGCCATCATCATGGGAATTAGTCGAGTCCAAATGCTCAACTCTGATGCTCGTATGGTCATTTTCATTTTGTCCATCAGACCTAAACTTCGGATCAAACTCCCCAACAGTTCTCTGAAGCAAGTCTACATCATCAAACCATTTAGACTGAGATGATGTATTATACCAAATTTTTCTCTGCCTCTCCAGCATATCTGAGCTTCGAGCATTCTCCGAAACTTGATGATATAGTTCCTTGGAGATTGGTGGCTTAAGACATCCGAGAAGAGCTCTTTCTGACGCTAAAGATGCAGGTCGTCTCCGTAATAAGGGACAAATTACCGGCACCAGAAATACTAAAGAATCAACTGCACCTAATTTATCACTGCTAGCCACAATAAATGTTACGACGGACCTTCTTACCCAATTACTGGGATAAATGAGCAAAGGAAAAGCACGGTCTATAATCTCGAGCAGAATTCTCTTCCTCAGGAAACCACTTCTGCACAGAATAGCCAAGCAATCCAAGGCATATGCAATTACCGACTCAATCATATCATTTAGCGCCTGCTCGATGTAAGGCCAGAGGTATTCCTCTACACTTCGTTGCCCCACAAATAAACAAACATATATTATCTGCCCATAAAATACAGCCCTGAGCTGTTCATCCCGATCATTTAAAAAAGCAGGGAGGATAGGTAGCAAAAAGTCATTGCTCTGTCTCTTTCCGAAAAACCAACAAAGGTTGCCAATGTCGTGCAGAAGTGCTCTCCTAATGTTCGGCGTTTGCTTTGGACCCATGACAAGATCTTGAATCACCTCCGCAACAGATTTTCTCAACTGTGCGAGCTGAGCATCACTATTTACCCTCTGCGGGTCTCCAGAAGTGTCGGCGGTTGGTGTCTGTAACTTACGGGATATGTTAGTCTCGTTAAGAACTCCTGCCTCAGTCAAGCTTATGGAGTGAATTAAGAACTCATAGGCAGTCAGAGCAAGCTTAGAGATGTTGCTGGCATAGCAGATCCTCACACTTTCCTCGGAATCGTCAGGAAGCATGGAAAGCATTGGAAGAATATACTCTGGAAAAATTTTGGCATCACTTGGAGGAAAATCTCTTACTAAAGGAAGAATGTCGCACAATGTCTCTAAAGCAGCACATCGGACAATGGCAGCGGGATCTGAAAGTAATGCTATAACATAAGGAAGGATTCGCTGCAGTCTATCTTCGTCATCGATGTACAGAGAGCAAGATTTTAACAGAAGTACAGCAGTCCTCCTTATGAAAGGTACCTTGACATTGCGGATGCAGGAACAAAGAAGCGAGGCGATTAAAACCATACCATCGCAGCTCAATATATCCTGAGGTACAGGTAATAACGGCATCCCAAGTGTGTCCGCTTGATTGTTGTAATCAGATAGCAATAAGCTCAAGTCAGTCGTTGCAATCTTTTTCAGGAAAGGATGGTGATTTCGCTGGAATGTATCAGCGATATCTTGCATCAGCTCACTAAGAGTTTTCAGTCCAGATTGATGGTGATTGTGGGCATATGTATTGGCCACACTAGTTGGCAAAGACTTCATACCAAAATTTCTATTGCTCTGCTCCACATCCCTGAGCAGTGAATTAACATTACCAAGAAGATCAAATTGTTCGTGACTGGATCTTTCATTTGTCTCTTCTCCTTTGCTCAAAGAATTTTCTGCCTTATTAGAGTCTTGCTTCGAATATGCCCCTGATGGTAATTGATTCCCATCATCAGATGAAGATTCTTTTCCCGAGATCAGACCCCTTTTGACCTTGACAGTCTTGTTGCCCATCATTTGTCTAAGTATTTCCTGGAAAGAGGTCTCACATGCTAAAACCTGCATAATTCTTCGGGTTAATAACACAATAGCTAGCCAGCAGGAATAAAGAAATCTTCCAAGTTGCTTACCCTTGCATCAGAACTCAGAGAGTTTAACAATGAATAGAACTTATGAAGAAATGGTGAGAAGTAACTCGGTAACACAGCACCTGCATAGCTCTGCAGGTAGCTCTCAGCAGAGCATCTAGACTCTGGATCCAGTTGAATCATATGATGAACCATCTTACGAATTCCTGAATCCGGAATCTGAATCCATACAGTTGCAGCAATATCTTAGTTTAGATTGATACAAAAATACACAGGAGTGAAACATTATTCAGATTAAATGGGCAGTGATAAACAAGACATTATCAGCAGATATCTGGAGGCAATCAGAATGATTGAAAGGACAAATTATAATAAAAATATAAAAGTGAAATTTCAAAGACACAACCCCATGCATGGTTAGCTACCTTTTCCAGATGCTGGGTAGGATCATATTGTCCTCTTCGATAAGCAAGGAGTTGAGAAAGTTCAAACAATGGCTGGCCTTCAAGGAAAAGCTCAGCAATCACAGAGCTGAAACAGAAAACTCTGAACAGTTACTTGTTTGCATTGTTCAATAAAATTTCCGATAATCATAACTACAGTTTTGTGCATGAAATACAGTAACGTGTAAATATCCAGCTTAGCAATATCCAAAAACTAAACACTTAATACGAGAAACAATTGTGTGCTTAAAAATAAATACAAAGAAAAAGTGAGACCACTACAAAGCACATATGTCAAAATACAGCCAAATATTTTGTTAACTAGACTAAATTCCTCTCTAAATGAAAGCAGTTAATAGAAGTTTTGTTCACAGGTATTCTTCCGGCCTGCAGCATTTACTCTATAGAGGCAATGTGAGTTTAAGTAATAATCCATGTGAAGAATAAAGAGATGAAATATTTCGGCAATCTGTGAGCTGTGTGCAATTTACATCATATCTTAATTTACAATTCTTTAGTCCCATAAAAAAGAATATCATAAAATGAACTGAAGAGAAAAATGTACGCTTGACACTTAATAGTGACTAAAGGCCATATTTGCTTTTCTAATTTCTGTTCATAGGGCAAAGATGGAAGCAAGGACATTAAAGCTTCATGGGATTTTACTACCATTACTGCTTCATGGGTTTTTCTGGTAACGTCCAGTCAGTCGCCATATCAGTACTTACATCAGGAATTTGAAAGCATTTAATTATTATGCATATGAAAAAACTTGCCCAACAGAAAAGATGTCCATAGAAGGCTTCAAGAGTGCATCTTGTGCCACTTGCATCTCGCCTCCATTCTCACAGAATCTCTGGAATAGCACAATATTATCTCACACACTAATATAGTTAAAGCTTCTTAACAAATAAAGCAGCTCATCATATAAGTGCATTGACATGTATCTTCATAATCAAATAGAGATTTCTAGGTTAGATACATTAAGGGTATGTTCGGTTATAGGATTCTCTCCAAATTTCACTATTTATCAATTTTTTTCCCCCAAAAGCATCAAATTACACATCTATTTTTCATTTTTTATATTATATTAAAAAACAATTTTACATTCAAAATATCACATCAACATCTATTTATATCACTATCATACAACTATTCCAATTCAAAATTTTTACTATGCAAAGTCCAGCTCAAAATTCAAACCCCAAAACAAACACACCCTAAATCTAATATCAGTTTCATTCTAATGCAATGTTTCTAAAACAAAAGGTAAACTGAATGGATAGTCCATAAGTTATTTCATTACCCAATTCACATTTAATTAATGCCTCAACTTTAGACAAACGCTTCAATGCCGCAAACTTAACAAATCACTTATCTTGTATATGAACTTTGAGGATAGATGTGCACATCTCCTGTGATATCTACAAGAGATCCACATTAATGGGAATAGTTTCAAATAAAATTTTCTAGAATTTGTGCAAATAGGTAAATTGAAGTTATGAGTGAATAAGTTTTAATTACCTAATGTAATGCTTGAAAGCCTTGAATACATAGAACTATTCAGATACTGCTTAATCAACTGAAATAGTAGTTACTAATCTTTATTGGAACTTTCCTACAAATTTCATTCCTTAAAATGAATATCAGATCTAATAGGTTTATCCCTTAAAATGGTGGCTTGATACCTTGCCACTTCAAAGTAAAGATAAAGGGGATGTTCACTTGTGTTTTATTTTCTACTCTTTTTTACTACTCAATCTACCATTTTCCCTCCAATAATCCAACAATCATTTCCATTTAAAACATCACATCCAAACACATTTTATATTCAAAGCATCACATTTGGCAATGGTTTCACATTTAAAAAACACATCAAGACCCAAAACACAAATACACAAATAAACACACCAAAGAATGAATGAAGTCAATAAACATATTTCTATTTATATATGCCGTGGCATATCAACTAATATAAATGGTTATTGGCAATAACGCACTTAACAAGGAAATTAAACTAATATATAATCATAGAGAATAAAAAACAAGCAAGAGAAAACAGACCTCGGGTGCAACATAACAGCGTCTTCTACCACCAGTATCAAAAAAGAATGAAAAATCTGAGGGGTCATCATATGGTATATATGTAGGCTTAAATGATGCAAAATCAGCAAGGTAGAGCCAGTTCCAAGAAGTAACCAGCACATTTTCACATTTAATGTCACCTGCAAAACATCATAAGACCCTATCAAAATGAATTAATATGGTTAGTTAATGGAAATAAACCACAAAGTTGACCTCACCATGGCAGACTCCATGCTCATGACTCTGCTTCACAGCATAAAGCAACTGCATAATCCAGAAAGTAAAATAATAAGTTACAATCTCTTCTTTTTGTTTACTCCATTTTTAAGTTTCCTATTTCTATTAGCCAAAATTAACAGCAGCAAAAGAAGAAAAGAACCTGAAACGCCAACCATTTCTTTTCAACAACACTGAGGAAAGGTCGAGTGCTCAACCGATCATGAAGATTGTTAAAGAAATATTGTCTCAATAAATAAGCAGCTTTATCTGTTTCAAGCCAAAACTGCAATATGAATCCCAAAAAATGATCATTTAAGGACCATTTGAAACGAAGTCAATGAAGACACCGAAATCCAAAGAACCATACATAAAAGAAAAAGATTTCACTGCAGAGCATACTATTGAGTGTGTCATGACGAAGGAAATATTAAATGGAACCAAAATAGTTTTTTTCTGGCATCTGAGTGGTGAAAAAAACAGCAATAGAGCTAAATTGTCAAATATCCAAGTAGGAAGAAGAATGATTATCCATGTGAGATCAGGACAACAGCCACTCGTATATAGAAAGCAATGCAATACTAGTGGGTAACAAGGTTTCAGTTTTTGGCCCTCTAATAGTGTTTATGAGAACAGAATAACATTCACTACAAAACTTAAATTGATGGTAATAATAATAGCTTTCAAAGAGTATAAGCACTCTCAAGAAGTTTGCTTTGTCAGGATATAAGGTCTAAAAGATTTCCCATAGATTACTGTCTGATCAACATGTGGTTCAACAAATGAATGTAACTGGAGAAAGAAACTCCCAATGGTATATTAATGGGGATTAGGTGATATCATCAGCACATTCATGCTCTAAAATAGGAATTGCATTTAGAACAATATCAAGCAACCATACAACCCTGTTGCAACTTACAACCATGCGAATCTACATTTGTTTCTGCTAAAAAGGGCAATGTAAGGCAGAAAAAGGTTGAATAACCTCATGTTCGACAGTTTCCAATTTGATGGATGGTTTATCTTTTTCAAATCACATATACTCACCTAATATTGCCACACCAGTGTTCAGATAAACTGAACGTTAGTAGGAAACAAACAGGTAAAGAGTTTCCAGGACATAATTGGGTTTGTTTCTTTAATGTTTGGTGACTTTGGTCTTGGTCTCGTATTATTAAAAAAAAAAAAAATCACTTCGAAATCATCAAATCAAACACCATTTTTTAATTTAAAACATCACATCAAACGATATTTCAATTCAATTTTTTAGGACTTCCATGCAGCAAGCCAAATCCAAACCTTAAAAAAACACATCAAATTGTAGTGTAGATGATTCAATCACTAAGAGCAAACTAGTTATAGCAAACTATCTTTCACACCAATAAAATAAAATAAAAATTGCATTCCAAACCTATTTTTCATTAGAAACATCTCCAAAATGCCTATTTCATTATTCAAAAGAATTCGAATCCAAATTCCATGAATACTTGTGTTTCTTTTGAGTTCCAATACAATTTTTTACTATTTGGACTCCACGTAACCCGAAAAAAATATACCTTTTTTCTATCACAACACAACACAACACAATTCATCAAATCAAACATTATTTTAATAAAAAAAACTCAAACTTCCAAACTCAATCCATAAACTTTCAAAACCATCTCAAATTCTTCTACACATCAATTTCATCATTCCTCGGGCTTCAAATTCAAACAATTTTCATCCTAGCAAGGAAATATCCATTTCCTTTTGTCAAAGTTTCTACACAGAACCCTACCATGGTTCTTTCTTACCAATTTACACCTCGCAAACTAGCAAACAACAGGAAGTCATTAATCAACAGAAAAACCAATAAATTGAGGAAGAACGAGTAAAATCACAAGTAAACCTGGAACGGCCAGACGTGTGGATGATCGAGGCGAGAGAATGTGTCTCGAATGGCAGCGAGACGACGCTCGTAGTCCCTCAAATCAACGGAGTCGCCGCGCTTGAAGTAGACCTTCACGAGCACCAAACCCTCGTCGTGCTTGCAGAGTACGGACTTGAGGAACCGGTCTCTCCCCAGCACTTCCTTGAGTACCAAATTGTACGACGACGGCAAATCGTGCAGATAGTACTCCGTCGCCGACGCCTGCGTCGTCCGGGCGATCTTGTTCCCCATTCCGACGCAATCTATCTGCTACCGCCACTTCTTCCTGATTAATACGTACGAAATTGGAGATTTCATCAACGTGTAGATTGGGGTTTACGCAGTGCAGCTTGGAATGTGAGGAGTAGGGAGAGCTCGGCAGCGGCCATGGCCCATGGGAGAGGAATTTGGATTCTTTGGCACCTAGAGGATTGCTTCCGATTGGTTGATTCCGCCATGGCCACCATCTTACAAAAGTGCTTTTTCCAAATTAATATCATTACTATTTTATATAATTTCCTGTGTTTTTATTTTCAAGCTCTTGCTTTCAAAATTTTACTTTAATTTTTCTATAATAAATATTGAGTTATTATTTTTTTTATCAAAAAATATTATTAGCAATAAATTTTATTACTTTTTATGTAGAGTGTTGGAGTATCTTCATTTTGCATGTGTTCTTTTATCAATTTTTTTAAAAAATTATCTGACTTGAAATTTTATATTTTTTAACTTAAAAAATTTACAATATATATTTTATCACGAAAGTCAACATTCATATAAATTACTCTTTCCTTCCTCACATAAAGTATAAATTTATGTTCGCGTCATGTTTAATAAATAATAATATTTTAATTATAATGTATAGTTAAAAGTAGTCTAATGACAATATTATATTTATATAACCAATAAAATTTTCTATCTCTTATATAAAAAAAATTCAAATTCAAAATACTAAACAAACAAACTTATTATTTTTATATTATTTAATTATATGATAAATTACATTTTTTGTCTCTTTTATTTTCTAATCAGTCAATTTTAATTTATTTATTTTTAAAATGATAATTTTGATCCATTTTATTCAATAACATGTCAATTTTGGTTTATTTTATTCCATTGTATGTCAATTTTAGTTTGTCTATTTTAAAATAAAAATTTTGGTTCCTTATTTATAAAATATTTTAATTTTGAATCCTTAATTATTGTTTCTTTTAAAATTTAATAAATATTAGGGTAATATATATTTTCTTGTGAATAGTTGCATGTATTTTTTTTTGAATAGTTCATATATATTTTCTTGTAAACAATGACATATATATTTTGTTAATATGTAAAGTGAATTAGTTTTTAATGTTGTATAATGAACTTCATTCTTGTTTTGATACGTCTGTTTTATAGACTTGATATATAATATAGATTGTTTGTTTTTCCAAGAATATAATTGTTTGTTTTTCCAAGAATATCAGAGTATTTGTCTAACTGCATGTTAGTGTGCTAAGGTGTATGATAGTGTTTGTTTATGTTATATGTCATTATTGTAACTCTTTGTGATAATATGTGAAAACCTATATTCTTAACTTCTGTGTGATCAACGTCGAATTTTTTGAATAATATATGTTTGTCTTTGTATATTATTTTTTTAATCAGTGTTCAAGCATGTGATAAGATCCTTTAGTAAAAACGTTTGTTATATTGTATGAGTGGTTTCATAAAATGTATAAACTTTGCGATCTTGCATATACTCTGTGATTATTTTTATGGTGGAGTTTGCATATTGCTTGTTGCTTGTTTTTGTATTAAGTCGTTCCTTTTTTTTTTTTTTGAATGAGTTACAGTTTTTGCGGGACTAATGTTTGCACGCTAATGTAGTATTTCTTAATGTTTGTTTGTGAGTGTAAGTTCATTGTACATTTGTAAACTTTCTCATGCAATTTTCGGGCGACTCGACTAGACGAAAATGATCATTTAGCTGTGATGTATCTCTACGAGAGTTACTATTGAATGAATGACTTAGCAAAGAATGTGAAGAATATTGATATTTTTTTGCCAAACCTAACCGTTGACCCATGTTCAACTCGCAACTTAAGCCCTTTAACCCAAAACCCTTTGACTTGCCGGACGATATAAAATCCGTCATTTTCTATCGATTAAAGTTAGAATTTATCTTCTCTTCCGGGTGTGTGCAATTTTCTTCTGCTTGCAATTCTTTCTGTGGGTTGGAGGTTTCTTTTCCTTCGTTAGTTACAAACTCTTCTCTCGTTAATTTATCCGGTAAGTCTTATTCTTAATGAGTTTTGAGTGTTTAGGTGGTCAATTTGGAGTTTGGCTTAGGGTTTATTTGAAGGTGGTTGGGTAGTCCTTAAATGAGTCATTCACGTGTTACTTCTTTCTATTATGATTATAAAGAAAAAAATTTCGTGAAAATGTTGGGAGTTTTAGAATTTTTAAATTTAAAAATAACCAAAAATTATTATTTTACATGATATTTTATAATGTATATATATATATATTTAATACTTTGGTATAATACTTTTAAAAAAATAAATAGTATCAAAATTTTAGAAATATGTTTGCATAAACAAAACGTTATTGGATTGAGATTCCGGGCCGGCCGGTCAGGGCCGGTTTAAAAATCACTCTCCTAACGTCGTCGTTTTGCTGTTTAGCTTTTGAAAAATGCTGAAGATAAACCTCTCCAAAATCCCAAATGACGAAACCCTAATCCGATCTCGCCATGGCCGCGGAGGTAGACCACTCGGTTGTTCTTCCTCTTCATTAATCGATACCTGGTGCAATCATCGGTAAGTTTCCTCGTCTTTGTATTTCCCAGATTTTGAATCCGTCTGCTTCGAAATTCCGCCGCTGAAATCGGTCGAGCTCGGCGATATGGCAAGGCCGGTAGCATTTCCTTTAGGTTTTCGAATTTCTTCGCGGCCCATAAAAATGGCGAGGCAATTTCATCATGCTTCAAAGCCGCTGGATACGACTGTTGTTGGCCGCCATTTGATTTTCGGATCCTGGAGAAGAATTAGCGAGCAATTTCAAAATTCAATTGGTGCGAGAAGTTGCTTCACGAACTGTTCGTTGATTACTGCAAGGAGCTTCAGCTCTTCGAATTCAGATAGAGCAGATGGTAAAAGCGGGAAGAAAATCCTTCCATGGCTGAAAAATTCTGCAGAAAGGGGAAGAAAAAGATTAGGAAGGAACGAGACAACCAAAACCACCGGAAAATCTTCATGGGAAGAATCCGCCGAGAAATTCCTCAACGGCGGCCGGAGATACGAAAGCAGGGGAAATGAGCTAACCAAAAACGATAACCATGGCGTCGAAAACGACGACGACGGGGATACCGAAATCGTCGATGATCCAAGATGGCATTCGATCCGTAATCGAATCAACAGCTTTGCCGAGACAAAATCCGGCGGATACGAGAGGCCGGAGGTGCGGCAATGGAATAACCACGAGAATTGGGGTCGAAAGACGTGGAAAGAAGCTAAAGAATCGACAATGCCGAAAATGGTGGGAGAAGGAGTTTACGGCGTCGGGCCTGTCTTGGCGGCGCTCACGGCTGGCCGGAGAGAATTCTACGCAATGTACGTCCAAGAAGGGTTAGATCTAAGCGCGAACAATCGGAAAAAAAAGGATAAAAAAGGTTTCGATCGAATCTTGAAAATGGCGGAAAGGCTCGAAGTGAACGTAAAGGAAATATCGAAGCACGATCTAAACATGGTCGTCGATAACCGGCCGCACCAAGGCGTAGTTCTCGATGCGTCGCCGTTGGAAATGGTCGGGATAAAGGAGTTGGAGCCGGCTGGGGAATTTGAGTCGGGATCGGTATGGTTGGCGCTTGACGAGGTTACCGATCCGCAAAACTTGGGGGCGATTATCCGATCGGCCTACTTTTTCGGGGCGTCGGGAGTGGTGTTGTGCGCGAAGAATTCCGCGCCGTTGAGTGGCGTCGTTAGCAAGGCGAGCGCGGGATCGCTCGAGGTGACGGAGGTTCGATCGTGCCGGAATATGATGCAATTTTTGACGGCGTCAGCGGGGAACGGGTGGCGGGTTCTCGGCGGGTCGGTGTCGTCGAGAGCCGTGGCGGTGAATGAGGTTGTCGCCGGTGGTGCTCCGACGATTCTCGTACTGGGCAGCGAGGGTACGGGGCTGAGGCCGTTGGTCGAGAGGGCTTGCACGCAGCTCGTTAGGATTCCGGGGAATATTCCAGCAGATGCCGTCGATGACGGCGGCGGCGGGGAGGTGGCGGGGCAAGAGTTCCGGTCGTTTCTTGCGGTGGAGAGCTTGAATGTGAGCGTGGCGGCTGGTGTTTTGCTTAGTCATTTGGTTTGGACGAAACTTGGGATTGAAGAGGTTGAGAATTGAACTACTCAGGTTCGATTTGTTATTTTAGTTTTGACTTTTGGTTTTAACTTACTATACCCCTCTTATCAAATTTTCTCTATTTACTATTGATTACTCCCTCCGTCCCACGTAATATATTCTTATTTTCTATTTTCGTTCTGCCACATAACTTGTTTTTTTTATTTTTGGAAATATAATTATACACTTTAATCACATTTTAAATTTTAAATTTTATAATTTTTTTAATTTTAATTAAACTTTAGTTATTTTAATCTTAATTTATAATTATTTTTACTAAATAATAATTATTTTTACTAATACATTTCTTAATTACCTACTAATTATATTTTACCTAAATTTCCGTATCTACGGTAATAAGCCCAAAATATATGGGACGGAGGGAGTATTTTTTTAAAAATAAAAAATATCAAATCAAATATTTATAATACTTTACTGTCTCAAAATAATAAAAATGTTTAGGATGACTATTTGAATTTCATAAAAAATAATAGTATTATATTGATAGTGATAGTGTTATTTTTAAAAGACTAAAATATTTTATTTTATGTAATTATTGTAAAAAAATTGAAATAATTTTATTTAAAAAAAAAATAAAGAACTAGTTATTAAAAATGAAAATAAAATTATTATTTTTATATTATTTTGGGAGGAATGAGATATATATATATATATTTTTATATTATATTCCAAATAAATTTTAATTTAAAATATTATCACTATTTCAATTAAAAATAGAAAAATAGTGGTAGTGACGAGTGGATAATATTATTTATTATAAATGTGCTTTATATAAAAAATTTTAAGAAAGATGCAAAAGAATTCCACAATTATTTAGAAAAAAAAAATTAAGAAAAAAAAAACAAAATGCAACCAAAATTCTATTATTAAAAAATAATCTTTTTTCATGGTCAGTTTAATTTATGGCTAATTAATTTGATTCATTCATAATTTTATTACATATAGTCTAATAAATAATAATTAATTTATTATTATTTTTAGTTAACCAACTTTTTGTTTTTTCTTTTATTTTTATCAACTCCTAAATATAGCTGTAATTTTGTAAACGAATCAAATAATTTTTTCGAGTTAAAATTTTGATATCGAACTCATAATTTTATACTCCCTTCGTCCCATAACAAAATATTCATTTTTTCATTTTAGTCCGTCCTATAACAAAGTATCCATTTTTTTTTTCAGTAACTATACTATCTACCTAACATTACAAATACCTTTACAACTTACAATATATTACACAAATGTCATTACTTTTATATCACATATACTAACAAGGTTATTTTAGTCATTTTTATTTTATTTCTATTATATCCCAATATAATATTAATATTTTTAAAACTATGTACAAAAAGCAAATGGATACTTCTTTTGGGACGGAGGGAGTAATTTAAATTCGAATGTAAATATTCCACTCGATTCAAATATGAATAAAATACAAATATAAAATTTTAATATTCGATTCCATATTCATATATATTAGGTTAGTAATAAAAATATAACATATATATGTAGTTTTTAAAATAAATAAATTAAATTAAATTTATTTATAATATTACTATTAAATTTTATATAAATAACTATATAATATACTTAAAACTACAACTATTAAGTTTTTCAAGTTGAAAAGATAATAAATAACATATATGTGTATATTTTTATCAAGTGTCTTAAAATTATTATTTAAATTTTAATTATAAAATTCCAAATCGAATAGCTTTGAAGTGAATTGGATCAAATAAAAATAATTAAATCAGTTAGTTTTAGGATTGAAAAAAATTAAATCGAAAACAAGTTTAAAAGAAACTAAAAAAAATTTAGATTAAAGAACCAAAATAAGAAAAAAAATCTAGACATAATTGAAACACAGTTTGTGGTTCAGATTTTGTAGGTCAGCCTCCATTATAAAAGAGGAGACCGAAATAACAACCAAAAACTCCGGTGCCGTTCAACAGCACCTCGGCAACACCTTTTTTCTACCCAAAGAAGAAAACGGAATGAAACAAAACAATTGAACCGTAGAAATCCTCACACACACTCCCCAGAGCACACTGCAGGAAGAACTTCTCAATTTCACGGTGAAATATTACCGAAACCATAGGAGAAGAACAGATCAAAGATATTGCAAGTAAGACGGAGCGAAAGGAAAGAACGAAGAACATAGTATTGTGGCGAAGAACATCAATATATATTAACCAATTAATGGTCCATATCGAAGCCCTAGAATGGATGACTGAGATTTGATTTTGGAAGACCAGACCACGGGTCGGGTCAACGCCATGTTTGGGTCGGATCGCTACTCACAGAAACAACAGTAATATGGACAGGTCAAACGGTCGGATCTAGGTTAAATTCAACAAAATCTTAATCAAATATTTAAATAATATCATAAAAATTATATTTTTAAAAAATCAAATCTAATCGAATATTTTGAATTTTGAATCGAACACAAATATTATTTTAAAATTTGAAATTAATCGAACATCGAAATAAATAGTCGAATATTTTCACTAGTCTGAATCAAATATTACACTGTCAACTTCAATTCAAATACAATCATACTCGAAAATCCTAAATAAATTTTATATTATCTCAACTTATCTATTACCTACTCTATTTTAATATTAAAATATCAAATTCTCTATCCATTCATCCAGTCAAATTTATTTTCATATTTCTTATAAAATTAACAAATCAATATTTAATTATTATCCTTTCATCTAACACTTATTTACAACAAATATTAACTTTATTATATTTTCTCTCTTAATTTACTTTTATTTTTAACTAAATTTTCAAAAATACTTCAAACTATCTATATTTTTTTAATAAAATATTTATTTTTTAAAATTCTATATCTGATCCAAATGAACTATTTTTAGTGGATAGAAAAGTATATATGAACGGATAAAGTTACATAATTCATTCCTAGCGAAGGAGTATATATATACTTATATATAATAAAATGTTTAATTCCTTAAACTGTAAAGAAGACAAAAAATTATAATAAGATATTTCCTTACACTAAAAAAAGGGTCTCAAAGAAAGAATTACGCGCGCGCTCTCTCCCTACGTTTCCCCAAATTTTCGCTCTACCTGAAGTTTGTTTCTTCTCCTTCTTCCCCTCCTCCTCCTTGCTTACAATACCATAATCATCCATGGAGATTTCTCCTATATTTGTGGAATTCCATCCCATTTCTTCCTCTTCTTTTTCTCCTTCGTGCTGTTTTTGTTGCCGACTATGGCAGGCGAAATTTCGCGGTGGTTCGATGCATTGCAGGAGTTTTTGTTCCGCGCCAGCGAGGCTTGTACTACGCCGACCGCCTTGTTTGTGCAGATTCAGGTACGAATACGATCTCTCTTTTTTTTTTTTTTTTTTTTTGGAAATTTTGTGTTGAGAGAGCGGATACATGCTGGATTTGTTGTTTTTTGCGATGATGAGGAACAATTAATAATAATAATAATAATAATAATAATAATAATAATAATAATAATAATAATAATAATAATAATAATAATAAAAGTTGTAGGCGTTGGTGTCGAATCGTTGATTTTCATCGAAAACGCTTTTAGGATTGAGGAATTTCTGTTTGATTGCTCAATGGATTCGGAATTGTTGGTTATATGGTAGATTGCATTATATGTGCTGTGCTACTTCCGTCGTTGTTGAGAGGATACATTTTGTATCTCTTTACCTTAGGAACATTATATATATATATAAGTGTTGAGAAATGCAACTAAAGGCAAGAAACATATGCTTAGTCCTTAGAAGAAGTCGAAATGTGAACTTTGGGGTTATGCTAAAGTTGGAAGCAATAATGGCTATGATGATCCTGATATTTGATTTTTTATTACGTGGAATCTTTAGAATTTCATTGTATGATAGAAATAATTCCATGATTTTGTATTTGAGATTGTACTTCACATCACAGCATTGTAGAATTGAATTTGAGGTAATGAATGTGAAGGTTGAAAGTGTTGTTTGGTGGTGCAGGGATTCGTAATTTGCTTACTTCTTGGTATTGGATGGGCTTTGGCTGCTTATGTTAGGTAGGTACACTACAAACAATAGTAATACTACTGCATTTGGTTTGCATGGTCATTTTTTATTGTTAGTAATCTGTAATGGGATCTGGTTTTGGCAGGGGTAAAGAGATCAAACGTATAAAGCAAAGCATGAAAGGGGGAAATCACTTTGCTTTTCTTAGTTATGATATTAATAGCCTGGAGCACTCCAGTCAGGTCAGTTTGCCGAGGGTAACAGTTGTGATGCCTTTGAAAGGCTTTGGGGAACATAATCTCTTGAACTGGAGAACTCAGGTGAACTATTTTCCTTCCCACCATTCTAGTTTAATTATGCATTTCAATGTGATGTTAGGTTAGGTGTTAAAAATATGATACTCCCTCCCTCTGTACTTTCAATTTATCTAAAATTTTATTTCACCTTGGTAATTTATCCATATATTCCCTCGGTCTCGTATCTATATATTCATTTGGTTTTTGCAGGCAATTTTAGAAATATTAGTATTATATTGGGATAAAATAGAGATAAAGGTGAAAAAGACTAAATTAACCATATTAGTATTGTATGATATAAAAATAATGACATTTGTGTAATATATTGTAAATTGGAAGGATTTTTGTAATGTTAGGTAGATTGTACGGATAAATGGTCAAGGGACAGATGAAATATTTTTTAAAATACTTTTACCTTATATTCTCTCTGTTCTATCTATTTTGTCCCGTATATTGTGGATACAGGATTAATAAATAATTAAAAAATATATTAATAAAATAATTATATTATAATACAAATATTATAATTAAAATTAAGATAACTAAAATAGTGAAGATTAGAAAAATTATAGATTATAAAATTTAAAATATAATTAGAGCGTATAATTGTTTTTCTTTTTTTTGTCCAAACAGGTGTGTGTGGTTTGGGGTTTTGGAAAATAATTTATGTTCACAATAATTAATTCTCTAAAATATTAAATCAGATATCCATTTTTTTTGTTTTTGTATTATATTAATAATTAATTTTATATTAAAAACCACATTAACATTTATTTATATCTAATTAAACAACTATTCAAACTCAAAATATTTACTATTGAAAAATTATATTTGTTTGTTTTGTATTTTAGTTTGTAAGAAAGTTTTATATGAAATATAAAGAAATTTACAAGTAATATAAAAATAATAAATATATATAATATATTAAATTTTTTTTTTTTTTTTTTTCTAAAATGTGAGGAAAATTTTCACAAAGCAAACAAACCCTTGTCCCACTTTTTTGATAGATGTTTTCTTGAACCATATTTTTAGACATGGATGTGCTCAAATTTTTACCTTTCCATTGTATTCAGCATTCATTTTTAGGTGTTTGGGATTCATAATTATTTTACAAATTTGTCACCTATTGATGGAAATTATATAGTTTTAATATTTGGTTGGAATTTGAATGTTGGTGCAGATCACATCATTATATGGTGGTCCAATGGAATTTCTTTTTGTGGTAGAGAGTACAGAAGATCCTGCTTACCCAGCTGTTAAGTGTTTATTGGATGATTATAAGGTCAGTTCTATTTATGTGAAATCATCCCATCATTTGACTGAACAAGGGTTTTAGTCCGCAACTATACCCGTTATAATTTTAGTCCCGTAAGAGGAATCTATCGTAAATTAGTCCTATAAGTGAAATTTTTTGCTGTTTTAGTCCTCCAGCGCCGGAGACGCCCACGTGGTTCGTCGGAGGTGACGTGTCCGCCAGGTGTCGCGGACACGTGGATTTATTATTTTTTTTCTTTTTTTTATTTTTTAATTTTTTTAATTGGACCAAATAAAAAAAATAAAAAAATACAAATAAATTTAAAAATAAATTTAAAAAATATTTAAAAAAAATTTAAAAAATAAAATAAAAAATAAAAAAATCCATGTGTCCGCCAGGTGTCGCTGACCTGGCGGGACACCTGGCGGACACGTCACCTCTGGCGAGCCACGCAGGCGTCTCCGGCGCCGGAGGACTAAAACAGCGAAAATTTTTCACTTATGAAACTAGTTTGCGACAGACTCCACTTACGGGACTAAAATGATAAAAGGGTCCAGTTACGAGACTAAATAACAGTTTATTCAAGAATTTTTAACTGGAGGAATGAAAAAATTTTGTAAAAAATATAAAAATAATAAATGAACGTAATAGATTAATATTAAAAGAACACACCCAAAAAAATTTTTTTAAATAAAGAAAAAATAAAAAAAAAAGTGATATATTTTTGCTAAAAAAATAAATAAGAATACATCTAGATCACAATAAATAAATAAAATTAAAAAAAAAAGAATAAATCTTGATGACAGGAAGAATATATATATATATATATATATGTGTATTTTTATAAAATGATTCCATGGTTCAAAATTCTTCTCAGATGATATTGAGCTTTTTCTGTTTCAGTTATTTGTGCTAATGACCATCAATATCTTTCTTGTTCATCTGAATAGTTAATAGTTTTGGTTGTTATCAATTTAAAAGTATTGACTTTTAAAATATTTTTTTCACATTAGTTTTACTACTATGTGTTTATTTGTGTTCTTACTTTTCTTTTCCTTTTACTACTCAATTTACTATTATATTTTTATAAACAAAATATGAATTGAGATATATATTAGAACTATTATATTAATATATTTACACATAAGTGAATAGAACTCAAAACTATTTAAAACAATCAATTTAATTTATGAGATATTTAAATTGTTGCAAATGATTATAAATTGGGAATGTTCTATTAAATTAGACGGTAAACTGTTCTTTAAGTCCCGTATCTGGACTCTCTTATCATTTTAGTTTTTGTAAGTGGAGCCTATCGCAAATTAGTCCCATAAGTGAAAAATTTTCGTTGTTTTAGTCTTTCGGCGCCGGAGATGTTCACGTGGCTCGCCGGAGGTGACGTGTCCGCCAGGTGTCCCGCCAGGTCAACGACACCTGGCAGACATGTAAATTTATTTATTTTTTTCATTTTTTTAAATTTTTTTTAAAAATTGGACTAAATAAAAAAATAAAAAAAAATGCAAATAAAATTAAAAATAAGTTTTTAAAAAAAATTTAAAAATGAAAAAAAAAATAAAAAATCCACGTGTCCACTAGATGTCGCTGATCTAGTGGACTAGTTTGCGACAGGCTCCACTTACGGGACTAAAATGATAAAAGGGTCCAGTTACGGGACTTAAAAAAACAGTTTACCCTAAATTAAAAGTTTCAAAATTAAAATTATTAAGATATATATCACTTTATCTCAATACCACACAAGTATTTTATTTTATTTATCATAACAAACTCAATCTTTACATTTAAAACCTATGATAATTAATTTCTATTGCTTTGTCAAATTTCCTTATATATTTTGTTGCCTGTGTTTTTAAATAAAAGTTTTAGCTCTTCAATAATTTGATATATGATTTCAAGTTGTTATGCACAGATAGATTAGCTTATCACTGTAAAAGTTACCAATTTAAGCAGAATCTTACTCATGTGGACTACAAAAACATTGCAGGATGAAGTAGATGCCAAAATCATGGTAGCTGGTCTATCAACAACATGTAGTCAGAAGATTCACAATCAACTGGTATGCTATGAGATCTACCATTATAATATTCACTTAATTTTCTGAAACTGAGCCAGAAAAAGATTCTTATGGCTTCACTATTCTTCTGACTTTCAAGAGATTCTGCTTAGAGAGTCGCTTTTGGAGTTTAGAAAACTAATTAAAAATAGTAAAAAATTAGTATTTGATATGATATTTCGTGAGATATATTTGAAAAAATTACTGTAACTGTAAGTAATAGGTTAATGTGAGATTTTGGGGAGGTGAAATTAAGCTTTTAAATAAGTTAACAGCAGATAAATAGTGCAAAAGTTCCAAAAGTGCCTATTAGATCTTAATGTTCATGTTATTGAAATAACACTAAGTTTCTATACAGCACTCTACTGGATGTTTTACTTGATATGTGCATTGAACTTTTGCAGTATGGGGTAGAACAAATGCATAAAGATAGCAAGTATGTGTTATTTCTCGACGATGATGTCAGGCTGCATCCGGGAACGATAGGAGCGCTCACAGCAGAAATGGAGAAGAACCCAGAGGTATGGATACATCTAAAAAAGTTCAACTATTATGCTAAAGATGGAGATGCTTTTAAGTCTTCGTTACTTAAAAATTTGCTGCCAAAATGTGCAGATATTTATTCAAACTGGATACCCATTGGATTTGCCATCTGGAAGTTTAGGAAGTTACTGCATATATGAATATCACATGGTAAGTCTGCGTCACCACAATGCTCGAAAATATCCTTAGGCATTTTTTTTTATGTTTTTGTTATTAGTTATTAGAAACAGTGAAAGTATTATTGAAATACTCCCTCCGTCATATAAATTGATGTCTATTTGACCGGGTACGAATTTTAAAAAAAAATGGGTAAAAATAGAAATTTTTTCTTTTTATAGTAAGAAAAGGAAGAAAAAATAGTATTTTTCTACTAAAAAGAAAAAGGAAAATAAGTTTGAATGACAACCAAAAGAGGAAAGTGGAAATAAATTTGAATGACAGAAAGAGTACTTGTTTTTGTTATTTTTAAATATTTCATAAGAGAATGCCGTATAGTGTATTTTTGCAAAACTGTTTAGATTCCTTTCTATTTTTGTAACAAAATTTTTTTGTCCCTAAATCCACTTTTTTCGTTCCTAATGAAATAGAGAGAAGTAGGGTGGAATTATGTTAACTACGCGAACTTTAGGGACAGAATTCCGTTACAAATATATTACTTTCTCCGTCCGGCTCTAAGGGTCCCATTTATTTTTGCGTGTTGATCTTTGAATATTAATTATTATATCAAAATTTAGTACAAATTAAGAAAAAATTGCAAAAACACTTTCATTAGTGTTTTATAATACTAATAGAATAACATTTGTACAAAATATCAAGTACAATAACGTAAAAGGTAAATAAGACCCTTAGAGGCGGACGGAAAGAGTATTTTTTTGCAGTGTGAGATGGTGAAAAATTAAAAGCAAACACACCCTTTGTGTAACAGTTCCGAAGGGATGATCGCGTGCTATTTTGTTGTTTTTCTGTTTTTTCATACTGAAAATTATTTCGAGTTTTGGTTGTTGACAATGACTTACTTACAACAGCCTTGTTCGATGGGGTTCGCTACTGGTGGAAGAACGTTCTTCTTGTGGGGAGGATGTATGATGGTAAGCATTTTGTGTGAATATTAGAAGAGACTTAAGTGTAATCTGTATTCTGAATTTGAATTATTACAACTGCAGATGCATGCCGACGATTTTAGAAATGATCGGCATGGTGTTTTCTCAGAACTTCAATACGGCGGATATTCGGATGACATGACTCTTGCAGCTATAGCTGGTGACTTTCTCTATCTTAAACTAAATAAGTACTCCCTCTATTCGGTAAGATTAGAACATTTCTACGCGGCATGGAGATTAAAGAAAATAAATATTTTACTGAAAAAATAATAGAAGTTAAAAAAAATAGTTAAGAGTATTTTTATTTATAAATTAAAGAAAAATAAAGAGAAAAAAACGTAATACAGACAAATTAAAAAAAATGAGAATAAATTTTATAGACAGAGGGAGTATATGTTTTCCTTAAGACCTTGACAAAGGCTTATCATACCTTTTGTGTCCAAAAAGGTATAAAAATATTCTCTTATAAGGTTGTTTTAAACATTAATAGGCTCCTTTTACACATATTTTTAGAGGTTTTGGTACTATTCTTAATTTTTTCCAAAAGTCATTGTCTAAACTTCAAAACTCGAAAAATCACTGTCCGAATGAGGAATATCTTTTAATACTTTGCGCTTTACAGGGGCTCATAAGAGACTCATCACATCGCCACCTGTGGCTGTTTTCCCCCACCCTCTCGCAACCAGCCTGACTTTCGCCAGGTTTTTACGACAAAAATGGAAAACTTGATATGCAGTTAAACTACCCAGTTAGCTTAGCAGTTCATGCTTTGGATCGTTCAAAATTTTCTTTCCTATTGATTGTAGGTATTGGAATTATTTGAGGAAGCAAACGTTCGTGTTAGAATCATACACGACGAGAGTCAATCAGGTGATGAACAGAGCACTGTTCTTCGTCCACTGCTACTTATCATGGGGGTTCGTAGCGCCGTATTTCATGTCTGTAATACATGTAGCTGCGGCACTATCATCTTACTACAAGGGATATAGATACGGCGAAGCAGGTTTTCCGAGCACTGGTTAGTTATCTTATTAGATCGTACATTACACAAAGGCATATAGCTTTATACATCGAACTGGAACTTATCTAAAATCCTTAATGACTTTGTCCAGGTCTAGTTTTGTCCATTTGCCTGACTCTATGTACGATCATCGAACTCTTGTCCATGTGGAACTTGACGAGAGTAGAGGTCCATTTATGTAATTTACTATCGCCCGAGGCGCCTCCTCTATCACTCGCTACATACAACTGGTTTCTCGTAAGTCATATTTCTTCTTACTCTATTTTTACCCCCAACTGTTCCTACTTTCGACAAATAGACAAAGCTGAACATGGTTAAATGTTTAGGTGTTTATGGCAATGTTGGTCGACAACTCTTTGTATACCATTTGCGCGGTTCGCTCACATTTCTCGCAATCCATCAACTGGTCGGGCATTCTATACCATTTGAAGGACGGGAAGATAAGCAAGGTATGGACGAACTTAGACTTATTTGACCTCATTTTTTTCACTCCATTATATATGCTTCATAGCTACGGCAACAAGTCACATAATATAGCAGAATATATCGATTGGTAGATCGATATCTTATTTAGCGACAAATGTGAATGAAATAACCCGTAAATGTTAATTGGGAAACATGGCGAGTACCTTTGATTTGTGTTTTAATTTGTATAATGTTTAGATCGAAAGAAGCAAGGATAAGGTACCTGAGTACACGGATCTAGGTGGAAAGTCTTTACGTACAAAAATATCTAGAATATCAAGCTATAATTTTCTCCGAAGCTTATCCTTGGGGGGAATGCGACAGTCCAAGGAACACACGTCGTAGAAGTTCAGTACATAAAAAATGATCTTAGACTCTAGACTCTTATTCTTTCTTCTTCCTTTTTTTTCATCTACAATATCTTAAGGGAAGGTTATAAATGCAGATTCATATAGACTTTTAGATTGCTTTCGCAGATGTAAAGTGTTGTTCATTCGATTATTCTTCAACCTGTATTTACTGTAGCTTACCAGGCTGTTGTAACATTGCTTTGTATTCTTATATACACATATATATATATGTTTCGAGGTTATTGTTCATTCGAATTCTCTAGTGTAAATTTGAATATTGTTCTTTTGCAGCCCGTTTGCTCTTTTGCTATATTTTGTATCCTACAAAATTCTTTCGATACTCGAATTTATGTGTACATGTTTTAGAGGTCTACTTAAAACATTACCCACCCAAGCAAGGTTTCCTATTAACCGATTCTTGCTTGTGGCGCCGCCATTAGAAAGCTCTAAACCCGGCCTTACTCCTAAGCAAGAATCGAATACTTAGGTTGTGTTCTTTTGTGGATTTTACTATATTTTTACTATCTAGATTCTTTTTTCTCTCCAAAAATATCAAATCAAATAATTTCTTTTCTTATTTTATACTTCCTCCGTGTCCACCTTTCTATTTTCGTCTGTCCAACTTATTTTATCACTTTTCTTTTTTAAAATCTATTTTAAAATTTTTAATTTATAATTTTTTCAATTTTAGTTAGACTAATTAGTAATTTTAATCTTAATCTAAAATTTTTATTATACAATAATTATTTTCACTAATACATTCTTAATTATTTACTAATTATACACTCTTAAATTCTCGTATCTACATTAAAGGGGACACGGTAGCTGGGACGGAAGGAGTATTATACTACAAATTTATTTTACATTCAAAACATCACATCAATATCTATTTATATTCGCATCAAACAATTATTCACATTCAATTTTTTACTATTGAAAGATCCAAACCCACAAACAAACACACCTTAAGTTTTCTTCAAGTGAATTCAGTTAATTACTACTGTTATAACATTATTGAAACTACTAGTTCAACAGGTGTATATACAAATTACGGGTGTGTTCACATCCAACACCAATTTTTCATTAAAAAACACTAGATTCCAAAAATACCCGAGAAAACACCTATAAACAATCCAACACACAAGTAAATACACCCGGATAATTAGAGGTGGAAAAAAGAATAACGAAATTCTCTGCGCAAGAAACAAAATTTCCACGAGTATCTAGTTTTAGAACCAAACACGTTACATGAAAGTAAATACGGGCTTAAAAGATTTTTCGTTGTGCAATAGGAGGGTACCTGTCTTAAAATAAATAAGCGATTGATGAATGCAGTCGTCATCGAATACTATGATGCAATAGTTTACTTCACCAGATCTCCGATGTAAAAGTCCTCGATCATGTCGAAGACACGGCTAGCATGCTGCGGCCTGTCAATGTCATAGCATTAAATGGAATGCTTGAGTAACTACGTACAATAAATATGCAAGACTGAAGCTAAGTCAAAAAAGTACAAACGAAAGTTGAATGAGCTGATAATAAGGGCGTGTTTGTTTGGGGGTTTGGATTTTGAGTTGAGATTTGAATAGTAAAAATTTTGAATTAAAATGTAATATTTTGAAAAATAAAAAAAATAAATGTTTGATTTGATATTTTTTTTGTATAATAAATTTGATGAATAGTGAAAATACGAGGAAATCTCCCAAACAAACACACCCTATAGTGAAAATCTTGATTCACAGAAGTGACAACAACGAACAATAAATGGCCGCAAGTGCAAGAAAGAACCTACCCATAAAAACCTTCCGTAGAATCATCGCCGGCATTCATTAGGATTGCATCCCCACCCGGGTGTTCGTCTACGTAAGATGTTACGTCATAAACCTGGAACCCAGAAAATCAAGAGTTCAGAAAGCAACACAATCTTAAATATTAAATGCAGTTGAACTTCTCATACAATGGAGATTATACAACATTTGGTAGAATACGGCAAATATGGAATTCTAAAAGACACCTTATCTTTTATGATGATCCAACAGTCGTTTCTCTTGTTGTGCATCGCGATTTGAGCTGCAGTGTATGCTTTAGGTCCCTGAAAACATTGTCATTACTCATTACAATTACAATAATTTCCATCGACTGGCAAATCACATACTCTTCAAGATGGATTCGGACAAAATCTATACCTCAATTTATCCTATGCGCGCGCACACACACACATATATATATATGTATCGGGCAAATATCTAAAGTTCTATTTTTGCACCCAATCTATTCACATAAACATTTTGAAAGTTTCGACACTATTTATCAATAATAACTTTTTCAAAAAACATTATATCAAATAAATGTTTTTATTCATAAAACATCACATAAATATGAATACTTGTACTATTTCCAAAAATTTTCAGAATTCCAAAACCTCTATGTAGACAGAGGTTCTATTTGCATTATGGGTGTGTTTGTTTGGGGTTTTGGATTTTGAGTTGGGATTTGAATAGTAAAAATTTTTGAATTTGAATAGTTGTATGATGTGATGTTTTGAATGTAAAATTGATTTTTAGTATAATATAAAAAATAAAAAATAGATATTTGATTTGATATTTTTTTAGGGAAAAAATAGAATGAACACTGGATTTAAAATCCAATCCCCAAACAAACAGATATTCATCAATAGTAATTTCTTTTGAAAATAAAAGCATGGCATCAAATACCAATTTCCTCTGGCAAAACATACATCAAATATCCAACTTTGTACTATTTTCAAAAATTTATCAAACTTTAGCATTCTGTATCTATTCCGAGCCTTAGCTGATTACGATACATATGCATAAAGAACACAAACCGCCATTGTTCACCCAAATCAAAATAATCTAAACTTATGTTTGCTCTCCTATTGAGCTTCACAACTAGAAATCTCGAAACATCAAATCCAATATCATATAGATAGAAATTTATAGCTATGCTTATTGAATTTGTGAGATGATATTATTGTTGGAAAATCAGTAGACATTTTTAAGCGCACCTCGGAGCTTCCTTTGGATTGCTCCTTCTTCAACTCACCTGCATTCCACCGAATTCAACCAATCAGACTCAAAACCAAACACATGAATCATTGCTGCAGATTATTTTATAAAAAAAAAAAACAACACACTAACCGGATTTGCGCAAGTGAGGGATTATAAACAGCGCAGCCAACACAAGACCTAGAAACAGTGTGACGACCAACAGATCCATTCCTGAGCTTCCAATTTACTGCTCGCGGTTGGGAATTGGACGAAAACGTGGAACTCAATTATGTAGAACGCAGGCAGACGCACAGAAAAGGGCGAGCGCAGTTGGGGATGGATATGTGAGGGAGAAGTAAAATAGGAGTGTTGATTGACCTGATACCGGAAGTAGAATCTGAAGCGCCGCCGACGATATTCCGCCGGAAGAATAGTCGGTCGGCGAGAGCGACGATGACGGAAAAAAATGACGAGGAAGCAAATCTAATTTCTAGCTGATAAGGAAATCGACTCATAAATGACGATTTGCGAAAAAATAAAAAAATTTAAATCACAATTTTAAAAAATAAAATAAAAACATAGGACATTTTTTGTTGATGACGTGGCCGTACCCGTGAGGTCACAAGCCCACCCCACAGGACTAGGGCATGTTCCTTTTGACCAAAAAAAAAAAAAAAAAAGAAATGGTATTTTTATAAAAAAATATAAATATATAATATATTTTAAAATTTATATTTTATAATTTTTTTATTTTAATTAAATTATACAATTATTTTAATTTTAATTTATAATTATTTTTTTAATATAATTTTTACAAATTAACTTTTAAAATTCAATAAATGTTTACAAACATACATATGAAACTTTTGATATATATTTTTTATTTTAGCATATTTTTCAGTTACATTAATTTTTTGATTATCTAGTAATTAGTTTTATAATTTTGAATCAATATTTTAATGATTTAGTCACAAAAAAATATACAATTACTTTTATTTTAAATACATTTATATTCTAATATATTTTTAACACTTTAATCATATTTACAGAAAAATAATTAGAAAATTACTTGAAAATATTTATATTCCTCCACATTACTATTGTAAATTGATGTAGATTTTTTGTTATATTTGTTTCATTTATTTGAACTTATATAATATTTGTATTATTATTATTCTTAAAAATATTAATTAAGGGTGTGTTTGTTTGTGGGATTGGATTAGATTTCCACTATTTATCCCATTTTTTCTTTTTAAAAATATCAAATCAAACACCTATTTTTTATTTTTATATTATACTAAAAAATCAATTTTACATTCAAAACATCACATCAACATATATTTATATCACATCATACAACTATTCAAATTCAAAAATTTTACTATTCAAATCCCAACTCAAAATTCAATCCTCCAAACAAACACACCCCGAATATACAGCACGTTTACACACTAAGCATTAATTAAAGCATGCCTTAACACATAGAAATACTATTATTCTATACTATTTGACATGAAAAATCTACATCACATCGGTTTGTTAATATTTATTGTGGCATGATTCCGAATAAATATTTCAAAAAATTACAATATATACACATATTAAAATAATATATATTCTATCTACTCGTTAAAAATTAACAATTCAATATAAAATATTACTCTCCCGTCCCAAACAAGATGCAATGTTTGTTTTGGACACAGATTTTTTAAGTAAATAGTATTAAGTAGGATGATTTAGAAATTAGGTGATACAAAAAATATATATTTTATTGTTTTTATTTGTGTGATGGGATGAGACAAATATTATTTCCTATTTTGGAAATGTTGCAGAGTGCTTGAAATATACCAAAAGAAAATATTGCAGAGTGTTTGGAACATACCAAAAGAAAATATTGCAGGTGTTTGGGACAGAGAGGGAGAGTATTATTTATATTATCGACACGAATTCTCCATATCTAGTATAAAAATACATTCGTCCAAAAATATTATTATTTATATCCATATCTAATATATAAAAAATACATTCGCCCAAAAATACAAATAGAACAAAATAATATTCTCTTGTTAGGAAGACACTGGAGTAAACAATAAAGAAGCCATGGGATCAATGCCGCCGGGAGAAGAGTTTTAGGGTGTGTTTTGTTTGTATTTCATACACAAATCAACACTGTTTAGTAGGCACAGATTTTAGAAAAAATATATATATATACTATTTTTTCTCATTCAAAAATAACATCAAAATACTGTTTAAATTAAAATTCAAATAAAAATAAGTCGGACCAATACGATGGTAGGAGTGCTTGCACTACAAAGTTTCTCGACTACATCTATCTCATAGTCGGGAAATATGCAATATCCTCCGTCTCCCCAACAGCAAATGGTACTCACTATTACGACTACTACTATAAAGGTCGAATTAATTTGTCTTTCTACAAGCAAAATCTACGCTTCAATCACGACGAGTAAGGTAAGCAAATACCTGTTTCAAGTTACCCCGCGAGGGTCGAGCATTGACAACATACTTGCATACAAAAACTAGCCGTTTTCGCAGCTCTGCCTTGGTCATTTTCGCTTCACTCGAGTGTTTACCATCGTCAAAGTGTCCTATTTCAAAAGAAATAAAAATAAAAAGGGACACCTAAAGAATCATGATGATAAGTATTTATAATGAAATTCAAGTTCAGATATAGTTTTCGATTCTTGTAAAAAATCTCGATCAGAATTGATATGTCGATCTATATATATATATATATTTATATATAGAAATGTTATAGACTTAGCTGAGATATCACATGAGTTGAAAAATGGCTTAAGTTTCACCTTTTTCGTCGTAGAATGAGGTTAAGATTGCCAGAGATACACATATGCTTATATCTTCCCCTGAACCAGAAGTCGAGATACGATCAAGGTGAGATGCCAAACTTGTGTGAATTAATACATTGAATTCATTAAAAACAGAATCAAGCAGGGGAATCTTTATATTAACTTCTTGTAAATAAACAGGTTGGATTTGAGAAAAGAACACATCTAAAACAATTTAAGAAGTCATTATAAACATGCTAACCATTGTTGCAGCAAATCAGAAGTGTATTTCCCTTTCTCAAATGCATCTGGGCGAAGCCGAGAGCAGAAGGAAGGTTTCTTAACAAAGAAGTGCGATCGAATTTGGAGTCCTGTTGGCAAGCAGAATATTATGAAGAGAAATGTAACAAATCAAATATTAATGTCCAGAAATCATCCAAATGAATTTAGTTAATAAACATCAACAACCAATCACACGTACCTCAATTGGCAAGTGCAGATGCGATTCGGAGCTCTGCAGAGGGGCAGAAAATGACTCCTCCGAGCAGTTTATAATGCAGTAGGAAGGATGAACTTCCGATGCTGAAAGGTTCAGTAACAACTTAGCACTCGAAAGAGATAATATGACAAATGTCAACCTCAGGTAGGAATCAAAATTTAATTTTTGAGGCAACATAATACATGGTTATATATAATTCGTGTTTAATGTAATAGCTGATAAAAGTTTGAATTATATATCACTTTCCACTCTTCCCCTCATGCATGACCGAGGTTACTTCTATACAAAGCCTCGACACTTTTCTATTTTCTTTTTTTTTTCATTTCAGGGTGATAAGTGAGATTTAGACATCCCTAATACCACGTTAATAACAACTTCACTTAAAAGCTCAAGCATACGGAGAGATACGCCATTATGCATTTATTAGTATTTTCAACAAATCCAATTGATCATGTAGCAGAATGATTTTTGTTTCAGAGCAACAGCACATGAAAATTTCAGAATGTAGTAACGCATTGTAAAAGATGACGTACCGTGTTGAGACTTACAAACTGCAATCTTAGTCGAGCCCAGAAACGAGATGCTTGGGACGTCGTTTAATTTCCATGAATCAGCTACAGTTCCATTCTCCAAATTCGATGGCTCTCCTATGGAAGACATGTTTGTGCTTCCCAGACTTTTAGATGACTTGACTGAGATCTGAGGAGCATTTTCTCCCCGTTGCGCACGTCGTACTCTGTCTGTTTCAATAATATTTGCTACCTTTTGATTACAAAAATCAGGACCCAGTTGGATTATATCATAGGCGTGTCTCCAGAAAAGGTCGGGTGATAGACCTCTAGCCCAACTTTCCTCATCATCTCCGGCTCCAGCAATATAATTCCAGCTAAACTCGGAGGTAGTTCTGTGCTGAACAGTACCACTAGAAGCTGATGCAGATACAAGTATGATAGGGGTAAAATCCCATGAATCGATCTCCGGTACTTCATTCAACCAAATAACAGTCTTTTGTGAAATCCATAGAGGTCTTAGAGGCTTTTTCAGAGATGATGCAATTGAAGCAATATCTGCGCCGCTGGCCTCCAGCTCCTTGGTCCAACCTTCCAACCGGCCTTCAATCATTGCTTTCTCAGTTTCTGAAACCCAGAGGGGAAGATGCAAGGAACAATCCCAACCAGAAGAGTCGCCTCCGACAGTTCCAAGTTCCACTGAAGTAGTTGGAACCTGTTAAAGGCATACAAGTAAGTTCACATTATAAATGCAAAAATAGGCTAAAAAATAGCACAAATTAACCCCCTGAACAGACATGTCCTCTGAGACCCCAATCATTTAGTTATTAAACAAAAATTAAATTCAAGAGTTTGACTTGAATTGAATGTTCAAACTTCAAAGGAAGTTACACATTTGAAAATGAAATTCCTGCAGTGTAGTTATTGTATATTAAAGTTACAAAAGGCTTGCCACGCAGAAGATCTAACAATGATGAAAAATTCGATTGTGAAGGTTCATCAACACAATGTTATCGAAAAGGAAGATCCAAGACCAAGGATATATTTACAACAGTATGACACTTAGGCAAAGGGTCAAATCAGATAAGATGAAGCTTCTTAATTTCAATATACATAATGACATTTTAAATTACATAGTTTATTAAGCTACCAGTATATTCAGAATGTGGTTTTGCATAACCAGTAATTTTAATTACGAACGAAAGGAACAACACAACATTCAAGACGTCTATAAAGTATATCTCAGGTGTTAAGCAAGTTAGCATTGCATATCTAAATGGAATGGAAGTGCCGCAGCTTGAGTAGACAAGAAACATGCATCAAACTTGAGTCATTTTTCACACTATATAAGGACTAGAAGCTTGCTATATGAGTAATTAGGAAATTTTTTGTAAGGGATTACGCAAGACCAATTACTCTATGCTCGGATCACACAATTTATCTGATATGAGCAAGAGTCTGTGCTTACCGAAAAATGTTATGTTTTGGATTTGAACACATGCTTAGATCAATTTATATACCAAAATGAGTTGCAAACAAGATATACATATTTCCAATGAAGCCAGAAGTAAAGAACCAAAACCAAACACATTTCGAGGAGCTCATAAGGCAAAGAAGCAAGCATCACTTACATTTTCCAGAGCATCATGTCTGTCATGTTTGGTCCAGAAATTGAAAATAGCACGATTCATGACACAGGTCCAAATTGGTATAGTCTTGGACATACTGTCTGGAAACCTCTTCCCTTTTCTTGTTGAATCAACAATCATACATCCTCCCCTCTGTGCTACCGCAAAAACCAGGAAAAACAGTAAAAGACAAGTCATTATGCTTTCCTATTATCATATATAAAACCAACCAAGTAGCCAAATAATTAACAAGATAAGAAAATTCCATTAGACATACACTACAGAGCTGACTTTAAATGAGCTCTTTTCTGTGCTCTGATAATTTGTTCCATAATGCACTTATACATAACAGATAATTGTGGATTGAGTGTATGCAAAGAAGAAGCCGCAACAATACAACCAATTCCAACAAAAAGTCTTCTTATGGTGCAATAAAGAAATAAAAGAACAGGAATTGATTGAGATACCAGCAGTGAGGGCGACATGGAGGTTGAGGCGTGAGGTATTGAAAGACAAGTTGTTGGTGTGGCCATCGGTGGATTTGAAGTAGCAATTAGAGTTGAATTTGGGGGAATACCATAAGCCGCATCGAAGGTTGGCAAGCAGCGGCAGCTCCGGCCAGAGCTGCGAGATTTCTCCGACGAAGATGGAGTCCTCGTAGATGGAGCGCAAGGCGTTGTAGAGCGTGCTCTCTTTCCTCTTGATCGTCCTCGCAATTTTATATATGCTTCGACTCTGATCTTCCATTCCGCCGCCTCGCCGCCGCTGAATTGAGACTCAAGGCCGCCGTCCGCCGCCGGAATTCTACACCCTCCGTATATATAAATATTTATTTATTAAATGGGCTTGGGCTGAAGAATTGAGCCCATTATATATATAAATATGTAAAAATTTTGACCCCTTTCCATATGAGTATGCGGGCCAGATTGGATATTTTGGGTTTTTTTTTTTTTTTCCTTCGCGTGTGTTTTTCTTTTTGGATGTGTTTTTTTATGTTACCGTTAGAGAATTAGGGTTTGTTTCTCCGGGGGCGAAATTTGGTTTTAGGTTTGATTTTTATTTGAATTTTGAGATAAGTTTGAATTTATGTGTTTTTTGTGTTTAGGTTTAAGTTGAGTTTTTGATAGTTTTGATGTGTATTGATTCGATGGTAATAAATATAATAATATAAATGTGTATCAATTTATATAATTTGATTATAAATTTATGTTATATCTATATATATATATATTTCGAAATTTTTATTTATGTCTATTATAAAAAATTTTGTTTTTTATAAAATAACATATTTGAGTTGTATTGGTAAAATTTTAAAAATATATTTATAGTAAAGTAATATTAATTAAATATGTTAGATGTGTTATATTATCAACTATGATCATCTCACCTAAAAACTTAAGTTTAAAATGATATAAATTATTTATTTATATATTATGATGTTTATCAACACATCCTAAAAACTTAAGTTTAAAATGATATAAATTATTTATTTATATATTATGATGTCTACCAACACATCCTCTCACGTGTAAGGTGGATTTAAGCCACATATGACGAACATGGGACGTTTCGTGTCTAATACCAAGTTAAATGATCATTTCATCTAAAAATTTAAGTTTAAAAAAATATGAATTATTTATTTATATATTATGGAGTCAACCAACACGTCCCCTCACGTGCAAGGTAGATTTACGCCACATATATATATGACGAACATAGGACGTTTCACCTCTGATATCAAGTTAAATGATCATTTCACTTAAAAGTTTAAGCTTAAAATAATATGAATCATTTATTTATATATTATGGATTCAACACGTTCTCTCACGTACAAGGTGGATTTACGCTACATACAATTGAACATAAGACGTTTCGTCTCTGATTAAATGATCATCTTACCTACAAGTTTAAGCTTTTAAGGAATACACATTATTTATTCATTTACATATTTGAGTCAATCATCATTATCAATTCCTAATAGAGATAGATGTAATTAAAATTACAAAGTTCTACAAAATTTTTAGACTAGTTTCACCATACCTATCCGAGAATAAATAGAAAAACTTAGGAATAAATCATTGAATAAATGGATTGTGTGGGGATGTATTATAAATGAAGGAATTTATTCAAATGAAGTATGGAGGGTGGGAAATGAAAAATCAAGATAAAAAATATAGTCGCACATCCTCGAACATGTATAGAAATCCATAAATAATTTTTATTGCACAATTGATCATTCGGCGCCGAAAATGCGCACGTGGCATCCGCCTATTACGCCAAAACACGCGTGGCGGCACGAAGACGCTGTCTGGCAGACACATGAAAGTTTTTTTTTCTTTTTTTTTTTTTAATCATCTACGTGTCCGTCAGGTGGTGCTTACGTGGCGGACATGTGTGCTCTTGCGTGTCAGGCGAGTGCCACGTACGCATCTCTGATTCCGAAGGACCAACTGTGCCAAAAAATAAATAAATAAAACAACTTTATACGTACTCCAATTGCGGGACTAAAATAATAAAAGATCAAACTAGTCGAGTTCATCTCAATTTCGAGTTCAGCTCATCTATCTCGACAAACTAGTCGAGTTCGTCTATTAACGAGTCAAATCAAACTCAGCTCGCGCACAAGTTATCTGATTCGTTTATCAGCTCTAATAATTCATCGCTATTGTTGTTGTCGTGTTGCTTTCGAAGTAGCATAGCAAACTCGTTCGATCAATCGATCCCTCATCCCTCTTTACAAGTTACCTGATTCGTTTAACAACTCTAATAATATGTTAATATTGTTGCGTTGCTTTCGAAGTAGCATCGCAAACTTGTTCGATCAATCGATCCCTCGTCCCGCCTCCGACTACGCTCCATCCCGCCATTTTCTTCGAACTCCCGTCTCTCATCCCTTTCCTTTCTTTCATCGCTTGCTCCCATTTTCCGGCCTCGACGTACATGTTCGACAACACGACATGAACCCCGTGATTTTGCGGATCCAAATCAAGTATCTCCCTCGCCGCCCTCTCTGCAACCTCAATATTCCCACACTCTCGACAACCACTCAACAACGCCCCCCATATCGCCACGTCGGCTTTCCAAGGCATCGTTCTTATAACTTCCTCGGCCTCCAAAACCCGCCCTCCTCTCCCGAGCAAGTCCACCGCGCAACCGTAGTGCTTCAAATTCGCCTTGACGCCGTAAACGCCAAACATCGAATAGAAAACCTCACGGCCGTAGTCCACCAATCCGGCGTGGCAACACGCCGACATCACGCCAAGAAGCGTAATCCCGTTCGGCTCGAACCCCTCCTCCAACATCATTTTAAAAACGTTTATCGCCTCCTCGGCGCGCCCGTGAACCGCCATCCCACAAATCAACGCATTCCAAGTCGCGACATTTTTTGCCTTCATCCCATCGAAATATTTTTTTGCCTTCGCCAACGCCCCGTTCCTCGCGTACATGTTCACGATCGCCGTCCCAAGAATCACGCCGACTTCCATTCCCTTCTCCTCGATGTAGCGATGAATTCGCTCCCCGAGCTCAAGCTCCGGCTGTGCCGACTGGGCGCATGCCGACAGCACCGACGACAACACCACCCCCCTCGGTTCAAATCCTTCCCCGATCATTTCTTGAAACAATGTAATTGCTTCCTTGGGACATCCATTCTGTGCATACCCACATATCATCGTCGTCCACAGCCTCAAATCCTTCACAGGCATTTCGTCGAACACCTTCCGTGCATCCCCAACACTACCCGACGTTACAGAAATCCCTCTCACCAGCGCATTCCCGACGTGCGGATCGATCTCAAATCCAAATTTCAAAACATTGGCGTGCACCTGCGCAAAACATTTACTCAATTTCATGTTCGAGCAAGCTTTGAGGACGAAAGGGAAGGTGTGGGTCCCAGGAGCTACGCCGCGCCTTCGCATCTCGACGTACAGAAGGAAGCCATCGGAGGGGTTCGAAGTGTTTGCTAATGCTCGGATTATTGTGTTCCACATGAACAAATTCGGGGTAGGGATGTGATGAAATAGTTTGAGTGCGTAATTCAGGTCTGAAAGAGCGCAAAAATTGATCAATCGGCTCGCGGCGTAGGCGTCGTGAATGCGGGCGGTGACGATCATTTGGGCGTGAATTTGCCTAATTTGGTCCATTGATTTGCATTTGTCTGCTGAGACAGAGAGCGGCGCTTCTATTGCGGCCGTCGCCGTCGTCCGCCGGAGACTTAATTGAAAAGCTCGTCTCGAAATGAGCATTCCCACGCCGACGGATATAGGGCATGGTTCGCCAAATCGGCCGAATTGGAACCGATCTATGAGATACAGAAAGGTGATTGCAAGGAGGAGAGGACGGCGGCGGCGGAGGCGGCGGAGGGGGCGGAGAGGAGAGGAAGAGGATGACGGAGCGGTGGGTTGAAAGTTTATTGGGCTTGGGCTTAGGCTTTAAATTTATTGGGCTTGTGTGTTCTATCTTTTTTGTTGTATTTTTCAGTTTGAATGTTTTAACAATAACGTTTGAATTTATATTAGTTTTCTGTATAATATAAAAATTAAATTTTATACCAAGTTACATGGGTCATGTATAATTGTACATTAAAACATGTATAGTTGTGACAATATAACTATGTATAATTGTAATGATCGGATAGTTTCCAAGTCGGCTGCCACGTCAACTCTGTTACGTTCACGTCAGCAATTTTCGTTAGTTTTTTAACGGTAAGATTAAAATTGATTGAAATTGTTTATAATAAAACCAAAATTGATTGAAATTGTTTATAGTGAAACCAAAATTGATTAAAATTGTTTATAATTAGACTAAAATTGATGATTTTTTTTTATATTGAAACCAAAATTAATAAATTTTAGTTATATTTAAACCAAAATTGATTTTTCCCAAAAATTTATTTGATTTAATTTAATATTATTGAAAAAATAAATAAAACAAATAATAAAAACCTTATGAGAAATATACGAAAGAACACAATTCAGATTTTGGGTGTTTGAATTAAATTTTATTTTAATTAGTATTTTAATATAATAATTTTTTTAAAAAATAATGCATTTTTTTAACAGCTTGTGTTAATTTATATTTTATTTTATAATATTCAGTTGGAATCGTTACAATTAATGGATGAACATGCCTAATATTTATATTTCATTTTAAATAAAAAGTTTGACTACACTATAACTATAAGTACCTTCAAAATTATAATTATTTAGCGGTGCGTACTTTCGGATAGCGGTTGCGTATTTTTCCGATATAAAAAAAAATACAAAAATAAAATAAAATATTCCATCCATACCTAGAAAATAGATACACCTCCTTTATAATTTACAAGGAAATATAACTATTTTTTGCTTTTTTTATTTTATTTTTATTTTAAATGTTAGTAAACTATATACATATACTCCCTTCGTCTCATAAGTGCGTATCCGCTTATTTTTTACACGAAATTTTAAAAATATTAGTATTATATTAGGATATAGTAGGAATAAAGTACAAATGACTAAAATAATTTTATTAGTACTGTGTGATATAAAGATAACGACATTTGTATAATATATTGTAAGTTGTAAGGGGTTGTTTGGTTCAAGGATTTGATGGGATTCCATGGGATTTATATTTTAAAATCCTATAAAATCCATGTTTGGTTAAGAAAAAAAAAGGTGGAATTTAAAATAATGGGATTTGAAAAAGGGGTCTAAAATCCTACAAATAAGGGATTTTTTTTTGTAATGGGGATACCCCGTTACTTTTAAATCTCATTCTTGAAATTTTAATTTTTACATTTATATCCTCTTATAAAAAAATAATAGTACTATATTTATGTAAAAAATTAAATAATTTTAACATTAATTATTATTTAAATTATATACTTAATTAAATTTATATTATTTTTTATTGTACAATATTTTTTAAATAAATTAATAATTCATTGTTTAAATTATTATTTATTATAAATTTTATTTGAATTATAAAATTATAGGGACCACCATAAGTCGGGTTCAGTCGGAACTGATATTCATCCCAAATATATATTGTTAAATTCGAGATTCAAATTGGATCCGATTATGCTAGATCCGACCGAAACTATACCCGGTATGACTTGATAGATCCAAAAAATCTATTTTTTTTACAATTCTTAAATTTTAATTTAAAATTACATATATACAAGATCCAATGTATATTAAAATTTATGTATTTTATTAGAAAAATATTATAATAAAATAATGAATATGTTAAACTCAAAAAATATTTTTAATATAATTATATTATTCGAAATTATTTTTGATATATATGGTTGATATATTATTATATTACCCTGATCATGATCCGGATCCAGACCTAATACTCAAATAATTGGACTCAACTTCAAATAAATAGGTCGGGCTCAGTCGGGTCTCGAGTTTACGCGAATCTATTGTCATCCTATAAAATTATTGATATATTTTCAATTTATATTAATAATGAATTAGAGGTTTAATTTGACAAAATAAATAAAATTGATAAGAGGACAATTATGTCATTTAAAATATAAAAAATCCAAATCCACAAAATATAAATCCCACCACATTTTACCAACCAAACATAACATGGGATTCCAAATCCTAAATATAATAAATCTCATAACATATAAATCCTACTGTGAAATCTCAATCCCACCGAAAAAGTCCATGAACCAAACAGCCCTTAAGGGATACTTTGTTTTGAAATGGACTAGAGTGGAAAATGAGAAAATATTTTTTTTATGACGCGAAAATTCGCAGCCACTACCGAAAGTGCGCACTGGATAAACCCTGACTGAATCTAATATCCTGCAAATTAAGTTCAATAGACAAATCATATTTTTTATGTTTAAAAGTTCATTTTTAAATAAATTAATTTTTTATTAGATTTATAAAAAAAAAATATATATTTGTAACTTATAATTAAGTTTATAAAATAATTATTTATCTGAGTTATTGTGTTTAAACAAATATCGGTTAGATTATAGCTTAGTTAACTAATAATTTAGGTTTATCAAATAATTATTTTATAAAATTTATTTATTTGCTTAAAATATTTATGTTATAATTTAAGATTAAATTCTAAAATAAAATAAATATATAACATCTTTTTTATTGGATTTTCAACTCTATTTACGTCATTTAATTTTGTTTCCGATATAACATAACCTATTGTTTAATTTACAATAATCTTTTCAAAATATTTTTATTTATTAATATTGACTTAAATTTCATTTATTTATTTGATTGCAACATGCAAGTGGACACAAATGCAATTATTATGAAGTAGAGTTCAATAGCAATTTGCCAACGTTGACTAAAGGGTGTGTAATTTTGGAGTATGATTTTTTTATTTTTTATTTTTGGTTTTTTATTTAAATATTAATTTGAATATGATCTTTTATAAACAAAAAAAATATATATGATTCTATTTAATAAAAAATGACAATAATTGTATTTAAAAAAAAAACTGAAAAAATATGCACCTTTTTTTTATATATAATTGTGTAATTAAAATAAGCAGAAGTCAGAAATAAAAACATTCTAGTTAAAAGTGCTTTTAAATTGTTAAAATTACTCAAAATGACATATTGTTAATATAATAGTATTTCTCTATATAACTTTTATAATTTATTTTAAATTTTATTAATTATATTTAAAGATTTAAATGAAAATAAAAAAATAGTATATTAAAATTTTGTTATTTTTGTTTTAAAATTTTAATTTAAGGATAATATATCAATTAAAAATAAAATTACAATATAATATAATATAGAGAAATACTATTATATTAAAAGCATGTTTTTTTTAGTAAATTTAATCGTGGAAAAGCATTTTTAACTGTTTAACATTCAAATAGTTTCTTACAAAAAGTGTTTTTATAATAATTTATCTAAACACAAAATCAAACCGTTTCTACTTTTGACTTTTTAGCTTCAAAAGTTGATTCTACTTTTGGACATAAACCAATACAAACAGATACAAATTATTATTTTTTTTAAGCAGAAGTCAAAAGTTCCGAAGTCAATTCAAACATGACCTTTAAAGTGTGTTACTTATGAGTTATGAACTTTTGATTTTGAATATTTTAAATGTAAAAAATAAATTTTAATGTAATTAATAAATAAAAAATAAATATTTAATATGATATCTTTTAAAAAAAATTTGAAAATAATAAAATCAAAAGTCAAAATCTTACAAATAAACATATTCCTATTCTTTTACTTTTTTTTAATGTAAAAATAAATTTCAATGTAATTAATAAATAAAAAATAAATATTTACTATGAATTTTTTTAAAAAAGATTAAGAATAATAAAATCAAAAGTCAAAATCTTATGCATAAACATACTTTTCTTTTACTTTGACAACACAAGTTGTCAACATGATATATGTATACACAATGTTTGTTTGTATGTTTTTTATAAGGATTTTTTTTCACTTATGAAAAAATACCAAATATATAAAATTAAATTTTTATTTTTATTTTTAATAAAAATTAAAAGTATTATATTAACATTTATACATATTGTCTCAAATATTTATTTTAATTTAAAATTTTATTATTATAAATTATGCTGAAATCAAGTATAGATTGTACTGTCTTTGACTATCACCGAAATCAATTATAATTATGTCGTCCGTTAATGTGAAACATTTATATTATGTTAATATAAAACTAACAACACACTATGATATTTAAATACAATTAATAGTTGATTTCATATAATTTATTTTAAAAAAGTACAATTAGATACGTGATTTTATTTAATACAATATATATATCATTTGTATTTATACCATGTTTAAAATTGATTTTCTTTTTATTATTTGTTGTTAGTACTATGTCGAATTTTTCGATCGACACACAAACAACCGCTATTATATAACTTTTTCATGTGTTTTTTTTTTTTTTTAATTTATAATATTTTTGTTTGCAAATTTTTTTATTCATAATTAATTAGATTGTAAATGATATACTCCTTTCGTCCCATAATTAAGTATTCGTTTGTTTTTTATACATAGTTTTAGAAATATTAATATTATATTGAGATATAATAGGAATAAAGTAGAAATGACTAAAATAACCTTATTAGTATTGTGTGATATAAAGGTAATAATATTTGTGTAATATATTGTAAATTTTAAGGGTATTTGTAATGTTAAGTAGATAGTAAAAAACTTAAAAAATAAAATAAATATTTTATTACAAAACAGACTAAAATAAAAAAAAATGGATAATTTATTAGGGGTCAGCGTAGTATTGAAAGTCAATATTAGAAGCCTAAACTACCAAATCGAGAAAAGCTTTTTCTAACAACCAAATTCAATATTTTTTAATTTATTTTATCAAAATTGCCCTCGTGTCAATAGTAAAGGGTGTGTTTGTTTGGAGGATTGGATTAGATTTTTATTATTTATCCCATTTTTAATCAAATATCTATTTTTTATTTTTTATATTACAATAAAATCAATTTTACATTCAAAACATCACATCAACACCTATTTATATCACATCATACAACTATTCAAATTCAAAAATTTTACTATTTAAATCCCAACTCAAAATTCAAATCCCGAACAAACACGCCCAAAGGAATATTTTTCGTCCTAAAAGTTACACTTCCAACTTGACTAAAAGTTGTCTACATACCGTGCTTTTAACTATTAAAAATGAATAAATAAATAGAAAAAGTAAATGCCACCTTCCGATGCGCTTCTCAATTTTTAAATATAATAATAATAAAAAAAAAGTAAATACATGGGAAATTTTATCCACTTATTTACATGTAAGCTCGATTACTTTGTTAAAATTTTCCAATTGGTTAGTGTTTTTAATGATAGAAAAAATATTGTGATGATTGAAAATTTGTTGGGTGTGTTTATTTTGCATTTTGATATTTTTTTATACGAGAGATGAAAAACTGTAACTAATATAAAAATAAAAAATATACTCCCTATTTTAATATAATAGTCTTATTTAGTATTTTTGTCCGTTTCAAAACAATAGTCTTATTTCCATAAATAACTATATCACCATAAAACTACCCTTATTTTTTCATTTTTATTACAAAATTGTCACTACTTTTTACACTAATACACTTACAAGAGCAAAAAAAAATTTATTCATATTTTTTACCAACTACCAATATAATACTCCCTCCGTCCGCTTTGAAAGTTTACATTTACTTTTGGCGCGGTGTTTAAGAAATAATAGTATTTTAATTATAGTGACTAGTTAAAAGTAATGTAATGACATTTTTGCCCTTACTTTTTTGTGTAAAATTAATGATGTGATGTAAATTAAGGGTATTTGTAGAAAAAAGTAGGGTATTTAATGAAATGTTAACTTTGTAATTGGACGTCCCAAAATAGAAATATGTAAACATTGTAAGTGGATGGAGGGAGTATCAATATTTCTTAAATTTTGTGCCCAACCAAATTAAAACTATAATTTTGAGACCGAAGAAGTATGTAATATATATATATATATATATTTTTAATAAAAATATGTTTAAAAATTTTTATTAAGAAAACATAACCCCAATAATCACATATACATTAACCAAATAGTGCATAAAAGCACATTGATATATTGTATTGATATATGTTTTTTTTTTTTTTTTTTTTTTGGTATTAAATCAATTTTAATATAATATATTTCTTGTACGAGACTATATTATGTATTGTTATTAGTTCATATGTTGTCTTTGCATTATGTTAATATAATTCATATATTGTATGTCTCTATATTATATGTTGTCTATCCATATATCATGTGTTGTGTGAGACTATGCGTATTTTTAATTATATATTGTATTTATATTATTTTAACATAATGCATTTCTTAATATAATTTATGTATTCACTTTTTCTATTGTGTTTTATATATGATTATACTATTATATGTTGTAAAAAACGTGGTGAATTTCGTATTTCTGCACATAATCTAAAGATAAATGATTGTTTTTTTAAAAAAATACTTCATCCGTCAAGTTAGAAAGTATACATATTATATTTTGGGACGTCCAATTACAAAGTAAACATTTAATTAAATACATCACTTTTTCTACAAATACTCTTAGGGTGTGTTTGTTTGGGGGTTTGGATTTTGAGTTGGTATTTGAATAGTAAAAATTTTGAATTTGAATAGTTGTATGATGTGATATAAATAGGGTTTGATGTGATGTTTTGAATGTAAAATTGATTTTTAGTATAATATAAAAATAAAAAATAGGTATTTGATTTGATGTTTTTGCGGGAAAAAATTGAATGAATAGTGGAAATCCACCAAAATCCTCCAAACAAACACACCCTTACTTTACATCACATCATTACTTTTACACCAAAAATAAAGGGGCAAAAATGTCATTTTACTACTTTTAACTACCCACTATAATTAAAATACTATTATTTCTTAAATACTGCGCCAAAGGTAAATGTTTACTTTGTGTGTGGACGGAGAGAGTATTAATTAAAAAAACCCAATAATTCTTCATATTTTACAAAAAAAAATAATTTAAAACTATTAATTCTAAACAAAACACAATATACGCCGTGTATATTTTTCTATATTTATTTAGATTTTTGTATTTTGCTATATAATTTTTAAATTTTTAATAAAAATATATTATTATTATTATTATTATTTTACAAAATATTACGTCAAAATATTATTTAGAAAATCAAATCAAATAAACACTCCATGTTAATTGTTTATGAAAGTCAAGTAGTCATTTAATATAAACAATTAATAACTTTAGAATAATTTTACTATCTACATAGCAATTATTAATAATCTTTAATTTAACTATTATTATTATTATTATTATTATTTATTATTATTATGGGATTTTAATAATAAGGGTTTTAGTCAACCAAAATGGTGATGTGGATAAAATCATCTTAACCTACCCAATACTCAAAGCATACCCATATTATATTGTTTATTTTATTATTCATATATTGGTATTTTTGATAACTTTGCTATTTAGGAAAAAAAAAAAAAATAGTACTTTTATCCGTATTTTAAATATTTTAAAAATTATATTTTAATAGTATATGTAAGACGAATATTATTATATAATAATAAATTTTTATATAATATAAATAAATAAAAAAAATATTATTTATTTATAATTAACTTAAATTTAATTTTATAAAAAATAAAAAATTTTAAATATAAATAAAAATATTTGCTTATTGAGGAGAGATATAGAATTAAATGGACATATATGTAAAAAGTAAGAAAATTTTGATTAAATTTTAATTTATTTGTTAAATATATTTTAAAATAAATAAATTTATTAAAAATATATAACAATAAAAGAATAGATCATCTTAGATTATAACTTTATTAAAAATACCTTTCAAACTAATACATTTAGGAAAAATTGCAAAAAATGCTATGTATGTAAGTTCAATTATCATTTTTGAACTTTTTTATTTTTTTATTTTTTTTTTATTTTTGCAATTTAGGACATTATATGTACTCCAAGAATTACTTTTGCCCTCTGCCGCCGAAAAAACACACATGACCGTCACGTGCGCCTTTGTGGTATGACCGGTGCATACGTGGACGCCGCCGTTGTTGTGTTGTCGTCCACGTGATTATCGGACATGTAACGTGAAATTATTCTTTTTTTTTTACTTTCGCAATTTAGGACATTATGTGTACGTCGGATATTACTTTTGCCTTTCGGTGCCGGAAAAACAATTTGTTCTAAGTTTTTTTATTTGAATTCGGTTCAATTGATTTTTTGCAATTTGGTCCAATTTGTCAAAATTAAAATTTAAAAAGAAAAAAACTATATTTTTTTTTAAAAAAATTAATTCCACCTCATCTATCCGACGATCATAGAACAAATTGTTTTTTCGGAATCAGAGAGCAAAAATAATTAGAGTACACATAATGTCCTAAATTGTGAAAGTAAAAAAGATAATTTCATGTCACATGTCCGACGACCACGCGGACGACAACACAACAACGGCGGGTCTAGGGTTTAGGGTTCACGTATGCGCCGCCGGCCATGCCACGTAAACGTGACGGTGATATGCGTTTTTTCTGCGTCGAAGGGCAAAAATAATGTCAAAAGTACACATAATATCCTAAATTGAAAAAAAAAAAAAATTATTATACAATAGGTCATTTTGGTCATTTTGCGAAATTTTTTTTGGTCATTTTGGCTTAAATTTATTATACAATAGGAGAATAGGAATTGGGTTGCCCAACTTTGGCCCCACTTGTCTTTTCCTTACTGTTATGAGTTTATCTCCCTCCCCACAACAAACTTCTTACTTTAATTCAGTCAAATTTCTATTCAATTCAATTTTTCCCTTCTATAAATTCTCTCGTCGCCAAATCCCCAATTTCAATTTCAATTCTAATTTCGCTAAATCCGTTCGATTCGCAATGTTGAGCTCGCAGATCGCCATAGTAGACGACGACATGTTCGACCTCGACCTCGCCTTGACGATGCCGGAAGTTTCCGCCGAGAAGCGCCGGCCGGATGCGGAATCCACGGCCGCCGCTCGCCTCCTGGTCGGAGCTATGCCGGAGGTAAGCGCCGGCGCCGGCGCCGGTAATCATTGTGTTGTATGTATGGAAGAATTCGGAAATGAGGAAACGGGAAAGCGAATACCGTGCGGACACGTGTTCCACGAAGGTTGCATTTCCGATTGGCTCTCGCTCCACAATGCCTGCCCTCTCTGCCGCCGTACACTCGCCCTTTAATCCGCTCACTTGTTTTTAGAAATTATTTGACTTTTCAAATTGTATTAATTTGTTGTATTATGTTACAGTTGAATTATTGTTAAGGTAAACTGTTTTTTTTAGTCCCAGACCTCTTATCATTTTAGCTTTGTAAGTGAAGCCTATCGCAAATTAGTCTCATAAGTGAAAAATTTTCGTTGTTTTAGTCCTCCGGTGTCGGAGATGTCGGCGTAGCTCGCCGGAGGTGACATGTCCGCCAGGTCAGCGACACCTGACGGACATGTGAATTTTTTTTTTTCATTTTTTTAATTTATTTTTTAAATTGGACTAAATAAAAAAAATAAAAAAAGTGCAAATAAAATTTAAAATAAATTTAAAATAAGTTTTTTAAAAAAATAAAAAAAAAATCTGCGTGTCCGCCAGGTCAGCGACACCTGGCGGACACGTCACCTCCGGCGAGCCACGCGGGCGTCTCCGGCACCGGAGGACTAAAACGGCGAAAAGTTTTCCCTTATTGGACTAGTTTGCGACATGCTCCACTTATGAGACTAAAATGATAAAGGAGTCCAATTACGGGACTAAAAAAACAGTTTACCCTTATTATTATTATTATTTTTTTTATAACGTGGAATCCACAAATTCACAGGTTAAACTTTCGGCCGAACATAATACTCTGTGAACTAGGTCCGACAAGTCAAGTTACACGGGTTTGAACCCATAACCTGAGTTATTGAGTTATATATAGAGAGAATATTTTTATATACCAAAATTATAAAATTAATATAATGTAATTTATAAATAATAAAAATATATTAATAAAAATAATTAATGTATAGTATAAATAATTTTACATTACGATTAAAATAATTTAATTATAATTTAAAAATGTATAAATTATTAAATTTAAAATTAGATTATTATTTTTTTTAAAAAAAAAGGGACAAAGAATTTGACTAAAAAATATTTTATATAAGACTAAGGAGTAACATATTATCACTAAGGCTTCTTTTAAATGAACATCCCCCACCCAAAAATAAGTGCAAGTTTGTTCCCTCAGTATTTTTAAAAAGAATTTGTTTTTTTTTTTTAATATTAGAAACAATAATTATATTAGTAAAAAAAATATTTTATATTAAATTATTTACTTTCAAGTAGATAAATATATATGTGTTAATATTTGTATATATTTATTTTGAATTGTTCCATCCAAAAAAAATATTGTAAACAAACCCTATTACATAAGTTATTATTATTATTTTAAATTGCAGTTAATATTATTCACTTTCACAATTGTTAATAAAAATATACAATTTTTTCACATAAAATATCAAATCAAAATTACTATTCCCTCGGTCCCATTACAAAGTATCCATTTTTTTCATTTTAGTCTGTCTCATAACAAAGTATTCATTTCATTTTTTTAGTAATTGTACTATCTAACATTACAAATACTCTTACAACTTACAATATATTACACAAATGTCGTTACCTTTTATATCACACGTACTAATAAGGTTATTTTTTAGTCATTTTTACTTTATTACTACTATATTTTAATATAATATTAATATTTCTAAAACAACGTGAAAAAAAATTGATATTTATTTATAAAACGGAGGGAGTAATTTTTTTTTTTAAAAAAATACTTAAAGTAATATTTCATTTCAAATTAATTTCGAACTACGATCTAACAAACTTATAGTAATGTAAGAATATTTAGACCAATAATATAGTATGTTTAATTGAATTTTGAATTTGAAAGACTCCCGCAGATTGGTGGCTCCAACCCTGATCCTGTCTATCCTAGGCCCTCTTTTAAGACATTATGTGACAATTACGTAGCTTTCTTCAAGCGGTACATATCAATCCTGTGTAAGCCCTAATGTCGGCACTCGTAAAATTTGACTTTTGTCCCACTGGACATGTCAGTTATTTGTATAAAAAAATAATATTCCGCGTGGCTTCAAGTTCGATCGTTCGATACGCCCAAATCAAGCGAAACGGATCTCAGAAGCACTCCAAATCATAATATTTTTTGAAAATTCATACTGATATCATACGAAATTTTTGATATTTTCGATACGATAAGGTATAATAAATCGGTATTTCGGTATGTTGGGTGAATTTCTCCGCCTCTACTCAAATCACAGATTCTTACATCACTAATTAATTAATTAATTAATGATAACGTTAACGCACCGACAATGCCTATACAATAATAGCATTATTGAAAATTCAAATGCAGACAATGCGTGTATATATATATATATATATATATATATATTCATATTTTATTAGGTCCACTTCATTCACAAAATATATATATACAAGAAGTCAATTTCACTGTATGAATTTAAAAATTATTTTTGACACAATTTATGACAGTATATTAAATGATATATTTATTTATTATTTATAAAATTATTTAGTAAAAATAATTTGAAATGATATATTATTTTTTATATTAGATATAACAAATTGTATAAGTAATATTTTTTTCGTCCGTCATATTTAGTAACATTTTTTTTTATACGCAAAAAAATATAAAAATAATAAATGTGTATAATATATTAATTTTTTTAAAATAAAATAAGTTATTTGTTTTGCATAATTCTCACAAACTTAATTTGAATGAAAAAAATAAATTATAATTTTAAATAATATAATAAAAATAAAAAATTAATTTTAATATAATTGATTTTGAGCTAAGAAAATTAACAAGTAGTAGCAATATACTTCCTCCGTCACGTCACATAAGACCTATTTCTTTGTACGTTTCACAAAAGATGATCCATTTTCATTTTTTTGTAACTTTATCAATCTTAAATATACTTAACAAATATAATTTAATTTAATTAAACTTGTAACATAGAAACACTCAAAACCTCTTTATTTCTATATTTCTTCTCAATTAACATAATTTTTTTTTTTTATCTATATTTAAAATTACTCATTTTTTATAAAACTAATTTATGGTAATGACAAATAAATAAAAATATTATATAAAATTTTATTATCTACAGAATGATATCTATATTACATGTATTTTTTCGAAATATAATCTTAAAATTATTTAAAATACCAATAATATTATTGGTATAAAAAATAATAAACTAATATCATAACTTATTATTAATAACTTACTAATTTACACTACCTAAAAAAAATTGTGTCCCTAATAAAAGGGTTTATTCCTCGCGGGAGAGGGAGTAGATTTTTAAAATATAAATTTTAAATTATATTCATATCCACTTTTTCTTCATTTTTTTCTCTCCTCCCTATCACAATTTTATTTATTAGAATAGAGGGAATAAAAAAATTTTATTTGTTAAAATAGAGGGAAAAAATCAATTTTGGTCCAAATGTATTAATTTTGGTCATAATATAAAAAAACTCATCAATTTTAGTCTCATTATAAATAATTTCAATCAATTTTGGTCTCATTATAAATAATTTTAGTCATGTATCTAATTCTTTTATCATTTTAGAACTTTAATAAGTGGACCATGTCAGCGACACCTGGCGGACACGTCACATCCAGTGAGCCACGCAGGCATCTCCGGCGCCGAATGACTAAAACAACGAAAATTTTTCACTTATGGGACTAGTTTGCGACAGGCTCCACTTACGGGACTAAAATGGTAAGAGGGTCCAGTTACGGGACTAAAAAAACAGTTTACCCAAAAAATTAATAATAAGAAAAATAAAAATAAAAATTTGGTGTTATTATAATTAATAATTATTATATTTTGAAAGGGATATCTGATTCCTATTATCTTTTTATTTTATTTTATTCTTAAATTGGATATTATTAAGGATAAATTGGATATATATTACTTGTATTTTAAATTTATAAACTAATTATTTTATATAAATTATATAATTAGATATATATAATTTTTTTCTCCTCAATTTTTTTTATTTTTTTTAAATTTTTTTCACTATAGGATCTCCTCATTTTTTAATAAAAACATATTTATTTTTATACAAATAATTATTTTATTAAAAGACAACAAAAAAAATAAAACCAATGTTGTGAGATCATATATATATAATTGGTTACTAGTCATATAAAATTATTATGTTGTATAATAAAATCATAGCAATAATTTATAAGGGATATAATTAATAAATAATTAATAATTAAAAATATATTAGAAAAGTAATTATCGTATAGTAAATATTATTATAAATTAAAATTTAAAATATATAAATAAAAAATTAAAATAAGATTAAAATATGTAATTTTTTTTTAAAAAAGTAAAAATATAAGCGAGATAAACAAAAATAAAAAAATAAAAATGATAAGTGGAACCGAGTGAGTTTATGACTCAAGAGCTTGCAAAGAACCATAACCATAATGCAAACGAAGATATAGAAATTTAAGTCTCATAAGAAATGGTTTTATAGTATGAGGGTGAACTCGTAACTTTGATGTTATAGATTCAAATTTTCAATTCCTCCAGTCTTGTTCAAAAAATAGTATAATTTTAAATGAATCGTGAATTGCAATAATTGTATAATAAAAAAAATAAAATAAAACACGAATACCTAATAAAAAAAGCTCATACCTGTTTTAAATGTAATGTACTCCCTTTGTTCCATTGAAAAGTTACAATTTTTTATTTCCATTCGTCCCAAAACAAAGTTACCATTTTTTAATTTAGTAATTGTACTATCTACTTAACATAATAAATACTCTTTTTAACTTACAATATATTACACAAATGTCATTATTTTTATATTACACTGTACTAATATGGATATTTTTATCTTTTTTACTATAATGCAATATAATACTAATATTTAAAAATTTACCTGCAAAAAGCAAATGTTACCATTCCAATAGGAGGGAGGAGTATTTTTATTATAAAATTGTGCTTAAATAATGATATTTTATTTATTTGAAATAAAAAACAAACATACATGTTGATGTATTTTTTCAACAATAAAAAAGTAAAATCCGTGACTGAGATTAGGAATCTCTAAACACTGTACGGTACATAAGTAAACTGGGAAAATAAATATTACAGACTGAAAATTGAATGATGATCCCCGAATCACTGACTTTGTTGTCGCTTGAAGATGATTGAAGATCCTTTGCCAGGTGATGACCCCAATCCTTAAATATTCCTCAGAAAAGATGTTTCGGAACCGTCGCCAGCAACCGCCGTCAATCGTCCACAACGAAACGTTTTGAAACGTCGTCTGGTCGGTTACGGCAACCGTCTCGCCAACCGCATAATCCAACCGATCAATCCAGAGACTAACCGGTCGCTAGACCAAACGACTCCTTGGTCGCCCCATCAAGCGACCACCCTCTAGTCTTTTCCAGACGATTCAATAGTCGCCCCAACCAAGCGACTGATCTACTGTTCACTTAATTGGGCGACTAATTAACAGACCTTCCATTTGTCCAAACTCTGCTATTGGCCGACTCAACCGATGGCGGACCAACCGACTGCGAACCAACCGACTGCAAACCATCCGATCCGACTGCAGACCATCCGACCTGCCTATCCGACCACGGACTTTCGACCTGCCTGTCCGACCGCGGACCTTCCGACCTGCTTATCCGACTGCGGACAACCGACCTGATCAACTGACCGCGGACCAACCGACTTGAGTGCATATTTTTTTTTCATTTTCCGTCCGACTTCGTGTTCTAACTTCCTTTAAGATTCTGCTACCATTATTATTATTATTATTATTATTATTATTATTATTTGTACATAACAATACCTAATATTTACATTTTCTTATTTTCTTATTTTTAAAAGCATGACTTAAACAATTAAGTTTTGGTAAAAAAAACAAAAAAAACAAAAACAAAAAACACACAATATCGAATACTTCTTACCTAAAAATTCGAAGTATTTGGAAACGTATTATTAATGTATTTATTCGTCCCCCAACAATCTTCGTCAGTACAATTTTTTGAAAAAACACATTTAGTTCACTTTGCTGCATATCAATACATTTTCTTTCACTATTCTATTTTATCTCATTTCAATTTCAACAAATTTAATTTAATTTTAATTTTAATTTTTTAGATAATTTTTATGGTTGAAACAATATGTAAAATATATTAAATTTTTCTAAACTTCTATATTTATTTAAAGAGTAAATTATCATAGTCCCACATTGAAAATAAAAAATGGCGATAGTAAAAATAATTTGCACAATCTTTACACAAATTACTTTCATGTTTCTAATTTTTTTTTTCCACTTCTACAAATTTATTATTCTATTTTAATAAAAATTTATATAAAAAAATTTCAATATAACATATTGTTTATACATTATAATAATTTTCACACATTAATCATATATATTAAAAAATTTTATATAATAAAATATTTAAATGTAACTTTATCTTTTAAAATATTTTTTTGTCACTTTTCAATTTTGTCCGCTAAATTTATGACATTACTAATTTCGGCAAAGTCAACAAATTAACATTTAATTATTTCATTTCATTCAATACTTATTTAAAAAAAAAATACCATTGACTTTATTACATTCTCTTTATTTATTTATTTTTATTTCTAACTAAATTTTAAAAATACTCTCAACTATCTGCCACTTTTCAATAAAATACTTACTCCGTTCCTTAACAATTCATCTATTTTTTTATTTTGGTCCGTCTCATAACAAAGTATCAATTTATTTTTTTAGTAATTGTATTATCTATCTAACACTATAAATATCTTTCAAATTTACAATATACTACACAGATGTCATTAACTTTATATCATACAATACTAATAAGATTAGTTTAGTCTCTTTTTTTATCTTTATTTATACTATATCCCAATATAATACTATTTATATCCGGCTCTAAAGGTCTCATTTACTTTTTGTATTTTGACATTTGAATATTAATTACTATATCAAAACATAGCATAAATTAAAAAAAAAATGCAAAAATACTTTCATTAGTGTCTTGTAATATTAATTGTTGATGCAATTTTTCAACAATAAAAGTAAAATCCGGAAATAGAAAATTATCTTCGAATTTGATATAATTAGTGTCTGAGATTAGGAATTTCTAAACACAATACATAAATAAAATAAAAAATAAAGTGGTGATCCCCAAAGGCAATTCTTTTGAATTTGATGTCGATTGAAGATACTGTCAGTTGTTGACCCCAATCCTTAAATATTCCTCAGAAGAGATGTTTCGGAACCGTCACCAGCAACCGCCGTCAACCGCCCACAACGGAACGTTTTGAAACGTCGTCTAGTCGGTTACGGCAACCGTCTTGCCAACCGCATAACCCAACTAACCATTCCAGAGACTAACTGGTCGCTAGACCAAACGACTCCTTGGTCGCCCCATCAAGCAACCACCCTCTGGTCTTTCAAGACGATTCAATGGTCGCCCCAACCAAGCGACTGAACTATTGTTCACTTAATTGGGCGACTAATTAACAGACCTTCTTCGCTTGGTCCAAACTCCGTATTGGCCGACTCAACCGATGGCAGACCAACCGACTGGGAACCAACCGACTGCAAACCATCCTATCCGACTGCAGACCATCCGACCTGCCTATCCGACCACGGACTTTTCGACCTGCCTATCTGATCGCGAACCTTCCGACCTGTCTATCCGACTATGGATTTTCTGACCTGCCTATCCGACCGAGGACCAACCGACCCGCCTGTCCGACTGCAGACCTTTCGACCTGCCTATCCGACCGCGGACCTTCCGACCTGCTTATCCAACTGTGGACCAACAGACCTGAATACTCCTTTTCTGCCCATTTAAGATCCTGCTATTATTATTATTATTATTATTATTATTATTATTATTATTATTTGTACGTAACATTAATAAAAGGACATTTGTTCAAAAAATTAGTACAACGACACAAAAGGTAAATGTGACTTTTATAGGCGGACGGACAGAAAGAGTACTAATATTTCTAAAACTCCGTACAACAAACAAACAAATACATAAATATGAGATAGATGAATTATTCATTTTTTCTTAAATTCTATGCCCTACAAATGAACTTCTTCCTCCATCCTATATAATTTGTCTCTATTTTCTATTTTCGTCCGTCACACATAATTTGTCATTTTTATTTTTAAAATATAATTATGCACTTTAAAGGCATTTTAAATTTTAAATTTTTATAATTTTTTTAACTTTAATTAAACTATTTAGTTATCTTAATCTTAATCTATAATTATTTTTACTAAATAATAATTATTTTTACTAATATACCTTTTAATTATCTATTAATTATATTTTACCTAAATTATCTCGTATATATAGTAATAAACCCAAAATAGAGACGGAAGGAGTATTTTTTGTGGACGAACAAAAGAGAGAATAAATTAATTAAAATTACTATGGGTGAGGTTATCCTTAATTTTACTATTTCAATTTTTTTTAAAAATAAAATTAAATCAAACACTTAATTTTTATTTATTTTATTAAATTAAAATATAATTTTATATTTAACACATGTTTATATTTATATTGCATCAAATAAATATTTCAATCCAAAATTTTACTGATAAAAATCTAAAAACCTCGCAATTAAACACAGCCTATCCCAACATCTCCAACCTCAACAGTTGGAACTTAAAACGATTGAAATACGAGGATTGAGGTAAAAAGCTGAAGACGAAAGAGACAGAACAAAAGTATAGTATGGCGGGCAGAGATAACGACGGAGAGGCTCCACCGCCGTCTCGCAACATCTCCAACCTCAACTGCATCGATCTCTCCTCTCCAGATATTCAATCAACTGTCTCCCTCCTCAGGAAGGTAACTTTTCTGCTCCACATGTTGAATCCGCGCCGCCGCTCTGTTAATTTTCCGATGAGAATTTTATTGGAATAATTAGATTTTAGGTTTAGGCTTTTCTATCTCTGCCTGCAAACAAATTGGTCGATAGTGCTATATATATTAATTTTGATTTTGCTCATATTGGGAAAAAAGACACAAAGCCAAACCTAACCAGACAGGATTGATTAGGTTTCGTTTAATTAATTGCCTGACGATGTTGAGTGTTGGTTTACTTTCAGCTAAGCAAAAAGCAGAATCGTTTTAGAACTGTTGGGAAGTTAAATGTGATTGACTAACTGAGTAATTTATTTGCCCCATAAATAAGTAAATGGATGGATGAACTAAATAAGTTGGGATAGCTGAATTTAGTTTTGTTAGAAGGATTTGTACTATTCACACCAATATTTTTTCCGAAAATATCAAATCAAAACACCTATTTGTTTATTTTTAATATTATTCTAAAATCAACTTTATGTTGTAAACATCGCATCTATACTTATTTATATCATATCATTAAATTATTTAAATTCAATCTTTTTACTATTCAAATTCTAATCCAAAATCCAAACTCCCAAACAAACACACCCTTATAGGATATTTAGTAGATTAAAGTGAATGGTTAAGAATTTTTAAGATTGATGTGAGTATAACATGTAATTGAGATCGAACTATAAAATATTTCATTGGATTAAGTAGAAGTGACGAAACTAGCATCTAAATCCGAGAGACCAAATGTTATAATTTATTTAATATTTAATTAATAATTTTAAAAAATATATATAAAAATTAATATTTTTAATACTAAAATAATTATAAAAAATTGGGCTTGGGGGTTAATTACCCCCAAGCCCTAATGTAGTTCCACCCTTGGTTGTGCCATGTGTATTTGGTGGGCGGACCTAGAATCAACCCACACAAACTCTTATTATTTGTATCCTTTGATTTTTATAAAAGAATAGTGTATATATATTATTTATATTATGTGGCGTGTGTATATATTTTATTTTTTTATTAATGTTCATTGGGAATCTTGGCAAAAAATTGTTGGATGAACAAACCATCACCCTTTTAATTAATTTTGGTTCCTTAAATTTAATTTTATAGTTTTGATCCCTTGTTTATTATCTTAGTTCAGTTTTAATACTTAATACCTAATTCTGTTAAAATTTTGACCGACATAATAATTGTGAGTGTAATTTTAGTCCTTGGTCATTCCACTTAGTTTTAAGCTATTAGCAAATCTAACTGTTAAAATTTATCAATTAAAGGCTAAAATTATAACTTGCAAGGTTTAGCTTTTGTGAGGAAGGTGTTTTGAGAAATTAGATGCGATTAAGGACCTAGTGTTTCACATCGATTAAGTTAATAATTATGATCCAACTTAAGTAGTAGGATTTGAGTGTAAGTTTTTTTGACACACTATATGTAATTAGGTCTAATATTATCACAAATTTCTCCTTGTGAACTGTTTAATCTAAGTTATTCACACGACGCTTGGTGGTTTTATATGTTTGCTTGCCCGTGATTAACTAGAATTTCCTTATGAATAAACTAAATATAGAAGACTTTTAAAAACCAATAACCATCAAATTGTCGATGACTATTCATAGCTATTACCTTGACACCAAAGAAGAGTTCAACTATTTTGGGGGTAGCTTAATGTTAAAATTAGTAGCTCCTAGAAAAAGCAAAGTCCAACAGGAATTGATAGTAGCAGTTGATCTAATAAGTGATGTAAGGAAATCCTGTAAATTATTGCTTTGAGCTCATATTTCATCCATGGAAGTGAAATATAGTCTGGCAGGCTCATTTTGATTAGTGAGGAAGACACCCTTCTCTATTTACTTTCAATTAAATATGTGTTTTAGAAAATAGAACTTCTTGTTGATTTAAAACTTTTAACTGATGTTGAGAGTCTCAGCTTTACCTTTACCATAGGCTTGTTTGTCCTCGGGATTCTTCTATGTGATTAATCATGGAATCACTGAGGAATTCATGGGTGAGGTTTTCGCTCAAAGCAGAAGATTTTTCAACTTGCCTGCTGAAGAAAAGATCAAGCTTTTAAGGAACAAGAAAAATCGAGGGTATACCCCTGTTCTTGATGAGTATTTGGATCCTGTTAATCAGATAGATGGTAGGTGCTTCAGCTGTTATGTTTTTCAATTTTAAAAGGTAATTTCTCAATTTCTAAAGGTAGTTTTTCATCAATATACATATATATATATATATATACATATAACAGGAGATTATAAAGAGGGATATTACATTGGTGTCGAAGTACCTGAAGATGATCCCGATGCACAAAAGCCATTTTATGGAACGAACATTTGGCCTTCTGAAGGTTGTCCCTTTATTAAAGACGTAGCCCTTAGAACACTCTTTTATGCTTTCATACCATTGTGTTTTATATACATATATATATATATATATCTTCGATGATATTTATCGGTCTTTGTAGATTGGTGCAATTATTTCACTAATTTTGATATTAAAAGCATGTTTTGAATTTATCTTCTTCTTTTTTTTTTCTTTTTTTTTTTCTGTTGTTGTTTCCAAAAAGATAGTCTACCAGGATGGAGGGAAACAATGGAGAAATATCATCATGAAGCACTGTAAGTTTACCCGTGTCCCATGTAGGGCTGTAAATTAGCTGAATCAAGTCGAGTTTGTCATGTTTGAGTTTGGCTTGTTAAGGATTCAAACTCGGCTCGTGTTTGTTCATTAAGAGATATGAGTTGAAATTTTTGTTTGCACTCTGCTCGTTTAGCAATTTTTTGCTCGTATTCAGTTCGGCTCGTTAAGAGAATTTTTTTTTTAAAAAATAAATTAAATATATTATATTTATAAAAATAGATTTACTTATTAAATATTTATTAATTTTATTTATTATTGTCGAACGTTCGCGAACAAGTTCGAACTTGTTCGTAAACACAACGAACTAAAATTTATGTTTGTGCTCGACTCGTGTAGATTAAGGAACGAGCTATTAATGAGCTCAAACGAGCTAAACCGAACTAAGTTTGCGAACTGTTTGTTTTCCAGCTCTATTTCCAAGTCATTGTTTCCTAGATCAAAACTTACTCAGTGTGTCGATAAACAATATAAAAAACACAGGGAAGTCGGAAGAGCTATTTCGCGGTTGATTGCTCGGGCACTTGACCTAAACTATGATTTTTTTGATCAACCTGAAATGCTCATGAAACCTATTGCAACATTGCGGCTTTTACATTATGAAGGTAAGGATTATAAAGATTTTGATCCAAGTAACATTCACCATTGCTATAATTTATACTTAAAATTGCTCGACCGTTAGCTCGGATGTCTGAGTCCCATAAAGGAATATTTGGAGCTGGTGCACATTCCGATTTCGGCTTGATTACCCTTTTAGCTACAGATGATGTATTAGGTCTTCAGGTATGCTGTATTTATTATCTTGTATGTATTCAATTTTTGGTCGAGGTTGGCTGAACTGTTTCGATATTTTTGCAGATATGTGAAGATAGGGATGCTGACCCTCAGATCTGGAAATACGTACCACCCGTAAAAGGGTGTGTTTACTTGTCAAATTTGATTTTCTGTTTTACTATTCCAATTTATTTTTTTCCTTAGAAATATTAAATCAATCATTTATTTTTTTATTTATTATATTACACTAATATTAACTTTCACATCAAAACATCACATCAATACATAAAAGAAGTTGAATTTGAATACCTACCTACCCATGGTACATCAATACATAAGGGTGTCTCTATTTGTGAGTTTTAGTTTTTGGGTTTGAATTTTTGAATAGTAAAAAGTTGAATTTGAATAGTTGTTTGGTGTGATATAAATAGAGGTTGATGCGATGTTTTGAATGTAAAATAAATTTGTAGTATAATATAAAAAAAGAAAAGTAATTATTTGATGTGATATTTTTGGAGAAAAAAAAAAAGATCTGAATAGTAAAAACGTAAGTAAAATCCACAAAAGAACACAATCTAAATTTTGATGCATTTTGCCCGGGGCGGACACTGATTTTTTATTATTTTTTTGTTCGATGCTGAATACGCTTCAGGGCATTTATAGTTAATCTTGGCGATATGTTGGAGTGCTGGAGCAATGGCATATTCAGGTATCATGAATCTTTTAAATCCGTTTGTATAAATATTCGATCTTTGGTGCTTTAAATGTTATTCCTATTCTATACTAATTTTAGCCGCTTTGAAATTGTGGTAATAAGATTATGACTTTGTAATCTCTTGGCTCGAGAAATCAAGATAAGAGAGCCGAACCATTTATCATGTTACCACATTTGATGTGTACTTGTCGAACAATAAATGTAATCTTGCAAAGTATTTTCTTATTCGATGTATGATCTTTGGAAAGTTTGAAATGTCTTTTAAATATTTGAATGCAGGTCCACGCTCCACCGAGTATTGATTAATACCCAAGAACGATATTCTGTAAGCTGAACGGATTCCTCTACTCTTACAACTCTTTCCCTTCCATTGGAAGATGAAAGTAATTCTAACTTTGATTTTTTTAATTTTATTTACTTTTTTGCAATCGAGCAGATAGCATTCTTCATCGAACCAAGCCATGATTGCATCGTCGAATGCCTCCCGACATGTCAATCAGAGAAGAATCCTCCAAAGTGAGTAAATTGATTTCCATTTCCATTTCCATTTCTATCAATCTATACATTCTACCAAATTTCTACACTAGGCCCCTAACATATACTCCCCCAGTTCCTCATAAAATGTTCACTTTTTTTTTTTTTTAAATTTTCGATCTGTCTCATCTAATTTGTCCATTTTATTTTTAAGAAAATAATTATACATTTAAATCACATTTTAGATTTCATAATCTTTAATTTTAATTAAATTATTTAGTTATTTTAATCTATAATTATTTATAGTATAATATAATTATTATTGCTAATATATTTTTTAATTATTTACTAATTATATTTCTTTTAAATTTTAGTATCTACAATAAAGTAAACACTTTATTGGGAGAGAGGGAGTAGTAAAGTTCAGTTCTAAATCAAATACTTTAGTTGATTGCCACAAAGTTTTTAGAAAAGCTAGTGATCTAAGCTAAGCTACTTTAGATTAGCCGGCACAAAGCTGGTCGAGCTACGGATTCTTGTCATTCTTTCTCAGGTACCCTCCGATCAAATGCCAAGATTACATGCTTCAGAGGTATAAGGATACTCACGCTGATCTACACTCTTACAAGTAATCGAAGAGAACACTTTACATTGTTGCGCAAGATCCAGAGATCCCGGTGGCAGCTAAGACATAAATTTCAGTACAAGATTGGTGTATCATGGGTAGGTATTCGAATGCCGATGTTGGAGTAGAGACTAGGTATAGGCCTCGAATGAAACATATGTCTGCAAAATTGAGCTGAAATTTGGAGCTCTTGTTCTATGTAAGCTATAGCATAGAAATCTAGAGGGAGGTTGACGGAAGTAGTAGTGAGTGAATAAAATATATATATTGCTTTAAAATATATTACACATTTTTAATATTTATGAGAAATTGTGCCAAAAAAGTAAATTGCATGAACAAACTCTTTGTTCTTTTATGTTTCTAAATTTGTTTTAGTATTTGTTATCAAAAAATTTATTTAAAATCATATTCAAAATACTTTCAAATCATCACTAATAAATTATTGAGCATGTCACGGAAATTTGGGCTGGTTCTCTTCTTTTTCCTTCTTTTAGTAAATATTCAATTTCCCTATCAAATAAACACATGCAAATATGTTCAATCACCCTAGCTCGCAGGATATTAGGTTCTCTATAGGGATTATCTAGTGCGCATTTTCGAGTATCGACTACAGGTCCAAAGTTATATACTACCTCTGTCTGGCTCTAAGGATCCCATTTATTTTTTACGTGTTGATATTTGAATATTAATTATAATATGAAAATATAGTACAAATCAAGAAAAAATGATAAAAATACTTCTATTAGTGTCTTATAATACTATTATAATGACATTTGTGCAAAAAATAATACAAATACAAAAATACTTTTAATGATAAATACAATGACGCAAAAGGTAAATAAGATACTTAGAGCCGGACGGAAGGAGCATAAAAAATATATATATGCTCAACAACATAAAGAAAATCCCAATCAAAATATCACAACATCGAACAATTTCTAAATCTCCACATAATGTTCGACATTTCTAGATTTTTATTACCAGAAACACTAACATAACACAACAGGGCGCAGGGCTCAGGAGACCTAAGCATCATATCTTCACAGGACATATTCTACAACTAAGCTTAACAACACACAGATTAAACAGCAAAAAGCATGAACACAAACACGAACAGTTATTGTTACCTGCATTGCATATGTCATCGTTTGCCCAAGCCATTATTGGCGCACCAATTCTCGAAGAACCGATGGTAGAATTGCAATCGGCGTTTCCTTTTGTCCAAACATATCGCAAGCAAACATTTGACAGAGCGTAGAACCAGCTACATTCCAAGCAAAACTACATTTTGCAACACCGTTCTTCATTGCATAGTCGTACGCCACATTGTATATAGCAACTGCTTCGACGGCGATCTTTTCAGAGTCCTTTGGACTTTCTTCCCATTCAGGAGCTTCGTACAACAGCTGCATTCATTTATGATTTGTTAAGAGCACAGCACAGCTCTTTTTTTTTCGAGACTTAGATCAACTCCAACCGTCTCTAATTATGGAAGATTTATCATAATTGGAGCAAAATCGCTCCAAACAAAGCCATTCTTTCCTCTATTTATTTATGATTTTTTTCCTTTTGGTCCTTTAAATTTTTTATTTTTAATATTTAGTATTTCTAATTTAATTTCTTTTTATATTTTGTATTATTTTATAAATTATAAATTAGATATAATTATTCATATTGCAATAAATATGTCATTATTAATATATTACATAATATAAAGTAAATTAACATTATATTACACAAAAGTATTTTTGAGTTTAATATGTAAATAAATAAAAGTTGAATAAAGGTTATGTAATTGTTTTAAAATAAAATTTATATGTTGAATATTCTTTTTAGAAGAAAATTAGTGTGGGTTAGTGTGGAGTTAAAATTTAGAGAAAAATTTGGAGGAAATTTTGGAGAAAATAGAAGAATTTTACACTCTTATTTCATTAACTTTATTGCAATATAACAAAATAGATACCTGCTTGTACTTTTGGATCACATGATTTGGAGAATCATTTGAAGTATCTTTCTTTGATTTGTTGTTGAGGGCTTGACTCATTTCCCTGCAGTAGTTGGCATGGTGTTTGCTCCAGATTTTGTATGAATCCGGATCCGGATCTGCAAAACACGGCAATTTCCATATTTCTGCACAAAGATGAAGTGTCACTCAAGTCAAATTTATCTATGTAAATCTAATTGGAAAAAGAATAAAGGTGTGTTCTTTAACAAAAAATACACACGTTTTCCAAAAAATATTAATATACCTCACACATTCATTATTTTATATTTCCTATACAATTTCTCGTACCTCACATAAAAAAATACCCATTCAAATTATCTCACAAAACAAACGCATTCTAAGCCAATCCCGAAACCAAATAGTCCATAGTCATATCCAAAAATCAGGAATAAAGATAATCATGAAGCAGAATTCACCTTTCTTCGCCAAAGGCTCGTTCTTGAAGGCTACCACTTTGTCATATATTATTCCAAGTATGGAAGAGGATGAGTAGCTGTTTTCTGGTCCTCTTTCCATGTGATGGGGATACAATTCTGCTGTCAACCAGTTGGGAACTGTTACCTGGTTTGGGAGATCAATATAGCATTTAAAGAACACATCCAGATCACGAAAAGGTTATGGAAACTTTGATTTATGTTTCCAAGTCAAACCATATAAACTGATTATTGCACTCAACAATGTTACAGGGTCATGAAAAATTATCTATTAAATGGTGCAAGAAAACATGAATTTTACAGAATGGTAGAAGACTGCTATGAAATCGCCAGCGTAAAATAACGAGATGCATTTAGACATGTTTTGGAAGGGTTCTTTATTATATATACATGATGTATGTATACTCTGCAATATCTTATTTTCTCTAAAAAGACATCACATCTAATACCCATTTTCTATATTAAACATTACCCAACGACTATTTTATCTAAAAAAGCATTAAAACCCAATACCTAAAAATCAAAAAAACACAAAAGTGTTTAATGTTTTGGATTATTTTGGACATAGAAAAAATTTGGATGGAAAGTAAGTGTTGAATGTGATATTTTGAATATAAAATATATTTGTTTATGTAATAAGAAATAAAAAAAGGTGTTGAATGAGTTGTTTTTAAGGAGGAAAAATTTTGATAAATAGTGTGAAAATAAATGTAAGTAAACAGAGCCAAAAGATGCTGACAAAAACTAACCTCTTTCCCGCTTTTAGGTGCATCAAGTGCGTCATAGTAGATGTCAATCAGTTGCTTCATTTTTTTCTTCAAAGATTCTTTTTCAGAGCTACAATCTTGGCGTAACGACAACAGCCGATCCATAAAAGAGAGCCAGCTGGATGACGCTGCTGCCATGCTGAAGCTGGCAGAGTAGACAGTATCAGAAAAGATTAAATTCTATTATATCAAGTTTGAAGAGAAAAAAAAAAAAAGGGGCCAGAATAAGGTTATATTGTTAGCACTACTGAACTAGGAACTGAAACAACTGCCTCATAGAGACGACGAAACACTTGATACATTTTTCTATTTAGTTAGATATTGTACGGGTAATGTAATTTTGAAGACTTCAAACAGAAATTGCCACCATTGCAGAGAATGCTATAAACCAATTCCTCGCATCTATGTGACCATACATGTGTATTCCCTATGTATAGTTATAGAAACCAAAATCCAGGAAACTTTCACAGCCTTTGTAAGTGTCATTAGAGAGATATGACAAGCTATCACAAAATTATGCAACAAGTAATTTTACAATGGAAATCATAAACCAACATAAATTACAAAATGTTCTATATTACGACAAGGACTGATTACCTTGGTTTCATTGAATTCAGAAAATGTTGAATAAGTTGAGTTTCTAACTCCAGATCTGAAAACTCTTGAGGATTTTTCCCTGTAGAACCTTTTGTCTTATATGTGCGGGTCCATGGTTCACTTGCTTCATAATATTTCAGTAGCTGAGAAGGACGGAAAGAAATGTTTAATTCCTATATAAAATAAATAGAAGTTGAATGAATGAAGTTTTAGAACGAATTTCTATTATATTTGATGTTCAATTTGTTGAATTCACATTGAACTAACAAATTATTTGATTGATGATAAGTTCTGAAATGATCGCCCATATATATTAATGACTTGTCAAATGGTAAAATAACTATAAATGAATTAATCACTGTTAGGTGTAGGAAAATAGGAATGAAAATGATACATTAGTTTCCTTTTATGCATTAGGAACGATCAATTTTTATAATTTCCCAGTTAACTTATTTCATTGCACAAATATGTGTTCTTCTAAACAAAAACTACAAAAGATTTCTTATGATATACATACATTAAAGGATTAGATATAATTTATTCTCATGTTTATGTCTGCAAGTTAGCAGACCATACACGTGTTTAACAATAGAATTGTTTTTCATTTCCAATTGTTTTTCTGAGATGATTTGGGTCCTTTCCCAAATGTGCCATGGCTGAATAGATATGCTTCACTAATTGAGTCCACAAGATTGATTTTGGATTCTTACCAAGAACATCTGATGCTAGTACTGAAAAGTTATCCCTAGTTTTCAATTCATGACTCGAAGCCATTTGGTGCGGCAATAAAAATATTTACATATATGATAAAACAGATCATTTCAATAGACTTTACTCACCCTACTTCCAAAAGGCTCACACTTTTCCGACATAATGCAATATATTAGAAACAAATGGTAGATTGTTAAATACTACAAAACCATCATAATCACAATAAAAATATTTTGTTCGGGAAATGTAGAGTAAAAAATAGTAAAGGAAAAAAAGAAACCAAAGAAACATACCCTAAGTGTTTGGTTTGATGGTTGGATTTGTGGTTGGAAGTTTGGTTCGACTGAATTTATTTAATTAATATCTATTTATGATGTAATATATATGATTCAAATAAATTTAAAATATGTATTTAAATGTTTTGAAAATATATCTCAATAAAAAATATATTCAATATGGATATTATTTTATAAATAATATAATTTTATATAATAAAAATAAATTAAAATATATATAGTTATATATGGTTAATATAAATTATCAAACATGTGGAATTTCAAATGACTATATATTTACTTATTTATTAAAGAGAGAAAAATAAAATATTGTAAGTGGGTCCTTAACTTATGTAATATTTGGGAAAAACGTTGGATGCATAGTAGGGCAAGTGTTTGGGAGTTAAACCAAACTAACGTGTTTTAACTTTTGCACAATAGAACTCATAGCCTCATAGCCACCTACTAATACGATTTATTGTTTCCTATATATAGTATTTGCAATATATTTCAATGTCTAGAATCTTCTTTCTGTCCAATAGAACTCATAGGCACAATATATTGATATCATAAAACATGAATAGCATATTCTCTGTCCAAAAGACAATGACTAAGAATTGTGCCCCTAATATGCAGATAGACATCGAAGATAAATCTATGCCTCAATTTATTAGACAAGATTGGGATAAGAAGCTGTATTATCTATTTTATTTCTTTTAATACATAGTTATATTAGAAATTTCACGGTGTTTATTTCTATTAAACACAAGATCATCCGCAAGTGGACGTGTGATTTTTAATCATCATTATTTTTGGATGAAAAAAAGAACCATTTTATACAGATTTTATGCTAACACAACGAGAATTTATGCAATAAATAACAGATAGGGTGTTTTGTTCATTTTTAATAAAACATGAAGATGTATTTTGCAGACACTTACTTCAGGAGCATGCAGAAAAATGACCGAATTTCAAACTGATCTGCAAAGTTGTCAATTAAAACATGAACTTTGCCTAACCTCAGGGTGTCTTGAAACCCAATACAAATCTCCATCAAAATCGCCAGTTGCAATTTCATAAGCTGCAGAGCGGCAGCCTTTGGTTGAAAAAAAAATTCCATATTTTGCATTGCCAACATACTCTTCCAATTCCTTTACAAACACAGCCTCCATGACATGAACATCTCCGAAATGCAATCCAGGATTTCGGTAAACTAATACCTTCCCGGAAATTTGGCCATGATCACTGCAAATTCAACAGAAGTTGTCACCAAGAAAAATTTATGGGAGGATTGTAAATTACAGAACATAAAAGAAGACATGGGAACTTATACACAAGTTCCTAAATGATATACAAGAATGAATGTTGAGAATTTGATGCACAGGAGTACATCCAATTTTATTTTCTAGACAATTTTCTTTCTTCAAGATAAATTCCAAATCAGGTGTGATTGACAAGCCATGGTTATTACTGAGCTGTACTATTTTTATTCATCGCAGAAACAAACGAGGTAAACCTTGCCATAATCAAATCTAGAAAAAGAGCTTGCATAAACAAACTTAACATGTAATGCAGAATTTCAGCATCCTTAGATCAATGGAGAAGCAAGTATATGCAAGGAAGGAATCATTTTTCACATACAGGATAACACAGACTTGATCATTTTCTAATACACCAGTAGGATCGGCTGTCCCCATCACGTAAAAGCTTTCACTGATTGGAATCTTCCCTTCTTTGAGTTTGGTTTTCTCTATACCTTTAATTATTGACAAACAGTGTTGAAGATAGGGTTCGTCAAGAGGTATACCACAAGAAATCAATCGCAGTGGCACAAAACCTATTGAGTCGCTGTTGGAGGCAGCTGCAAAACAAAGAAAAAAAAAGAACAAAGGAAAGGGAACAAATTAGATTAAGAGGCTTCCACTGAAACAAGAAAGTGACAATTAGATGACTTTTGACACATTAATTTAGATTAAGGAAGCATTGGACTGCTTTTATTTCCCTTGTTGAGCACTGTGGTTGAGGGTAAGTTAGTGTGTGGAAATTGACCATTTATAGACAATAAGAAGAATTACACTGACGCATACCTCTCAGAGCTGCTTTCCTATCAGTGTATACATTTTGAGTCTCTTCCAATACTTCCGTCAGCAAATTCAGGAAGACCTCTTGAGGAACTCCTCCATAACTTAAAAGAGCAATCAAATTCTTTGATAGAAAACTTTTTCCAGGTCTAGAGCTGTAAAACAAAGTCAATAGTTGGAAACAAAGCAAGGGAACTCCAACATGAACTAAATAAACAGGGGATACACTAGATAATATCATTATTCTTGCTATATGTATGCATGGAGGTATCTGATAAGTCCAAGCCTACTTTAAGAACATAGATAAATGAAGGAGTGTTAAACTTATTCTGGCAAATATCAAGTTTATGATTGTCTGACAACATAACAATTGTGCCAACACAAACCTTTACAGGGTAAAGTGCGATGAGAGTGACATTATATATCAATTAAACTAAGAGTCATTTAAGACACATTTCGCATGAATTCAATTAAAAGGTCACAAAATGACAACATGATTCTTAAGAGAACAGTTACACACTAGCATATGCAATGCTGTATGAATGCTTGTAAAATAGAATACTGCTAATATTATGTTGCATCAATGTAACATAAACTATAATTGAGCTTGAAGATACCTACATTTTGTAGCAGCTATGATTATCTTGCAAAAAGTTGATATAATTCATATGAAATGGCGAAAACTTAAATTTTTTATAGACATACCTTATGTTGACAATCTCCAGTGCAGAAAATTGTTTTCCCATTGGCAATAAACGGTCCTGTTCAACCTTTATCATGGATGGACGAATCTGAATTGTTCCTGGTTTAAGCTATACCAATCAAGTATTAAGTATGTAACCAATCAACAAGATATGTAAAAACCGAAGCTCTTGCCCACAACTCAGGCTGTGGGATTGAGAGTTGGGTTTGCAGTTGGAAATAGTAAAAATTTGAATGGGATATGTGTTTAAAGCAGCCCTTTTCAACTGGTTTGTGGGTGAGGGTGGGATTCAACATTGCGGTGACTCCATCATTTTGAAATATTACAGCAATTTCATAGATGCTAAATCCATAAACATAAGCACAAACAAAATTGTGACAACATGTGACTATACCTTCCTGTTGAGCAGAAGGGTTCCTTTGACAGCACAACCATCATGGAACAAACGCATCTGCATAAGTAAAGGCTAGAGAATGCAAAAAGAATACCTTAGATAAGAATTCATGGAGAAAGATTCAATATTTTAACAAGTGGCCAAATAAACATACCGGATACTTATCCCTGGTCTCCTCTCCTCTTCTACTGTTTATGTTTTCAAGCTCAACAGAGAATTTCTTTTTGACAAAAAAGAAAAAGAAAGAAAAAAATGATAAATAAATCTTCAAACAAATCAAAGTTACAATTTAATTATAATTTAGAAAACTCATTCAATAGGAGTTGAGCTCACATTATAGAAAAAAAGCTAACATAAGCACATACTTCAATGAAAGGGTTACCATATAGAAAAAAATGTATTCATGGGATGTTAGTTCCCGGCGCAAAGTTAAGACACATAAGACATGTATGAAATTCTCAATTATCTATGTACTGCATCCTAATACAACATAACAAACCCAGAGCGAAAGGACTATTAGTACATTCGTCCAAGATTTTAAAAGAAAAAAAAAAAATACTGATACGATGTTTTGAATGTAAAATTGATTTTTAGTATTATATAAAAAGATGAAAACTAAGGGTGTGTTTGTTTGTGGGTTTTAGTTTTGGGGTTTGGATTTTTGAATAGTAAATAGTTGTTTGATGTGATATAAATAGAGGTTGATGTGATGTTTTGAATGTAAAATAAATTTGTAGTATAATATAAAAAAATAATAATAATTGTTTGATGTGATATTTTTTTAGGAAAAAAAGAATCCGAATAGTAAAAACCTGGGTAAAACCCACAAAAGAACACAATATAAGTGTTTAATTTGATGTTTTAGGAAAAAAAATTTTGTAGGAATAGTAGAAATCCCACAAAATTCTTCAAACAAAAACACTGTATCATGGGCTTAGCCTGTGAGCTGTTCCTTAGTTTACATTTTATTGTTCTTTAGGCAAACGGTTCGATTATTCTTATCTTATTCATCTTGTTTTTATTAATTGGAGCACGTCCCCGTCGTCAATATACAACTAACGGGCAAGACTCTCTTCATCTTAACCTCCTACTTTCCCTGCTCTTGCTCTGTATCATTGCCAGAGTATGCCCGTTCGGAATATATGATCAACTTTTGGATTTAGACGGTAGGGAAATATTTATTGAAAATTGAAGAAAGCGTCTGAACACAGGTTGAAGCAAAGTCTTCTACTTTGATACAATTGTTAAAATTGGAAGAATGGCATAGATGAATTTTTATTGGATTATCCTTCATATAGACTAAACACATAAATCCAAGACACTAATCTTGCTAATTAAAACTAATAACATCAAATACGTTCAACAGATCAATTTGTCGTCAACATATAATCTTTAAACACTTTCAGTTTAACATATTTACTCATGGTTTAACAATTTTTCCTCATTCAATATACACGTGTTCAATATATGTACATGTTCCAACAAATTTACACTATGATACTACAGTTCAATACGGTGCTGAGACTTTATATCTTTCAACATATTTTTTTGTGCAGTTCAACGGATTTCTCATGTGATTCAACATATTTTTATATTGTTCAACAGCATATTTCTAAAACAAGTTTCGCACATGATCAACTCCCATTTAGAATGTTTTTTCCCATGAGCATCATGCTTTTCTATCAATGATTTTCAAGTTCGACCCATCAAACTTAAATGATAATAAAACTGTGAAATGGCTACACTCAAGTACTCCATTTTCCATTATTTAAATAAACTGAGGATTTATTACAAGGCTGTCATATTAAAGCAAAATTCAAATTTCTTACCTCAAAATGATTATCAGAGACATTCTTTGCCCTGGTAAAATATTTTGGGCACTTCATTGCCAAGTCTTCAGATATATATCCCGTACCATCTGTGTGCAAAATTGGACTCCCATCATCATCGGGAATAGGAGTTCCATTTTTGTCCTACAGGATTGGAACAAGAATCATAAAGTATAAAATCGACAATCGCAACATAAAATTAAATGAAATAAGTCAGTTGAAGTAAGAATTTAAATCATACCTTGAAAGGAATATCCTCTATTCTTTCAATCAAAACAGCAGCAAAATCCACATCAACCGTTATTGTCTTTGAAAGGATAAGTGAGAATCTGATAACATGGAATATTCAAATTCAGTTTTTCAAAAAATCAATCCAAACAAGCCAATAACATTTATGATGACAATCTGTCATGATATCAACCTGGCCATGTATTTTGCTAAACTGGGGAGAGTGTGAACGTGCATGAACATGCGCCTTGCTTCACTAATTGATTTCTCAGAGTTGAGATGAATAAAGTAGCACCCAGAAGAGTAAGGAGCTTTTTTATCCTCCGTCTGGTTCTTCTTTGCCTTCTTGTGCCCTTCTTTGAACACTGGATAACAGTCAAAAGGGAGAACATCATTATACCATATTTGCTAAATAAATTAGAATCATCTATTCATCTCACTATTTATCACGCACATTCTGATCAAGGAAAACTTCCAAAAGAAATCAAAGATCAAAGCTTTCTCAGCCACGATTTTTATTAAATTAGAATGAAAGCGAAAACTATTTTTAGTTATATGTAAAATATGTTGAAAGCATATATTCTTTCATTGTGTCCAATTGCTATAATGAGAGGAAGCACACTTGAGTACAAAAAAGGCATTCTACATTCTTCCAATTATTTTAATAGAACAAGAAAACAAACCTCCAATGGTAGAGAAAGATCTTATAATAAAAAGTCAACATTTCCTTTAGATGTAGAAAGAAGACACTAGAATTAGTATGCATGAACATATTGAAGCATTGTATACTTTAGCCATCTTTAATTTTGTTGGAAATTAGAAATTTAAAAGGTGACAAACCTTTATGTGCTAGTGAGAATTACATAATTGATCAGTATATTTGTAATTATAGTAGACCACCTTTTCATGCACATGTTTGACACATTGGGCAAAAGAAGTATTGGGGTATGAGAGCATTAGCGAGATTAGATGTTTAAGATAACAAAATTATTTATTCACAAATTATCAAACCAAGAGTACAAAAAATAAATAAATAAATTAGTTAGTTGAAACTTGTGCTTAGTGTGAAGTTGTAAAGATAGTCTACATCTTACAAAATTAAATAGCTTTTTATGAGAACCTCTGATTAAAATTTTTGTCACACATACTGTTCACAATCAGTATAGCCTGCAGTACCAGTAAGAAAACAAAGTGAAAGGCAGAGTCAGACTGACATGCTAGTGCAAAGATTATGCTTCTAGAATGCATACCTTATCATTTAAGTATTCAAAGTGTAAGTTTGTGGTGCCTGTAAAATTAGCTAAAAAGCATGAAATGAAAACGGGAGCTGGGATGCTCATTTTATGAAGGAACCAAAATGCCTTGGAACAAGAAATCATGGCAAATAAAAAGAAGCTACTTTTTGTCTCGTTAGAAAGTTATGGAAGTATACCCATAGTCAAGGAAAATAATTAAAGTTTTACCAAAAAATCGATATTGCCTCAGACCAACAAAAATGCCTTCTTCAACAATGTTGTTAGTGTCATATGCACCACCCTCTGTAAACTTCACCATTAATACATTATCGTCACCTAATGATTTCTGTAAGTGAGTTCTTGAACTATTTAGATAAGGACCCTGGTTCATCCAAAAAATAAGCATTAGTTACGATCAAGGCCAACGAAGAAAATAATACGATTGAATCAGAATAATAATTTTTAAAAAGGGAGAAAATTTTTGAAATGCTGGAGAGGTCACATTGTGTGAGAAAAATTAAGATGTTTTTCAATTCTATACAAAGGTACCAAATGTGAGATGCTAATATGCTACCACCATTAAAAATGATGGAAATTCCACAACTTGGTCTATTAAAAAAGGGAGTGGCATAATATTGGCTATGATTTTTTACTTAGCAAAGCTTTGAAAAGGAAAAGATAAAATCCGATAAATCAAGTAAAGGCCGGAGCTTGGGACTGACCCTGAGGTAGTAACTTCTATCAGGGAAGAAATGGCAGTAGTAGAGATGGGTCTTCCTTGAATCCCAATCAAGAAACTGCAAGAAAGAAAAAAGACATAGTTTGAAGAAAAGCTCAATCAATGTAAGTTACTTGACAACGCAAATTCATTATACAATGATCCCCTAGTTTAGAAATAAACTAATTAGAAGAAAAAAACAAAACGAAAAAAGGAAGAAAAGAAAAGAAAAAGGACAATTGATTGTTAAAAGTTCCTAGATTTGGAAGACAGATACATGATTACAAGTCTATTAAATATAAATGTATAATAACTAAATCCAATAAAACTACTCTTTTGAGATATTGACATACAATAGATCATTTCTCCGACTAGAATTCTACCCCGTAGTGACCTTATTATATTATAAAGATCTAACAAACAGACGAGGTTAACATATTTCTGATCTCGAAAAAGCACATGTCAAATCATTAAAACATTCAAACAAGAACAAAAGCATTTATGTTTAGAGGTCAACAAAACCACATGCTTGCAACATACTACCGATCATTGTATAAATTACAAGCTTTATCGAAATAGACCTGGCAACGATCTTCCTTCTGACAGAACTTCTGACCATATTTATCCCAAATTATGGACTCAAAATTTCTCATTGGGAGATCTTTCATTTTAAATATTTCTTCAGCTTCATCTACGGAAACCACATCTTCCAAACTTTTCCTACAAAGTGATTAGCTCACAATTAATTAATAAAATTCACTAAGGGTGTGTTGTTTGGGAGATTTTCCCCCAAATACACTATTCATCCCATTTTTTATATTATACTAAAAATCAATTTTACTTTCAAAATATCACATCAACACTTATTTATATCACATCATACAACTATTCAAATTTAAAACTTTTACTATTCAAATCCCAACTCAAAATCCAAACCCCCGAACAAACACACCCTTAACACAAAATAACTAAGCCAGAAGAGGCAATTACCTCCCAATGTAGCTTAGAACCATAAATAATTTTCTAAATTCGAGTTCGCTCAAAACCATCAGCTGCCTACTGTTCTTCATTGGCTCAGTCGTGCTTCTAACTTTGCCGTTTTGTGATGATTGACTGCTAACATCAGCCCTTCTTTTCTCTTGAGATTCATCACCATAAGATAGCTGACGACTGACACTTTGAGGAATTTGCCCATCCAAGCCGGACAACCGTGAGGGCGCCGAACCACCTGACTTGGGAGACCGCAGACTTTCACCATCTGACAATAATCCAAAATTCCATATAACAATTCCATCAGTAACTGCTCCAAAAAATAAATATATACATAATCATGCAGCTGTAGAGGTGGTACAGTATGGTATATCAAAAATTTTACGGCATATCGTATACCATACCGACATGAGAAAATATCATATTGATACCATACCAAACTATTCCTTATAAATATTTTCATACCAATACTCGATTTCTTGGCATACCGGTACTGTAAATTAACATATCTAAATGAACTGTAGATTGCAAAATTAATGGTAACAAAATATAACTAAAAATTGAAAATTATCATAGTTAAAAATAGCAGTATAAATATATTACTAAAACTTTTTTTATCTACTTTTATCTAATTATTATATTTTATTTGATATTCTAGTATACTATACATTGTAAAACCTATATATTCTGAACTTATGATATATATTGAACTTCAGTAAAGTAAGGGTATACCAAAATTTCATAAGTACCCAAAAATTACTGTAATTTTTATATTTTTTAATATTTGTTCGATGAGCTATGAACAGTATACAGCATTTTCCACAGTTTTTTCTTCTGTGATTGTGATCGAACGAAGCTAAAGTGCTCCACCAAAAACACAACAACGAAGCAGAACAACACTGAAGCGCAGCCAAGCAGCACAATACAACAAAGGAAGGTTAAAACTACAAAAGCAAAAGGGACTTTACTTACTAAGATTCTGCGGAGAACAAGGAGAAGACGATTGCATATTCTGCCTCCAAGGAGAATCGTAACCGAACTCGTCGAACACAGCTTCAGCTATGGCCGGGTACTCTGTTATCGTCAACTGCCTGACGAAGCCGCTGAAGCTCCGAAGCCTGGGGCTTAACATTATCTTCTGTAGCATATTAAGAGCATTCTGCTCCCCCATTTCCGCAAGCATCACTCTCGTGTACGCCCTGAGAGGATCCACATCCTTTTCCCTGCAGATTCTTTGAATCTCCGTCTCCACTGATTGCGGGAGAAGAACCTCCCGGCGAGGAGTTGCCATTCCCATGTTTTTCCGTCGATTTTGAAATTGAAATTGAAATTTTGGGTTCAGGTTGTGACTACTGACTATGAGTGTGATCAGAAGAGAGAGAGGGAGAAAAGAAGAGGGAAGAGTGGGAATCTATCGATCAATCAAATCAAATCAAATCACTAATTGGTAGAAATGAATGCTTTAAATTGGTGAGTGAGTGGAGTGTGAGTGTGTATTTTGGCTTGCCGCGGAATCCAGCGGTGGGATGTCAGACATGACCTCATTATTTATTTATTTTTTTACTTAATTTGTTTTTTATTTATATTTTTTTCCTTTTAATATTCTCTTCGTCCCATAAAATAATATATTTTCGTCCCAAAAAAGATGTTTTATTGGGTGTTGACACAAAATTAAGGAATAATACTCCTATGTGTGTCAGTGCAATAATCTTATTTACTATTTTTTGTTGGTCCAAAAATAATAGTCTTATTTTCATAAATAACCGTATCACTGTAAAATTACCCCTACTTTTTCATTTTTATTACACAACTATCACTACTTTTTACACTAATACAATCACAAGGTAAAAAAATATTTTATCCATACTTTCTACTCACTACCAATATAATATCAATATTGAATCTCGTATCCAACCCAATTAAGATTATATTTATGGGAGAGGGGGAGTAGTATTTAATTGAAAGTAGGTATAAAGTATAATAAATAAAAAAAAAAAGACTAAAATGCCTTTACTTTTGAAGGATTTTAAAAAGTAGATTAGACTAATAACTATGAGTAGTTTGAAAAAAATAAGAATAATTTTATTATAAAGTGGGACCACACTTACTAAATAAGGAAACAAGACAATTGTTTTAGGACGAACAAAAATAGAAAAACAAGACAACTATTTTGGGACGGAGGGAGTATTTATTTGTGTTAACATTGAAAATATCTTTATATTTGTATAATATTTTGTACAAATGTCATTATATTAATATTATTAGACACTAATATAAATATTTTTGTAATTTTCTCTTGACTTGTATTACGATTTGATATAATAATTAATACTCCCTCCGTCCCAGAATATTGATATTATATTGGTAGTTGGTAAAAAGTAAGAATAAATGACTTCTTTGCCCTTGTGAGTATATTAGTGTAAAAAGTAGTGACAATTGTGTAATAATAATGAAAAAGTATAGATAGTTTTACGGTGATATGATTATTTATAGAAATGAAACTATTATTTTGGAACGGACATAAATAATAAACAAAACTATTGCATTAGAACGGAGGAGTATTTAAAAATCAATACACCCAAAAAGTAAATGGAGATCTTGTTATGTGATAGTATTTATATATATATATATATTTTTTAAAAATCCTTATACATTTTAATTAAATTTTAAAATTTATAATTTAGAATTTTTTTATTTTAATTAAATTACTTAGTCATTTTAATTTGAATATGTAATTATATTTATTAAATCATAATTATTTTAAAATATATACTTCTTAATTATTTGCTAAATACAGGTACCTACAAATAGGACAATTTAGCACGAAGTATTATTTTTTTATGTACTTAATTTTAGCATGGAGTTTAATGTGGGTATTTACTTTTTTTTTTTTCAAAAATTATAAAATTAATATTCTCTCCACGTTTCCCTTAAATTCTTTTTACTTTAGTTTAATTAAATAATTTTAAATATTATATAATTAGTAAGTAATTAAAATTTATATTAATAAAAATAATTATAATTTAATAAAAATAGTTTTATATTAAGATTTAAATGTCTAAATAATTTAATTAAAATAACAAAATATTATAAATTATGAATTTTAAAATATGATTAAAGTATATAATTATATTTTTTTTAAAAAAAAATAGTAAATTATATGGGACAATACGCATAAAAAATAATAAATTTAACAAATTAAATGGGACTAATTGAGTAAATAAAATTATTGCATCTTTCTCACTGCTATGGTAAAATATTTTGTTTTAAATACTGTAATTTAAATTGTAAAATAAAATAAAAAGGAAGTAATGCAATTATAAAAGAGAAATATATATTTATTTTTTAATTTATATAATGTGATAAAAAAAAAACAACATTTTAAAGAATAGTATTTTTTACAAAATAAAATATTCTTAGATTAGGATAAAGAAAAAGTTAATATAAATTTAAGTAAAAGATAATGTAATTATTTTTTCTCGTTAGTTAAATTTATATATATTGTGTATTTACAATAAATAATTTTATTTATCCATATATGTATTTATTTTATTTTAACAAATATGTTTCATTATATTTGTTTTGTTTAAATTTTCAGTTTTTTATATATTATTTTAAAAAAATATATTTTGACTTTATAATAGTTTATACAGTTAAAAATGGAATATAAAAAATTTGAATAATCGAATATGTTATTTTGAAAAATTTTGCGTAATATTTTATTATTTACCAAAAATTTTCTCTCACAAATATTCAATTAAACACATTTTTTTATATTATATTAAAAATTTATTTTACATTCAAAACATTGTAACGGGGTTGATAGGGTAGCCGACTTGGAAACAACACAATCGTGTACAATTATACACGTCCATGCTGAAATTGTTAAAAATTGTATTGGAATGTAAAATTAATTATTAATATATAAAATTTTAGGTAAAATTTTTCAAAATAACATACCCAATTGGTTTTTTTTTTATATTAAAATAAAAATTGATATATTTTAATTATATTTGGATTACTATTTATTTTTCAGTTTTTACTATATCAACTATTATAAATTCAAATTTACTTTTTTTTCTGAAAATATATATATAACAAAAAAATAAAATTTTAAACCAAAACATAAACATACACGGCCGTGTACAATTGAACATAAGCGTGAATAATTGTACACGACCGTATTGTTCTTAGTTCAGTTGCCAAGTCAATCTCGTTACATCCACATCAGCATTTCTCGTTAGTTTTTTAACGATGATATCAAAATTGATTCAAATTGTTTATAACTAGACTAAAATTGATGAATTTTTTTTATTAATACCAAAATTGATACATTTTAATTATATTATAATCAAACTTGCTTTTTTTCCCCCAAAATATAATTATTAAAAAAACATATTTTTTAGACTTAATGACAAAATTATTACACTGGTAGCAGACAGAAATAATGGCTCTGGTAAACCAATATTTTTTGATGAATTGATTTTTAGTTTATGATATGAATAATTGTATAAAACATAAAAATATATTATCTTAAATTAAATATTATTACTTTATTCATCCTATTTTTTTTTAATTATTTTTATTTACTGTCCACCCTACTTAATTTGTCATCTTCTTCTATTTGGGTTCGGAGTTTTTGTTTTTCTCTAGTTTGAAAATTGAACTCACCACAACCTCATATCTACACTTAAAACAATGTGAACCATTGAACTACACTTGCATTATTAACATAAAATCTTTTATTAATATATTTATAAATCTATTTTTAAAAATTATATTTAATCTAATATTTGGGTCAGATCAGGCACGGCCTGACGTTAATAAGTCCGGGCATGGTTTGAATTTTTTCGACTTTATTTTTTAGACTCAAGTACGATTTTTTTTTTTTTTTTTTTTGTGTCGGGTTGGGATCAAATTTTGAGTGATGCCTATTTTTGTAAACTCTACAAATTAAATTGGACAAACAGAATATGTATTTTGTGTTAATATAAATGTACTCTCTCTATCTCTTCAAATTAGATCTACTTTTCTTTTTTTTTTAATAATATTTATATTTCTTTAGTTAATAAAGAAATTATACTTTATTATTATTATTTTTTAAAATTATATATAAAAAAACTATCAATCAAAAATATTAAAATTACATAGCATAAATTTTGATTACAAATTTAAAAGAGAGAGAGAGCCTGTTTGTTCTTCCAATTTTTTTTGATACAATTTTTAATATATATTTCCTCCGTCCATTAATAATCTATTTATTTTTTTATTTTGGTTCGTCCCATAACAAAATATCTATTTTTTTTAGTAATTGTATCATGTACTTAACATTACAAATATCCTTCAAATTTACAATATATTACACAAACGTCGTTACTTTTATATTACTAATAGGGTTAATTTAGTCTTTTCACATTTATTTTTACTTTATCCAAATATAATACTAATATTTCTAAAATTCCATGCAAATAGATATATAGATATGAAACGGAGAGAGTATTTTATTTTTTACAAAAATTAACATTTAATATAAAATATTATTTTTTATATTACCTATACAATTCTTTATACCTACGTCAAAAATAAAATTTTAGATCAAAACACTAAACAAACAAACTCTACATTTTAGGGTGTGTTTGTTTGGGGGTTTGGATTTTGAGTTGGGATTTGAATAGTAAAAATTTTGAATTTGAATAGTTGTATGATGTGATATAAATAGGGTTTGATGTGATGTTTTGAATGTAAAATTGATTTTTAGTATAATATAAAAAATAAAAAATAGGTGTTTGATTTAATGTTTTTGGGGGAAAAATAGAATGAATAGTAGAAGTCCACCAAAATCCTTCAAACAAACACACCCTTAGTATACATAAATATACATGTAAGAAATCAAACTGGCTTGCAAAATAACAACCCAATTCTTATTCAGCCCGACCCAAATTTTGGAATACTTGGAGTGTGTTTTTTTACAACAAAAACTCAGGTTTAGGGTTTAGGGTTTACTGGATTTTTTAAAAGAATACATATATTTTTTTATATATTTTTTTTTACAAAATATTCCATCATGTTACTTTAATATCAAATTCAAATCGAAATTTTTTTACAAACTTATGAAAAAAACAAACCCCATATTTTTTAAAACTTATTTTCTTATTATTATTTGTCCTATATTATTTTTTATATGTTCTAAATTAATTGTACTATTATCACAAATCGTAACATCATTATAAAATCATACTATTAATATATATATATATATTTTTTTTTATTAACAATTCAATACAATATATGCTTCATCGTATTTAATATGAAAAATACATCAAATAAAAAAATACAACAAATACACCTATTATTTATTAAATGCACATCCACAACTTTTTAAAAAAAAATCTTCACAATAATCGATCCAAAAACTAGTACTAATGAATAGAAAAGTTTTATGGGAGTTTTTGAAAAATTGAAATTTAAAATTTAAAAAATAATATTTAATTTGATATTTTATGAAAAAATATTTAATGTAATTTTTAAGGAAATTAAATGTTTTTAAAAAATATCTATTTAAAAAAATTATATATTTGATTTAATATTTTAGATAAAATTAATATTTAAAATAATATAAAAAAATTAGATGAAGTTGGAACCAACGCTCTTATAATCACATTCGAAATTTATTTAATTTTGATTTAAAATTTAAAATTTAAATTAAATAATAATGTAAGAGTGTGTTTTTGGGTTTATAAAATTTTTTGTTTAAGATATTTTATTCGATTAAATTATATAAAATTCATAAGTGATTTTAATTGGACTAAATTCTTAGTATTTTTTAAAATTTGTTAAACTTTTTCATAAATTTCCTCGATCGTCTTATTTAAAGCCCATGGGATCACCTGTCTTAAAAAAAAATTCTATCATCTATCTCCACATACATAGTGTTAGTGTGTATATATAAGTGTGTATATATATAAAGTAATATTTTATATATGCATTTTAAATTTAAATGTATTTGATCTAAATGGGTATGAATGAATTTTAAATTTAAATTTATTATTAATTTTTTATGTTAAATATAAGAAAAAATTGAATATATTTATAATTTACCAAACAGATGCCTACGACGTCGTATTGAAATACACCCGTTGCGTGAACTGCACGCGCCCCTAACAAACCATTGGTACCGGCGATCTACCGACGAAGCACTTCCTACCAAACTCTTGCGTGAACCTTTACCATTTCTTCGTCTATTGTTTCATTGTATCAGTTTATTTGATCCCTGATATTCGCTTTGGAGCAACCCCAGTTGAGTTCTTTTTATTTTTGTAAAAAAATTTTGTGCTCCATTATACTATGATTTAAGCAGTGTAGGAAGTAACTTTGCATCAGTAACTGAGGTAATTCGATGGCTGCGTGGCTGAAAGCTGCAGAAGGTACGTTCTTGTTGTACATACTAGCATTGAGGTTCGTGTTGGTTGCGGGACATTGCTGGAATCGTCCTTTGATCTGAATATGTGCAGTTCTTGTGAAGTTGAAGTAATTAGACTCTGCATTGGATTGATTTTTTATTTTATTTTTATGAAGAGGTGTCTTGGATCACTATGTGTTTGTTTAAGATTTGGATTTGTGGTTGGGAATACTAAATGTTTGAATTCAAATAGAGTTTGATGCTATATATATAAATCGATTGTTTTACAAGGAAAATTAATTTTGTGCGAGGCCAAAATCAGTCTAAATTTTTCGAAAATATGTGCATTTTTGTGAGTGAATTTCAGAACTTACAGCACTAGCACTGTTTACATAATTAATGTGTTGTTTGGGGTGTCTTCAAATTTTAGAGAAAATGAGTGAAGGAAATGTGCATTTTAGTGATGTTTAAATGTGTGCTTTTGCTAGATTTATTCGAAGTAGTGGATCGAAGAGCAAAACTCGTGGCTGGTGATACACCAGAGGAGCTGCATGTTCCCACCCAAGGTAGGTGTCCGAAAACTAAAAAGTTAGTATATTTGATGTGGTGAATGTTGCACAATATTCAACAAAGAAATATGTATTATTGTAACCACTCTCACATTGTTTGATGTGGCTACCAGTGACTCAGTGAGAAAAAAGTTATTTTGTTTATTTGAAAATTTTTATTTCCCTTGTAAGGATCGAACGGACGGGAAGCTCAAGTTAAAAGGGCTCGGCCAAGATCGAAGGTAGTTATGTATTTAATTCATAGTTGGTGCACGGATCTATTTAATTATAGTTACAGTCTATGGTTCTTGTATTTCATAATAACAGAACTTCCTAGTTCCTACAGTCTCAGAAGAAAAAGTCATCTAACGAAGATTCTTCAGCCATAGATATTGTGAGAGAGGAAACTATTGTGGAAAGGTTGCAACCTCAAGCAGAATCTGATAAAAATGCTTCTGGGATAACAAATTTCACTGAACAAAACCTAGGTACACCTAGTGGGAAAATTTATAATGATGAGAAACACAAGGAAGGTAGAGATGATGCCTTAACTGAGACTTCTCCATCTGGTGCAATATCTAATGACGAGGACAAGTCAGTCGGTGATCATCGGGATACTGAAATGAGTAATGCCGAAGTTGCTGCATCGAAATTGAACAGTGTTCACAGTAAAGAAGAATTTGCAGATACGCCAGTTGAGCATCTATCAAATTCCAGTAAAGATACTGAGGTTGTGGGTAGTGATTCTCTAGATAACTCCTATCGAAATGTAATGTCAGAAGATGCCTATTCTGTTAAAAGCATTGAACCTTCAGAATCTCAGATTCTGCTAGAAGAAGCAGCTAGCAAAGCTGATAGCTTGCTAAAAGATGTGGATTCAGCAACTGAATCTCATATGTTAAATAAGCAGCATGAAGAACAAAAGGCTACAGCTGAAACAAAAGTGCAGCAACAAATCGAAGAGGTAAAGTCCTGTGGGAAGAGTGAGCTTCTTTATTCTGTTTGTATAATTGTAAAAATAATCGGAAAGCTTATGGACTAAATGTTGTGCTCAACAGGCTCAAGGATTGCTTAAAACTGCACAATCGTCAGGACAGTCAAAAGAAGCTAGACTAGCCCGGGTGAGGAAACTATTTTCTCATGGTTGGATGGACATAGTATATGTTACTGATGTAATTATGTTATTGTCTGTTTTTCATGCTTCTTATTTCATCCCTTTAGAATTTTATGTTTATGCGTTATTTAATATTTTTCCTTCATCACCATCATCATTGTGTCGTTGTTGTTGTGACATTCTACATTTTTCCGATTGCAAAATGTTTGATTAAAAAACTGGGTAAGAATATTTTAATCCATTCGTGATTCATGTTCACAAGAAAGAAGCCTGATATAAGTTAAACTTTTCATTAGATTTTGAAACTTGAGCAGAAAAGTAGGGTTTCTTTTAATCTAAGGTTAACATTTTTGTATATTGCTCTATTTTATATTTTAATAGGAAGCTATGCATGTATGATTAATTTGGGATATTTTCGAAATGCTTTAGTAAGTGGTGGTACCCTGCACCATGGACCATTAATAATTTGGTTCAAAAAAGACAGAGCATAATACCAAATGTATAGGTGGAGTTATAACCCTCACGGTCTGTTTGCATTCTTGTCCCCAGGTGAAAAAGAAAAAGAAAATGTCGAAATTATGTTCTATGGTCTCTCGAAAAATTGTGTAAAACTTGTTTAACTTTGAAATGAAGTTGATATAATAGGTGATCTCTTTCCTTACAAGAAGTTGATATGTTGTAGCTTCGGCAAGGAGAAGGTGTGTGGATATGAATCTGCATAATACCACAACTAATTTTGTTATATTTTTCTTGTTCAGGTTTGTGCTGAACTTTCATCTCGTCTGCAAGAGTACAAATCAGAGAATGCTCAGTTAGAAGAGCTTCTTACGGCGGAGGTGAACGACAGTGAGATAAACTCAAAGTATATCCTAGTTTATGGCATCTAACATTTTGTGCACTTCTACCTAATTGTGACAGAGGGAGTTAAGCAAATCATATGAGGCTAAGATGGAACAGCTCCAGAAAGACCTATCTGCATCCAAAGGAGAAGCAAGCAGAGTGGAAGCAAATATGAGGGATGCTTTATTAGCCAAAAATGCTGAAATCGAATCTTTAGTTAGTTCTATTGATGCCCTGAAGAAGCAAGCGACTTTGTCCGAAGGAAATTTGGCATCACTGCAGGTGAGTCATTTTTTTTTTCCTGTCGTGTTCCTTCTAAGCGAGACAGTATGACTTATTGTCTTTCTCATCTTGTCTTATATTTATCAGGAAGATATGGACTCTATGATGAGAAATAGAGAATTGACTGAAACAAGAATGATGCAAGTGAGTTCAGTTTCTCAAAAGTGTAATGGCATATGATTACATTGATGGAGCTCTAACATTGGTGAGATTGTTCTTATGCTAGGCTCTAAGGGAGGAATTATCTTCTGCTGAGTGGCGAGCTGAGGATGAGCATAGTGCACATAATGCGACCAAGCTGGTTATCTCTAGTTCCCTCTAATTTTTGTGTGTTCTATACATGTTTGGAGCACATTCTGTGGAAGAAGCTTTCAAAAGCAGTGTGCTGACCTTATTTTAAAACGATAGGCAGCTCGAGACAGGGAGGTAGAATTGGAACAGAGAGCTATTGAAGCATCTTCCGCATTAGCCAGAGTTCAGGTAATGCAAGGCGCATAATAAATCATTCTTATAAGGATCACCTATTCAGTTTTGATATGTTTGTTTTGAGTTTTTATCTTAATTGAATATATGGCTTCATCTAATTACTAGCACCTGAAGCAAGGATATATAAGGTTTTGTTTCTGCCACCGAGTTGATTTTTTTTTTTTAATCCGCACACTGGCAATTGAATTTTTATCCATTTTACACGAGCTAGGGAATAAAAGATATCTTTATCAGTCTCAAGTGCTGGATCCATTTCAATGCTCACAATTTTAGCTATTATAACTGTAGAAGTTGCATTATGATCTTTCTTATGCATGTAGATAGGATGACATAAGTAGTTGATTTAAGGAAAATGATGCAAACTTAGGCTTGTTTACTCTGCATTCTACTATTTACTCTATTCCCTCAAAAAGCATCGCATCTAACTCTTCTTTTTTTTGTTCGTTCAAAATATCACTTCCAATAATTATTTCACCTAATAGGGGCGAAAAAGCATGAGTAAAACAAATCTTATTTCTAATCTAATCCCTTTCCTTATAAGTAATGTTGTATATTAATCAAGTTAGTTCCATAATTACAGTAATTAACAACTTTGTTCCTTACATTGTTAGAGAACAGCTGACGATAGGGCTTCAAAGGTTTCAGAACTCGAGCAGAAAGTAGCACTTCTTGAGGTATTACTTTTATTCCTTTCCCCCATTCTTTGAAAGAGAAATTAGATCAAATAATTTGAGAATTTGAGATAAATTATGTTGCTGTTAATATTGACATTAGGCTGACTGTGCTTCTCTAAACCAAGAACTGCAAGATATGGAAGCTCGTATTCACCATGAACAAAAGAAGGCCCCAGATGATGCTAATCAAATTATTCAGGTTGGAAAGTCAAAGTAAATTTCATATATATGTTGAGACATTATAATTAACTAGTGTAGGTTTTGGTTGTGTTTCTGACAAATGACCCCCTCCCCCTTTTCATTTTCTCATATGCTTAATAAAGTTTACACGGCCCTCACATGTAATGGAACTTTTTGGTAAGCCAGAGCCTGGCTATGAACACACCTTTTTATAAATGTCCAACAGATGGAATTTGAATGCAGAACTTCCAATGTCGAAGAATAATCTCAGTAAAATGTTCACTCTAGTAGCAGATATATCATTGCATATAATATATATATGCATGTATTTATTCCTCTGACACACACAGCTGAACACTTTTCACATATGGATGACAGTTGTTATTTGATTAAGAGGTTCACCATTTATATTTACCTTATTAAACTCCTCCAACAATATTATATATATATGTATCAATTCCTCTGACACACACAGCGTGAACACTTTTCACACATGGATGACAGTATGTTACTTGATTAAGAGATGCACCATTTATATTTACTCTATAAACTCTTCCAACAATATCAAAATGTCTCATAGTCACTATACATAAATACATTGATCCTTAGCATAACTTGCATCACAATCGTCTCAGCTCTAGTAGATTGCCTTGAAACCATGCCCTGATGCACATATTCTCATTTTGATGGTTCTTTGATGATCTTATCGAGACCATGCTCAATTGTTGTTGCGGCACTTATGGTGTAAAAGTCATTTAGTAATGAAACGGCATTATTCTCTGCAAGAGTTTCAACTATTGGATATGTTATAATCTTAATTTCTCCTTGAGAAATGGGCGTTTTTGGTTTGTGGGATTGGGAATAGTAAAAATTTGAATTGAAATAATTGTTTGATGTGATATAAACATATATTGATGTGATATTTTGAATGTAGAAAAAAAAAAGAAAAAAAGGGAGTAGTAGAACCCCATTCCCAGTTTCACAGTCAAACACACCTGAATTGTTCATCATAATTATCTCTCATTATTTCCTAGATTAGATTAAAGAAGTTAGTTGAGTTTAGGGAAATGCTATTGTTTGCTTTTCCACTATAATGATAGTATGGTGAGGGGGTTTTTGTCATGATTTTGGAGATTATTTATTTATTTATTTATTTTTGTGTAAACATTGAACATAGAGAAACCGCAAATTTGATCACATTTAGTTTTCCTATGACCCAACCTAACACTATACATAACCTTATAGTAAGATTTTATGATGTGACAATGAAGGTGCAATCGATGCAAGAGGAAGTAGAGCGTGCACGTCGTGGCCAGCAAGAGGCTGAGAGCAAACTTTCTTCAATAGAAGTAAATTAATTTTATTCCTTATGGTTTATCTCTAATAATATAATAACTAGGCAAAGTATCAGGGTGTTACCTCTGCAAAAGTTCTAATTGATTTATCAAGGACAGCAAGAATTTTACCAACAATCATGCAGGCTGAAGTTCAAAAGATGAGGGTTGAAATGGCTTCCATGAAGAGGGATGCTGAGCATTATTCACGGCAGGTAGCCCCTGATTATATCCTCGAGTTCATGTTCTCCCTTGTTTTGATTCATGAAGGAAAATTTTTTATTTTGGAGAGAAAAGAGTTTATTATATCACGATGAAACATAGAGTACAAATGATAGGAAATTAGAGCCTGCTAGCACAGCACAAAAATAGGAAATCCTTTAGACAGATCTGTTGAAGAAAAGATATAGAGTGTGAAAACACAATGAAGAGGACACAATTTTATGTGGTTCAGGCAAAAGCTTATGTCCATGGTTTCAGTTCTTTTGATTTCTGTTAGTATGAAATTGCTTTTGGCATTAAGAACAATTATTCAGAGCTCGGGATGAACTTGATGGTGGGCTCTTGGGATATTCGATGAGAACTTCCAACAAGGAATACAGCTAGAAATAGGAAAATGGACAAGTTTTGATGTATCGAATAGGAAAATTTCATAATTGTGATGAAATGTAAAGACAGCTATAAATTACATAATGAAAATAAGAGACTAGAAAGAAGAAAGTTATTGTGTGGAATTTCGTGTGCCCTTTCCGCCTTCCTCTTTCCATTATTTATTGGCTTGAACTCCGTTAACTCTCTATTATTCCCTTCATTATTGTTCCTAAATTCTATTCATCGCCTTCTTTTTCCTTACATCTTCAATACCCGTTGACTACGTCTTCAGTGCCCGTTGATTATCTTCTTGTCATCAAAGCTTGGGTTGATCTTTGTTTCCGTGATCTCCTCTTCAATGCCCTTGATCCTTTCATCTTCAATGCCCATTGGCTATGCCTTTCACTGCCTACATCTCCTCATTGCTCATCAATACTTGCATTTCTGATTCCTTGATGTTAATTTTAATTTGCACACAATTGCAGTGGGCATGGTTATCTTTTGGGTCGAATGGGCTGTTGAATTCTTGTCTGTTGAATTGTGTTAATTTGTTTGTCCGTTTCCCGCTGGATTATATGGGTAATTTTTGTTTTCTTTTGAATAGGAACACATGGAGCTGGAGAAACGGTATCGTGAGCTAACTGATCTGTTGGTAAACCTAATTATGAGTTTTGTCGTCACATCATTCCCTATAAATTCATTTTCATGACTTTCTGCATCCTGTGTGTTATATTTTACCTTTTCAGTATTACAAGCAAACACAACTGGAAACTATGGCAAGTGAAAAAGCTGCAGCTGAGTTTCAGTTAGAAAAGGAAGTGAAGCGACATCAGGAAGCACAGGTCTCTTGAATATGTTTTATGTTATGTTAAGATTTTGCATACCTTGTACTCATTCACTCTAGAGTTCATTGCATCACTTTTATTTATGTAATTCATTCTGAAACAGTTCGAAGCTGAAAGGAATCGAGCTTCTCGGGGAGCATCTACCTCTTGGGAAGATGATTCCGATATGAAATCACTTGAGTATGATGTTGTTTTGTATTGCTTCAGCAGAATATATTACAATCTTGGCTGAAATAATTTTTCAGACTCGTTTAATAATTGCTTTAGATTTGTCACTAATAAGAATTTTTTTGTCCTTTAATTAGTTTTTTTGATAGCTTTCACAAGGATTGGTTGTGTTGGTCTTTTACAGTTACAAGGAAATCCTATTTGAAATTCAGTGGCTTCTTAGTTGTGCTTAAGTGTAAACTTTTGCGAATATCATATCATAGTTCAAATGTGTCAAGGTGGTGGAAGCTTATGTGCTTATTAACTATGTAAAATTACTATTTATGTGCTCTTTATAAGTTGCTGTAAGTAACAAGTGAACATGATATTTCATAAATGGGGATACAGAGTTTGACACTCTCCCACTATGTGAGTTTTTACTGGTTTACCTGTAAGTGAGATTTGTTTGTTTGAGCTTTTCGCTAATTTCAGATCTTACAAATCTTAACAAGAAAAATAAATAAATAAACAATCTATATTGATCTGTTTAATTTTCTTTTGAATTATGGAATTTAAATCTTGAAGTAAAACTCATGACATATTTTGCTGCTCGACAGTATGTGTGACATTCTTAACTGTGAATTCCATTGCCATGATAACTTTATATTTCTTGTATATCGATGTATCCTCAATGAAAATGAAGCCATGCTCCTTTATAGGGGCTTTAGAAAATAAAGTTGATTCATGTTGTGGCCTCTCTTCTAGATAAGCATTTTAATTCCTTTTAATTCATTAAAGATTAACTATTGTCTTTTTTTAATCCTTACAGGTCTCTCCCTCTTCATCATCGCCACATGGCTGGGGCAAGATTGCAGGTATTCTCAATAACATCCTTTTTATCCACAACTCTTTCCAGTCTATCTTAAAATATACTAAAATTCATTGACTAATTGCAGTTGCAGAAAGCAGCAAAGCTTTTAGATACTGGGGCTGTCAGGGCTACAAAGTTCTTGTGGCGGTATCCTACTGCCCGCATAATCCTCCTTTTCTATCTGGTGCGATTATTTTTCAGCTCTAAAGTCATTATATTATACACATTAAGGATTTGTTTACTTAGGGTGTGTTTCTCCGGCCCAGATTTGGGCTGATTTACCCGGCAAACACTGTTTGTTTAGTTTGCACAGTAAATCAGCCCACGGGTTTTGGGGGACAAGCGGGCCCATTGTGTTTGTTTGTTGTTTTTAAAATTTTAAATTATAAATATAAATTAAAATTTTTATAATAATTATAAGTTAATAAAATATATAGAATAAATTTTTTTATAATACAAATAAATAAAAATTTAAAAATATATATGTAAATATAATACTCTCTCGTCCCATAAAAATAGGTATTTATTTTAATGTTTTCGAGTGAAAAAAATTTGATGAATAGTAATATTGGAGGAGAATCTCATAAATGAACACACCCTTAAAATACTTCTATTTTGAGGGTTGGTGTTTCCGCTGCCCCTAGCCCCCTGCTACATCCGCCCCTAGTCATCATCGATTGTTTTATTGTCAACAACATTATCCGGATAGCTAATGGTTCTTAATACATCGTTGGACGGATTCAAGAATGGTATTTTCTAGATGTATTATTTTCTTAATAAGATGGGTGTCGTTTATTCGAAGTTATATAACATGTTTGATGCTCGCTGACACAGGTTTTTGTGCATCTCTTCTTGATGTACCTCTTGCATCACCTTCAGGTACAGAAATTCAGACGCTCTAATTACATGTCAATTCATGCATATATGTTCACAAGTATGCCGTCTAGGGTGTCAAAATTAAACCCGATCCGAAAAATCGAACCCGTTCGACTTGAAAATTTTCAGGTTCCGGTTTGAGTATTTTGAGTTTGCGAAAAATCGGGTCGATTCGAACCCAAAATGAAAAAAATTCATGTCGTGTTTTGGTCGGGTTTTGAATTGACCTGATAATTCGAAATATAAAAATTAGGTCAGGTTTCGAGTTTTGTGTTTCAGGTTGACCTGAAATTATTTATTATTATTTTAATTTATAATATTTATATTATATTAAGTTTTCGGGTCTATTTTGTGTTGGGTTCATATCGGACTTGGATTAAATCAGGTCAATTTAAACTCAACATGGATGAATGGATTAATATATTTTTCGGGTCAGTTTTTTTGTTATCCCCATAGCTCAATGCCACACGAATACGACCTGAAAACATGAATTGATATCCCAAATGCCGTCTCATGAAATATCTCCGGCACATAAAATTGTGTCAGATGGATGAATGGATTAATATATTTCTATCTCCTCAACCCTTTCTTTATATTCCGCTAATGAACCCTACAATTTAACCATACTTTCGATGTTTTCTTTACTAAATTGTACAGGATCAAGCTGATGCTTATACGTCAAAAGAAGTCGCGGAGTCCATGGGGTTAAACACGGCATTGCCTTGAGCAACCTACCCGAATGCCAAACTACTAACGTTTATACACACATATATAATATATCAAGAATATTGAATGGATGACGACATCGGCTCATCAAAACATCGGTGTCGAGAGGATTTGGATCCTTTCAGGCCACAGGAAAGCCTGATTATTACTAAGGTCAGTGTTCCAAACACACTTTCTATGAAAATGTATTGTGTATACATAATACTGAATATGCCCAACTCTACATAGCTACATTGTAAAATTGTGAAGTGATACATGTTTAAAAGATATATACTCCCTCTGTCTCCGTCCGATTCAGGCTAATTATGTCACTTTGTTTGGGCAGAGAGAGTAAAAGGTAATGATATTTTAATTTAAAAGTGAGATAGGTAAAAAATAGAAAAAAATATTATAAGAAATTTATTAAAAATTTTATAAAAATGTTGTGTGATAAGTAGAAAAAATAATGATAAATTAGTTATTATTATTATTTTTATTTGTTAAAGTATGAATGATAAAAGTATGAGTGAATAAAATTGCTTACTACAAATGAATTATGTATAAATTTAACGAATAACTAACAAGGAAATTTGACATAATCATGGGAAGTATGTTTTGAGTGATTAATGGAGCTGAGCATCAACACATTTTACCACATTAAATTTAGTGTATGTTTCTTTTGATATGTTTGGTAAAATTTTGGTTTGAGTTTGATATTAAAATAATGTTTGATGGAATATTTTGTAAGAGGAAAAAATGTATTTTTTTACGGATGAATTCAAATAATAAAATTTGGGAAATTTGAGGTAAAAAAACATATGATCTATTTAAATATAATATTTTATGAATAAAAATAAAATAATAACTGAAATCAAACTTTAAAAGAATATGACCTTTTTTACTATTCCATTTTTTAAAAATGATTTTAGAAATATTTTAAAGCACCAAAATATAATTAAAACCAAAGTTACGGGCTACCACTAAAAAATGATGCTTTTAGTTTCTTTATGGTTGGTTTGGTTTTGGCTGACTCGATTTTCAATAAAAATATATATTATTATTTTATTATAAAATATTATTTATAAAATTTTTTAGATTTAAATCAAAATTAAATTAATATTTTGTTTGATTATAATTTGAAATATATTTCAATACTATTCAGTTCATAGGATTCTTAATAAAAATATATTAGATAAAAAATATTTAAAAAATATTATAGTATTTTTAGCTTTCCCCTGTTTTGAAACATAAACCAAACAAACCTATTTTAAAAATATTTTAGTGTTTGAAATAGTTTAGTAAATAAAAGGGCTCCTCTTAATAGAAATTTTAAAGTTTTGAATTTTAATATTAAAAATTTGATATAATATTTTATAAATATATATATATATTTGATGTGATATATATTTTAAAGTTAATGTTAATTAATAATGCAAAAAAATTCAAAATATATATATATATATAAATAGAGACAGACACATCATTTATAGTTACTTTTGGCACCACAAAATATCAAAGTCTAGTGGTCTTAAGTAAACGTCGAACTATTTTTTATTTTTTAAAGGCAAAATTATTTGTCTTTTCTCTTTTATTTTTGTACTGTTTACATTATTTTTTGCTTAACATGCGCACATACACAATTTTTTGAGAAAATTCAAATTCGAATTCAGGTCACAAGCCTTTCGCAGAGATGATGCCACCACTTGATTATAGCTAAGTCGGCTGTAATTTAATATAGTTAAAAACACAAATTACCAATCTATACTAAACTAAACTATAAGAGTAAAATAAGTTTTCGATCGTTCTAGTTCTCCCTCTCTCTCTCTTTTTATTTTTATTTTTTTTATTCGTTGAGTTTCGGCATTTTTCTTGCAATTGCAATGGGATAAATTAATGGTTAAGGAATTTTAAGAAAAGAGAAAGAGAGAAAAAAAAATATTTTAATTTACCTATGCATCCTCTTAATAATTATTTATCCTATTGAAATTAAATGAGATTTTTACAAAGATAGTAACTAAACGAAAATAAATTTGATGATTTAGAGGCAAAGATTGTTGATTTGATTCAATTCAAGGATAAAAGTATCAAATTTAAAACAAGATCAACCAAACATATAAATATAATTCAATATATAAACAAATCGAACAATGAAAATAATTATTCTACAATAGGAAATAACAATATATCACTTTTAAACTCACCAAATTCAGCCGAATTCCTTGAAAGTTTACCTAATGAATAATACATCGAAACCCTCCGAAAAAAAAAAAACACTCATCGATCAAATTCGAGAATCCATATATAATTTCTATTATAAATAATAAAACAATAGTAATTATCATGTATATTTTGTATCATGATGACATACAAAATATAGTTTCGAATAACATTCCTTTACGCCATCTGGTTAAAAGAATTTAAATTAAAAACATTTTAAATAACTATAAAATTAGTTACTTTCGTTTAACAATTTAAAGTATTTCAAATCTCTAAACTTATTCGTGTATTTTCAATATATTCCTTATTTAAAATATTATTTAATGATGTATCGTTTCAAATACTTTTTACAATCAAACAATAGATTTTGACTATTCGAGGAAATTTAAATTCAAATTCAAATTCATTCAATTCGTTTTAACGAATATTTGAGTCGCTAGGCTCTACTAGTTCGAACGATTATAATTAAGTCACGTTTGTAGCAATCAAGATTAAATTTTTGATTTAAAACAAGGTGATAGGTATTTAAACTGTCGGACATATACGATAGAGACTAATCTTAACGGATAAACCATACACGTGGCGTGACACGATCGACGACGGGAAGAAATTGGAAGAAGAAATGACTAAGGGCCATGTAATATAAATGCTTGAATGAGACTTCATCTAAATATGACAAAGTATGACCACAAGTTTTTGAACCAAACATTGCTTTATAGGGCCAATAGAAAATGATACTTAGAATTTTATTTTGTGAAATCTCTCTTTGGTTAATTAATTTTGGACAAAATATTTGCAATTGAAGTTATAGTTTTAAAAATGTTGATATTCCATCTAGCTATCTATAATATTTATTTGATCATTTTGAATTATTTATAATCAATATATTTACTTATTTTATTTAATAAATGTACTACTAAATAATAATATAAAAATATATATATATTATTACTTATTACACGCTATCTTCCATTTAATTTGTCCAGTTTAGTTTAGACATGAAGTTTTAGGTATTGTGTAATAAGTAAGTAATTAAGAAATATATTAGTAGAAATAATTATGATTTAATAAAAATAATTATAGATTAAGATTAAAATTACTAAATAGTTTAATTAAAATAGAATTATAAATTATGAATTTTAAAATTTGATTAAAGTGTATAATTATATCTCAAAAAGAAAGGAATAAATTATGTAGAAAAAAAGAAATAGAAAGAGTGGACAAATTAAGTACGACGGAGGAGGAAGTACTGTATTACTATATATAAATACTAATATATGCAAATAGATACATATGTGTATTATTTTAGTGCTTCTATTGTGGGATATGTAAAAATTGTAAAAGTATTATAGAATATAATCTCAATATATATATATATATATATAATATACTATTATTACTTTTATTTTTGTGTACATGTTTCGTCTGTTCCACATATTGTGTTCATAGTGTCGTTTCTGTGTATCTCATATCTTATATCATTTATACACTTTAATCTCATTTTAAATTTTTTAATTTATAAATTTTTAATTTTAACTTGACTCATTAGTTATAATAATATTAATCTATAATTATTTATATTATATACTCCCTCCGTCCACAAATTAATGTCCTATTTTTTTTATTTGTGACGTTCAACAACTATTGCTTTTTTTTTTTAAACACAAATTTTACATTTTTACCCTTAATTCGTTTATTACTTTTCATCTCTACCATACAATTAAGGACAAATTTGTCAATTTATAACCCAAAAAACAATCACCTAAAAAAACCGTGCAAATATACTTTAGGACAATAGAAATTGGACGGAGGGAGTAATAATTAATTTTACTAATACATTCTTAATTATTTATTAATTATTATATTAATCTTAAATTCTCGTGTCTATATTAATCCAGACACACTACGTGGGACGGAGGAAATATTACATAGTAGCATGCTTTTCTTATTTGGTTGTATACTAAACTAATGCATATAATATTTTTGTTTGTTTAGTGTTTTGATTTGATTTTTTTGTTTAGTACAGAGAATCATGTCGTAATATAAAATAATATTTTATATCGAATATTGATCTTTATAGGGGATAAAATATATATTGAGGATCGTGTCGAAAAAAAAAAAATCGGTGGGTGAACAAATATGAATTTGTAATTTTATTGCTCCTAATTTAATAAATAACAATTATTTTGTTATTGTTTTTTTTCTATTTATTTTTCTATTTTTTATTATTAATAAATTTTATATAATATATATATTTTTTATCTATCTTACTTTTATATTAAAATATTATTATTTTTTTAATCTGTGCTATTAAAACAAATCTACATAGCGAATATATATTTTTAGGTAATATTTTAAAAATTGTGTATCTTTAAAATATTGAGTGAACGTACTCGTAGATAATGAGAGTATGTAGTTAACATATCTATAATATTTATATTTTAATATTAAATATTTTATATAAATTTTATTGTATAATTCACTCTAATATTTAAAAACTAGAATTAATCCGTGTTATACGAGAATATTAGATAATGTATTTATTTTTTATATTTTATATCATTCACATTGATAAATAATATTAAAAGAATAATTAATGTAATATTGTAATTATTTATATTGATAAATATATATTAAAATTAGAATTTACTAGTTATTGAACATTCAAATTAAATTATTAATTTGGATGTAGTTATTGCTATATAACTTTAAATTTCTTTTTCAAAAAATTATATTGTTTTTACTATGAGGAGTCGGTAAAAATAATAAAAAAATGGATGTCCTATCATTTATAATATATATATAATTATAATTGTGTGTAATTTTTTAACTTTTAACAAATTATATTTATAATAATAGAAAACTATTTGTTAAAGAGAGGTAGAAAATAAAAATTTTTGGATGAATTTTGAGTGAGTCATATATAATGTAATATTTTTTTTCTTAAAAAAAATGAAAGTATATTGCAAATTTTAGTTGGAAAGCCAATAATTAGTAATTAAAGTGAATGAAGATATATACTCCCTCCGTCTAATTTTTATTGTCCTAAAATATATTTGTACGGTTTTTTTAGGTGATTGTCTT